AGGGGCCATAACAGAATTCAAAAGCATCAGAGAGTCTGAAGAAAAAATTGGAAGCATTAATTCCAGTTCTCAGAGAATTCATATACCCATTAATCCATTTGACTCAGACAGCAACCCAGTGGACTGAAATTTTGGAAGAATGGGTCATGCTGAGAATGGCAGTATCTATGGCAAGCATGGAAAAGGAATATAACATTTTCTCAACTCAAACAGCTGCAGAGATACAACAGTTCTGAAGCACATGAAATATAGGCAGAATCACTAAATCATGGGGAGTTGATGGCTTAATGCATCCTGAGGAGGTGTCAACACATGTGAGATAACTCCAGAGGAAAGCTACGTATTTGCAGCGGGAGAGATCAGATGCTGCCTGAAAAAGATATTTTAGGAAGAGCTTTGCAGGTCTACTAAAGCAGTTTGGCAAGTAAATGAGTCGGCCCAGAGGAAACTGAAGGAACCGTGGAAGGAAGAGCGCATTTTAGCAAGCTAAACCAGAAGCAACAGAAGAGCAATACAGTTTGATCTATAAACAATGCTGGAGAGGTCAAAATTAGAGAATCGAGAACAAAGCTAGAGTTGAACCATTTGAGAATGAAATCTCAAGGCCTAAAGAAAGGCAGTTCACATGTCTGTATAACAAATAAACAACAATTTGCTGAGTTGTTTGCCACATGTAAGCCTCTTCCACTTTGCATAAATGACCTATGTCATCCAAACTCATAGATTAACTTTTAGTTGTTTAACCCATAAACAATCCAGACTCTGTGGGTTCACTTGTCATGCAACAGCCTACAAATAGCATTTGCATGTTTAGAGATATGCAGGAAAGTACCTAGAAGCCTCTCACCTTCTCTGTAATAAAGAGATGGAAAAATGGAATCCGAACATTCAAGACCTCTTCTGCGAAAGGGAAGTAGAGAACCAAGTAGCAGAACCGTGTACTTAGGATTCCCATTCTTGCCGCCAAAACAAGGAAATGGAGATTCAAGGGAACAAATAGAAAAAGTACCTGCACATTCAAAGAGAGCAAGCTTTGTTGTTGCTGTTGTTAGTCACAAAGTCGTGTCCGACCCATTGCGACCCCATGGACAACATTCCTCCAGGCCTTCCTGTCCTCCACCATCCCCTGGAGTCCACTTAAGCTCACGCCAACTGCTTCAGTGACTCCATCCAGCCACCTCATCCTCTGCCATCCCCTTCTTCTTCTGCCATCTATTGTGCCCAGCATTAGGCTCTTCTCCAGGGAGTCCTTCCTTCTCATTAGGTGGCCAAAGTATTTGAGCGTCATCTTCAGTATCTGGCCTTCTAAAGAGCAGTCAGGGCTGATCTCCTCTAGGACTGACTGGTTTGATCACCTTGCGGTCCAAGGGACTCACAGGAGCAAGCATTGGGGGTGTTTAAATCATCATTCAGAAGAAAGGGGATTGATATATTGTGTTAATATACTGCTGCATTTGGTTTGAGAGTCAGTGTGGTGTAGCGGTTCAGGTGCTGGACTGAGGACCTGGGAGATCCAGGTTCTAGTCCCCATTCTGCCGTGGAGCTTTACTGGGTGATTTTGGGCCAGTCGTTCATGCTCAGCCCAACCTTCCCTATAGGCTTATGGATGGGAGAATGAGATGGGACTATGTAAGCAGCCTTGAGTTCATCGCAAGAAGAAACCAGATGGGATGTAAATGCAAGTAATACTACATTTGTTTTCTTTTTGAATGGTACAGTATCTGTTGGGAACCTGGGGGCAGGAACCAGCTTTTCTGTTAGTTTCTGGATAGTGCTTAGGTCATTTTGGACACCATACGAGAATGAATTCCCTTTTAGGAAGCTGGTGTGGAGTTACTTGTGACTGATGGGGACATTCCAAGGCAGTTGGAAACAGTTAAGAGAGTCAGAAATGAGAATGTGGTTAGAGCAGTGTATGAGAAGAAAGATCGCTTTCTAGTTCTTACTGGTTTAGGATTTGCTGTCATTAACATGTTATTAATAAGGTAATATTTGTTTATTGTTTGGTTTTGTTATCATTTTTCTGCAAGTTTTACAATCTGGCCTCTGACCCTTCCATGTGCCTGAAGCATTACCTCTTAAATTCCCCTTTCAGGGTTTTGTCAGAAACATCAAGCCATTTCCTAGTACCAAGTAATTCATTCTCCTATTTTCTCTTCTCCTCCATTTCCCAGCTGTGTTGTGATTATCCTGCTTCAGAGTTTTGCCTAAGTGCTCATGAGCTTTACACCAGGGATTGGGTCCATATGGGATACAAAACTTGCTTGGGATTTTTGCCATGAATCAGTCTTTTTCACTTGTGTTATTTTTCACAGGGTTCTTTACAGGTTGGCATATTAAAAAAAGAAAAAAAAAACAATTAACTAATTCAATTCAAAAGTGTTACCAAACTCAGCCAGTCAACAGCCAGGGCAAAGCCAGGTGGACCCCAGACCCGAGCCAAAAGGAGTCTGAGACAAGACTTAGAGCCAAAATCAGCTTTATTCTAGTGCACTATAGAATAAAGGGAGACAAAAGGGGACATTCAGCCCAAAGCAGTGTCTCAAAAGTTGCACCCCGGTACATGCATTTTATACCCTAGGTAACCAATTAGGTCACCTAATACGCTTCTAATGCATCAGTACAGCAATGTAGCCACACCCCCACTGCTGTTAGCTTCAGAGAGTCCTTTCTTCTGTCAGGACCAGACATTTCCCATGTCCATTTCTGATCTGCTCGAGATTCACACAGGCTTGCCATGTTCTTACTCCCTGCACATTTGCAACATTCATGGCGGCTGTAACCAGTTTCCACTGTCCCTTTGATTACTGTATTCGACGTCAGGCTAGCATGTTAGCTGTAGGTTACACAAAGTTCATTTTGTTCTTACCTGCCCTCCCTTCTGGGACAGTATAACTGTGGTGTTTTCACTATGTGGCCTTCCTCTGGCCAATTACTTTTGGGGTGTTTTGGGGTGCTGCAATTGGCAACAAAAGTGCACAATTAAAAACAAGAAAAAATCCAAAGCACAGGCAAAAAGAAAAAGCTCAAATCTGGAAAAATCCTAGCAATTCATCAGCAAATCAAAAAGGTTATCAAGCCAAGACTAAATATCCAAGACTCGGCTTAGCCGAAAGCAATTCAGAAGAACCAAGATTTATTCCACAACCTGAACTTACACTGTCTGGCATAGCCAGTTTCCTTGGGGCTGGCATTCCACAATGATGGAAAGGCTCAGCTGTTGGTGAATGCCCACCAAGCTTCACCCAGCAAAAGTGCTTGCAATGAGACCCTTGATACTGAATGTTGCGGACAAGGTAGTGTGTACAAAAGAAGGTTGCTTCCCAGGTCCCACATCCCAAAGTGCTTGGGCTTTTTTCCAGAAAAAGTAGCACCAATGAACAAACCAGCATTTCTTAAAGCCTTTAAACCGCCCAGCTACCAAAGTTCTCTGGATAGTGTACATTAAAAAATACAATCTGTGAATATGGATAAAAATAATACATTGCTGAATAAGCTGTGAAAATTAATTCAAGTTGGCAATATGAAAATAATGTACATACTTTTCCCCCTACATTTTTAAGCAAGCACTAAATTGTACAACTTACTTTTAGGAAACTGCCTCTTCAGTGACCAATTCAGTTTTTAGAAAAGGCTTGGAAAAAATATTCATTTGCATAGGAAGGTAAGTTTTGCAGCTTTTTTCTATTGACAAAACAAAGCTAATCAGGTTTTTAATAATTAACCATCACAGTATATGAATTATGAATAACATTATTATTCTAATGTCTAATAATTATGTGGGCAGTAATCCACAAAAGCTTCTGCTGGATTAAATTTTTTAGGTTTTAAGGTACCAGAGAACCTTTTGTTGATTTTTCTGAAATGTAATGGGAGTGACCAGTAACATGGTTTCTCTCTGGAAAATGTTAGAAAAGGAGATCAAAAGCTTCTTGCAAAACATAGTCTGCAAGGCAGAAACTAAGCTGTGTTCAAACCAGGGTTAGAACACATGCTTTGCACACAGAAAGGCTTGAGTTTGGTCCACGTTATCTCAAGGTAAGACCAGGAAGGAATCCAATCTGAAACACTGGAATGAATACCTCTGCCACACTCACACAACAGCACTGAGCTTAGACCAAGTCAATTTCCTGTCCTGCGAGGTTTCTTTGACTACAGTGCAGCATTCCAAACCCGTTCGTTGTTATATGCTGCCAAGTCATCTTTGGCGGATGGTAACCCTATGAATGAAAGTCCTCTGAGACCTCCTTTCCATGACAGCTCCGCTCCAAATTCTATGCTATGTTCTTCCAAGCTGCAATTTGGGTTCCTGATTTGCTTGCTTGGATACTGTACCAAGCATGTTTGTCATTAACCAGGAAGAGACTGTTGGCAAAAGTTGAGGAGGGAGGAGCTTCTATATGCAAAGTTCACAGGAGCTTATGCACATAACAGCAAGCCATCGTTGACTCTCACAGAGGAATGCAGCATCTCTGCCTCACAATCACAGTCTGCCTATTCGTTGGAAGAAAAAAAATACATGGGAAATCCTGCTGTACTCCCTGCTTCCCCACCACGAAGCCATGGAAATTCCATCACAGGGATTTTTGAAGTTCATGCTAAAATGCTTCATTTACGTTTTTTCTTAGACCTTCAAGACGATTGACTGCAACTGTTTGGTATCACAGGCACTTTGGGTCAGTCTTGAGTTTAGCACAGATTTTCAAAATTCATGTACGCAAAATTAACTTTATTCCCAAAGTCATTCATCAGAACTACTGAGGAAAACACATAGATGATCAATGTATAGTATTTGGAATAAGATCAACCCTACACATTTTATTAACAATTAAATCTTACCCTGTCAGTAACATAAAATTTCTACGGCAGAATCGTTCCAAGGTTAATATTTGAGTAGCTTATCCAAGAAGACTAGTCACTGTAGTAATACATTAACTGAAAGGTTAAATCATTGTTTTCCACTGCGTTATCAGAGTAGGCGGGTTTATATCTTCCAACAGAACAGACAGAAACATACATTTGAAGTACTTTAACTCTGCTACGGGATCTTCTAAAACCACATTAGGTAAAATTATTTTATTATATTTAATTGTAATGATTGCCACAAGATGTTACTGAGGTTTTAAACCAGTACAACTACCCTAATCTGAAATTAATGTATTAACATATTGTAGGGTTTAATCCTATGAATGTATACGCAAAACAGTCCCATAACTCCAAGCATTCCTTGGTCCTAGGGAATTCTGGGAGCTGTAGGACTTTTTTCTGTTTTAGTACTCCACCTTTATTAACTGAATCTATAATCTCAGACTAGGCTATATCAACACAGAGATTGGGTTGGATCTAGCTTAAAAGAACAAGCTTTGGGTGGGAGGTAAGAAAAACCATTTCCAAAGTCCTTCTAGCTCACATGGACTGGGCAAGAGAAGACCCTTCAGCTTTCCTTGCCTTTTTCTTCAGCAAGTCTTTTAAAACACACAGTTATGAAACCAGCAGGGAATGCCCTACGTTAGCCAAAGGCTGGTATCACTGAGGGGCCCAATCCTTAGTCCTGCTAGGAGACATTGAGGTGTCTTAGATTTGGTGAAAGGCGTTTTAGGCTTGGCCTGCAGCAGATGGAAGACAGATTCTTCAGACCTAACGGCGAATTCAGAGGCAGATGTGCTCAGCCCTGCTCCATGGAGCTGTGCCTTCGTCACACTTTAAAATCCACCCCACATCCGATCTGGGATTAGAATTGCTGTGAAGGAAGCCACCTTTAAACTCATTGGGAATTAATTCATAACCAGTTTCCTCTATTGAGTTAAACAGGGCCGAGTGCAAATAAGCCTGAGACCAACATATCTCCAAAGTACCTATGCATTGTTTTCTTGTGTCTGTTATATCGGGGCAATAATGTGTTGACACAGTCCTGTATACTTATTCATCTCCTGTAATTCCCACAGCATGAAAATCCACTAGAAATTTGGTTGGTTTTGTAAAAGTAGAACCTTCTATAGCTAATATTAGTTCCGAAGGCTTAAATTACTGTATTACAGTGGTAACATTTCATCAGTCCATAACTGGTTCTGAATGGAATTACAGAGATAACAACCAGATGCTTCTTAAAAGTACAGATTATTTTCCCTCGCATTCTGTTGCTTATTCTCCATGAGTTTATAATGGTTTAGAAAATAAGAGTCAATCATACTTAGGTGTATTGTTTCATTGATGCAAACTGCCCAGAGAGCTTTAGCAATTGGGTGGAGAAATAAGAAGAAATAAAACATAATCAATATTATTATGCTTTTTAGCCCATACCTGAAATGGATAAAGGAACAATATGAATACAAAAATGTAAGGAAGGACAAGGGCAATATTGATCTCCACCATACGTATATTGTTTCAAGTTGGAGTAGGGAGCACAAATTTATTTGGGTCTATTTATATCCCTTGACTCAGTTTACATTCAGATCCCAAAGAAGGGCAATGCCCAAGAATGTTCAAACTACCACACCATTGCACTCATTTCACAAGCTAGCAAAGTGATGCTCAAAATCCTTCAAGCTAGGCTCCAGCAGTATGTAGACCGAAAACTACCAGAAATACAGGCAGGATTTCGAAGAGGGAGAGGAACTAGAGATCAAATTGCTAACATACACTGGATCATGGAGAAAGCTAGGGAGTTCCAGAAAAACATCTACTTCTGCTTCATTGACTACGCTAAAGCCTTTGATTGTGCGGATCACAACAAATTGTGGCAAGTTCTTAAAGAGATGGGAGTACCTGACCATCTTATTTGTCTCTTGAGAAACCTATATGTGAGTCAAGAAGCAACAGTGAGAACTGGTCACGGAACCACTGATTGGTTCAAAATTGAGAAAGGAGTTCAGCAAGGCTGTATACTGTCTCCCTGCCTATTTAACTTATATACAGAGCACATCATGAGAAAGGCGGGGCTGGATGAATCAACAGCTGGAATTAAGATTGCCGGGAGAAATATCAACAACCTCAGATATGCTGATGATACCACTCTCATGGCAGAAAGTGAAGAGGAACTAAAGAGCCTCTTGATGCGAATGAAGGAAGAGAGTGCAAAAGTTGGCCTGAAACTCAACATTAAGAAAACTAAGATCATGGCATCCGGTCCACTCACTTCCTGGCAAATAGATGGGGAAGAAATGGAGGTAGTGACAGATTTTATTTTCCTGGGCTCCAAGATCACCGCAGATGGGGACTGCAGCCAAGAAATTAAAAGACACTTGCTCCTGGGGAGGAGAGCTATGGCAAATCTAGACAGCATACTAAAAAGCAGAGACTTCACCCTGCCAACAAAAGTGCATATAGTCAAGGCTATGGTTTTCCCATTTGCAATGCATGGCTGTGAAAGTTGGACCATAAGGGAGGCTGAGCATCGAAGAAGTGAGGCCTTTGAATTGTGGTGCTGGAGGAGACAACTGCGAGTCCCTTGGACAGCAAGGCAGTCAAACCGGTCAGTCCTAGAGGAGATCAGCCCTGACTGCTCTTTAGAAGGCCAGATCCTGAAGATGGAACTCAAATACTTTGGCCACCTAATGAGAAGGAAGGACTCCCTGGAGACGAGCCTAATGCTGGGAACAATAGATGGCAAAAGAAGAAGGGGGCAGCAGAGGATGAGGTGGCTGGATGGAGTCACTGAAGCAGTTGCCGTTAGCTTGAGTGGTCTCCGGGGGACGGTGGAGGACAGGAAGGCCTGGAGGAATGTTGTCCATGGGGTCGCGATGGGCCGGACACAACTTCGTGACTAACAACAACAACATATTCTTGAGACTTATATTCTTGAATGACATGGATGGAAGGTAGATGATGTAGAAGAACTGAATACTTCGTGAATTTCCACAAGGATCCAAATCCATTTTTGCCTGTTTCTGACAATCTTTGTCACACATTCAAAGCGCTCCTACTTCCAGCAGATGACCAATTCAGTTTTTGCTTGCTTTCTTTGGCTCGCATGCCTCTTCACACACCTCTGCTGAGAATATCAGAAGTAGGGTGCTACTAACCTGGGAGGCGGTATAGAGGATTGTATTATAATCTACCCTACCCCAAACACTGCCAACCAACAGAAAGTTAAAACAGAAGTTTTATAAAACCATTCCACCCATGAGCACCAAATCATAGCCAACATAAAAACCCACTCCTTCTAAAGGGTGCTAGGCTCCAACTTTGCCCCCCCCCCCCACCCCGGGGAAGTGTATCTGTTCCACAGCTGAGGGATGGAAGCCATTGAACAGTCCTTGTGGAACCCTTTGCAATCCTAAATCGCCTCACTTGCCATTTCAGAGGCAAATGGTCAAACAGTTTCAATACTGGGAATATCAGTGGAACTATTTACTGCCTTTCCTTCATCTCTGGATATGAGGGTTCAATGGAATAGAGGAAAAGTGAGCAGTATCATGGCACCTTTAATCATAACAAATCTTACTATGACATACTTTTTCATAGAAAAGAACCTGCTTCCATGCAGAAGTAGCCAGTAATCCATGAAAGTCTAAAAATGGATCAGATTTTGTGGTGCCAGAAGACTGTTATTCTTCCTGCAAACTTCCTCTGAAAACGGTCAGGATACAGGAGCATATTTTGCTACCATACAGGGTTTTAAAAGGAGACACACTTTTAACATCCAACAGCTATGTAGCCATTTAATTCTGGAGGTCTGGGGAGTATCCTGACCAAGTCTGGGGGGAAATTCTCACTCCCTTCTTCCAGGTTGGATTTCTGCAATTAATTTCTGCACTCCCGTAGCAATTAAACTGAACGCATGTCTACTTCCCATTCATACGGGGTACATTCCATGCTGGGGAGTGGTTCCACATGGTCATGGCATGCATTGCATTGAGTAGATCAACACACCCCAGAAACTGCAGGGCAGGATTTTCTCTGCACAGCTGTGATGAACATATAGTTACATGCACAGAAGAATCGAGAACAGACCCCCAGAGTTGGAGCACCACTGCAGATCTATTCAGAAACTGAGCTATTTTTTTTTACCTCAAGCATTCTCACGAACGGATCCCACAGAGAAGAGTGCACTCAATGCATCACACAGTTCAAAGCGGAAAAGACATAGAACCACTGCCAGCTAAGAGGCCGATTCACTGAATCTCAGAATTGCTTTTGGAAACCACTTTGAAAGTAAGAAGGGAGGGAGGCAGGTGAGCTGCTGTGCTGAGTTAATTCCATGTCTCACATCAGCAACTTCTGCACTGCTGATGCTGTGAGAGAACCTGACAGGCAGCAAATGCTTGTTTAAATAAGCTCCCAGTGAGTTACCCTCAAGAAGGCGGCACAGTTTCTATGCCCAGCACCACCTTTGGAATAGTACTCTGGGTTAGGCTTAGAGTGTTTTACACTGCACTAGCTTGAAATTGTTGACGATTAAGCCATATCAACTTAATATTTATTCAATTTATAGCAGTTACATACCATTTCATTAGCATAAAATGAACAGAGAGCCAGTGTGGTGTAGCGGTGAAGAGCATGGGACTGGGACTCAGACGATCTGGGTTCGAGTCCCTGCTCAGCCATGGAGCCAACTGGGTGACTTTGGGCCAGGCACGGACTCTCAGCCTGTCGTGCCTGATGGCTCGACAGAGACATTGACCCGCGAGAAAGAGTCAAACGTTCACAATGAGAATCAGGCATTGGAACAAGGGGACTTATACTTGGGGCCCAGTACCCAGACAGCCCCTCTGCAGCCTGACTCTGGGACTGCTGAGCAAATAGCCTCCCCGCAGCCTGACTATGAGGCTTCTGAACGAGTAGCTTCTCCTCATCCTGACTCCTAGGTGCTTGAACAAGCCCCCCCCCCCCCCCCGGCCTCCTGACTCTGAAGCTGCTGGGCAGAGTTCAGGAGAACAAGAAGGCGTAACAGAAAATTTGGCAAACGCCCAACTTAGGCGGAGTTTAAGGCATCTAGATCAATTGTGTCTGGACCAATTGAGAAGACAGGACAGAGGTTTGTCCCACCCACGAGCGGAAAGGTGTGACAGGAAAATCTAATCCCACATGGGCTTCTCGGAGACTTCAGAAAGGAGGGGGCAACTGTGTTGCTAGGAGCTCTCTGCTAGAGCTTATCTGTTGCATCGTAAATCTTGTAGAAAGTAGCAAGAAAAGTCTTTAGTTTTATGGCCAGCTGCTGTGTGAGTTAATTGGAGAAGTAAGTTACGACCTCACAACACAGCCCAACCTACCTCACAGGGTTGTTGTTGTGGGGATAAGATGGAGGCCCCTTCCAACTTTACTGTTCTATCACTCTGTGACTAATGTTAAGGCACAATTAAGTTGCAGAATCAGAGAAATTGTCATAGTCCTCCTGACTACCACCAAAAACTTGACGTCTTGGCATAAACACAGAAGCAAATTACTGTCTAATTCAGTGGTTGAGCCAAGGTTTACCACAGCAATGAGGAACATCTTTCAGCTTGAGGACTATATTAAAGTTTGGAGGAACCCTCAGCCGGTCTCAGAGGCTGCGTTCCAGCAGTAGGTGCGACCAAAAGCACAAAAAAGCCCCAGCATATTTTAGCTCAAAGCTCCTCTTGCTGCTGTAATTACACATTAGGGAGGGGCATGTCAAGACTTTAGACTGAGGTGTGAGACTGTGAACCGCGTAACAGCCACGAAACCAGCAAATGGTCCGTGTTCAGAGGGAACGAGGTGTCGCTGGCCCGTGGATCCCTGATAAAAGTCCCTGCCAGGGGTTTGCCAGCTTGAGCTATAGATAGAAGAACTTCCTTCTTGTATACCATTCAATATTTATGTATTTGTTTATTTCTATTTTTGTGCCGCCCCATAACCCAAGGGTTCTCTGGGCGGCTTACAAATGCTGAAACCAGCATATAAATGCAATAATAAAATGGATAAAACAATAAAATGAGTAAATTATTTAAACAGCTATAAGAATCTGCACAGGGAGATACACATGTTTTTGTGCAGAGATTTGTTTGTGTTCCAAAAGTGGCACTTCTGGCCTCCCTTTCTTCAAGAAATGAGGAGCACGCTATGTGCTGGGCCCTGGTTTCCTAAAAGAGCTGCATAGACACAAAATTAGGAAAGCAAAGACCCCAAGAGCAGTGAGAGATTGCGAAGAGTCCCAAAGGAAAGACACAGCTATTGACATTGCAATAACCCAGAAAAGGAGGTAACCCTAACCCTAATCCCAGTTTGTATTTAAATCTGTTTCTAATTAGGGAAATTGAAGGTTTTAGTATAGCATAGAGGAAACGTGATATTGTGGAGATATATCCTAAAAGAGTTGTAGGTTTGTAATAAAGATGTTACCTCATAAAAGGAGAATACAAGCTGCTCCATCCAGCCCAATAGTACTCTGCCTTGAGGTTACAAAAATCTCTTTGCTGAAATGTTTCATGCTTGCCTTTCAGAATTTTATTTTTGCGGAGTTCTGCAGGGCTGGCTCTTAAGAGTTTGTGATATTTTTTCTTCCTGTTTCAGTTAACGTTTGCTCTCAAGTTGCTTTTGTGCAATTACAGTGGTGAAGAACTAATTCTCTAAACTGTAAGAAATAAATGGGTGGATCATGGTTGCTCTTTGGGTGCCTTGCTTCATTTTGGTTTAACATTATTTTAGAAGTCGCTTTGCTTCTGCCTTTTTATTGATGGCTGAACCTGATTCCATAATTTAGCAGAAAAGTTTTAACAAAAAGGGAGTATAGAACACTTAGAACAGGGGTGCAAACTTTTGGCTTCTCTGGGCCACATTAGAAGAAGAAAAATTGTCTTGGGCTGCACATTAAATACACATACACTAACAAAAGCTGATGAGCAAAAGAAAAAAAAAGCCTGTGCATAATTTTCGTGATATCTGCCACATAAGCAAAAAAGTTCTCACATAATAATCCTAATTATGCAGCAACCTGTTCAGAGTCTTTTAAAATCCTTGACCAGGCCCCAAGTTTGTGATCATTAATATAGAAAATGAACCTATCTAAGTAATAAAACTTCATTGATTTGTTGATATTTTATTATAAATGTAAAAGAGAGCAACATAAAACTAGTGGGATATTTGACATTGTAGTTGAGAAACGAATGCATCAGTATCTGATTCAATGAAGGAGTTGCAATTCTCAGTGAGTTCTCAAGGTGCTCATCAGATATTTTGGTTCTAATTTTACTCTTAGTGCGCTTTCTTCTTGAAAATAGTTGCTCACAAATGGAGGTGCTGCCAAAAAGCAAAGACATGAGTAAGGCATGATCGTGAAACAAGGGATATTTGTTTCTGAGAAGACAGGGCCTATAAAAGTCCATGAACAATTTTTAAGGTGAATGTCAGATTGCAGCTCTATGCATTCCATTTGAAAATTGGCAGGTAACATATTTATGTTGACTGACAATGGAGCCACAATTATACCAAAATAGTGATTATTTTCCAGGAAATCTTGAAATCGGTTTTCAAATTCTTGTACAAATTGAAAAGCAAGGCTGCATATTTTTCACTGTTCACAGGAGCGTGTTTAGCCAACATGTCAAAATGTATAAAATTGTCGGCAATGGTAGGTTGAAATGTCATTGAGAATATCTGCGTTTAACTTGCCAAGTCACCAGGCACACATGTAACGTCTGATGGGGTCAATTCAACCGTCTGGGCTTGGAAGATAATACACTGGAAGCCACACACTGCCACAAAACTGAAGCTACACATGCATACAAATAGCATACATGTTTATTTTACGTGACATTGCAACACAACATTGTTGTCTGGAAAGTTCACACTCGAGAACTGTGCAATGAAGTTACCAAAAAAAAAAAAAATGCAAAAAAAACTCGTAATGTTTTAAGTTTATGATTTTATGTTAGGCCGCATCCATAGTCATCCTGGGCCACATGTGGTCCACGGGCCGCAGCTTGGACACCCCTTAGATAAAAGGTATTTGTCATTGCTCAGAACACTGCTCTATGGCTGAAAAGGCTTTAACATCTGGTTTTATCTTTCCACTGTTTTCTTATCCTTGAGTTGTGCATGTTGAATTCTGCACTACTCCACAAACTTTTCCTGATTGCAAATCGGGAAATTTATAAATAAAACAAGTGGGTGGGGGGGGGTTGCCGGGGGGAGGGAGAATGATTTCATACATCTCAAAATTTTCTAAACTTACCAGAGAATTTTTCCAGGAAATGTAAAGGTGATAGGAAGTGGTAACGAGAGTAGCTGTCATCATTCGATTAACATGCATGAACTTTTCATTGTGCAGATGGAGTATAATCAGGAACACAGTGATATTGCCATTTCTACACTTCAAGTTCAGGTGGACGATGTGAAAAATATCATGACACATAATATTGAAAAAGTTTTGGAAAGAGGGGAACAACTGAGTGAACTGGCAAATCGAAGTGATGATCTCGAAACTGCGGTAATTCGGCGCATGCAAAGTATTCCCAACTAGAAAGGTTTTACTTTTTTAATTTATGGATTTGCACAAGGAAGCTCCCCACACAAACCCTTGCCAAGGAAATACCTGGGCCCAATTTGTCAATGTAGAAGCAAGAAGTGTAGACAAAGTCGCATTTGGCAAAAAGATCCAGGAGGCAGATCATTCAAAAGGGCTCATTACCAGTACTTCCCTCTCAGGGTTCCTCTGAGCTGAATTAACTGATTACTCAGTTTAAACTATCTTCTGTCTCTCATCTTCACTGATGAAACCACATTTCACTGAAGCCTGAACTTCATCCCATATCATTAGCTTACATTATTTCAAACATTACAGATTGCAGGCGTAAGGTAAAGTAAATCCACAAAGCAGCTTCATCATGCTTGGCATTTCCTGTTACTAACATGCACATTTTCCCATTTGCTTTTAGGCTCATGGTTTCCAAAAAACTACTGCAAAGATTGCAAGGAAGATGTGGTGGAGAAACACTAAAATGATCATAATTATTGTAGTAATTGTCCTTGTCATTGTAGTTTTCATTATTCTACTTGGCACCGGTGTTATTCCAACATAAAACTTTTCAGCAGCTAAAAGCAAAACACTGAAATTCTTAAAAAATGTTTTACATTCAGAAACTCAAATATTTATGTTTACTCTTATTTTTGTACAACAAATAGCTACTATATGCTTGCATATATGGTGCTTGTCTACACCATATATGCTACAGGACTCCACATTTTCAAAAGGCTAATTTTATGTACAACGAAAGGCCATTAGAACTAATTAGAATGCTCCACACAAAACCCTGAGCAAGATTCCCAGTCTGCTATTTCTGCACCAGACCACAGAAGCATACACATTGAAATGAACTTATTTTCTGAGTTATGATCAAAAATGGGTACTGGAAATAAACTTTTTAAGTTCTAGGCCCCACTTCTTACATCTACATGCTTTCTTGTGTGTCCTTCCAGGCTGAAGCACTTATTTAAAACATTGCCATTTTTAGCTTATATCTGAGCCTAAGTAGGAAATATTCCTTAATAAAAGACAAAAGGTGAAAAATATATGCTGTTGTCAATCTGAATCTACTGCCCTGTCATTCACTCACTCACTCAACTCTCCTCTGTGGTCAAGCTTCCAGTCAATTTATCAACAGCTTGACGCATGATAAGAACATCAAGGCCTTGCAGAAGTCTGTCTCCTCATTTCTTAATCTGTAACATCTGTTAAGTAGAAGAACTATGAAGGTGTTTATGCTTGAGCCAAAGGATACACAAAGATGCTTAAGACATAGTGATCCCCAGGATCTGTAATAAAGGATTTGGAAAGAAGCATTTGAAAAAGCTCCTCAGTGAGCTTAATTTTTGAAGCCAGCCAGTGATGAAAGGTAGTAGGCAGACCTTAAGGCCATGGAATCTTCTCCCAAGAAGGTTGTGCATATTCAAACAACTGTGGAAGCAGAGTAATTCACTGTTCCCGTCTTAAAGTACTGTGATGCAATATGTAATTTCGCAAAGGACTCTCAGAAACTTAATTTGTTCTGCAACATTCAAGAGGATTTACCCAAATGCCAAGGTAGAGGTACCATCAATACAAAGTGAAGCAAATGTTGGCAATCTTAAGATGTATTGTCCTACTTGATCCATTTGTGCCCTGGTTATATGAGGTCTATTTCCCTGAATACAGGTGGAACAATTTCCCAATACACTTGAAAAGCAAAGGATCCTGATGCCCATGCACCATTTGCCAGTGCTTGACGTGACATGGATCAGTAACTCACAACTGCTGACAGAGACTGCTTTAAAGCAGTCCAAATGGAAGCAGGCACTGTTCCCACTGAACTGCACATTTTTACAATATGTTCCTTGAGTTCAGGGAAAGAGGAATAGAAATCTGCAGTAGCACTGGGTCCAAACCAGGGGTGAGTGGGTCATGTCAATCCAGAACAGGCAACTGCAATACTGGAATTAGCTCAGGGTAAGGAAAACAGACTCCAACATGGCAGGCACGTTCTGCCAGGTGTAGCATGCCAAGGCTCATTGCTGCAGGTCTCTTAAGGAATGATCAACTGACACCTCACATGACATAGGAAGAGGTGCCCTCCAGGGTTTTTTTTTTGATAATTCCCTTCAGCCCCAGCCAGATTGGGCAATAGAGATCATGGGAGTTTTTGTTCAAAAGTTCTAGATGGCACCACATAGCCCATTTATGTAGCTGTTGTGTGCTGTCAAGTCATCTGACTTATGGCGACTCTATGACTGAAAGTCCTCCAGAAGGTCTCATCCGTGACAGCCCTGCTCAGCAATTCAAAACTCAAGGCCGTGGCCTCCTTTAAGGGGCCCGTCCATTTCATAGTTTTCTTATCACGCCTTTCGATATTCCCTAGCATGATTCTCTTCTAGGGCAACTTTTTTTAAAATTTAGAACCACAGATTTAATACAGAGATCAATTTCTAGCTTGTGTGTGACATACTGAAGCTCCCTTCCATTTGCTGAGCCTTAATTATTCCCCCACGAGTTAGGGAGCCAATCAGACATTAATTCCCAAACAACAACTTTTCAACTCCCAGAATCTGTATTAAAAATGATGCAAAGAGTTACAGTTTGCTAGAAGGATGTGTCCTCTATGCTAATTGGTTACCCACAACTGATATGTAGAACTATCAAAGCTCTTTCTGATTTTTCACTAAGCAAATACTGAAGTATCTTAATACATGGAATGCAGGGAACCGTAACTTTCATAGCTTCTCCATTCCCAAGGAAAAGAAATCCAATACACATTTGTACAAAAAGATTTATTAAAAAACCAGTAAGACACTACTACATCATGACACTGTCACACTGGGCTTTAAACACAAGACTTTTTCTACAATACTGGGGAACAAAATGGGTGTGGGGCATAAATGAAATTGATTCTCAAGCATAGCAATTAAAAAAAAAAAAAAGACGGTGAAAGCAATTCTGTTGTAATGAGAACACAATCAAACTTCAGAGGGCCAACATCTTACTTCCAATTCAGGGACTTGATACAAAAAAATTAGTTTGAACTGCTATTAGCAGGCAGCATGAGCCACCTCAAAATGAATCTTCAAATGAGAATACTGCTTGTCCACCTAGAAAGAAAGAAAGGGAGGTCAGTTTGTGAAGACCACAAATTCTAGCTAAAGTCACAAAGTGTTTAGAAACCCCTACATCCCACTATATAAATATCATATTAACATTAATCAAGTATGCTTTTTATATTAAAGCTGAACAGGAGAGTCCATGAGCTGGAAATCCACATGTGCACCACTGTTTGAACAAGGATCTTGCCACATCTGAAATTATTTAAGAAATACTTATTTATTCACCGAATGCCATTAAGCATCTCCCCGAATCCTTAATGCTCTACCACCACCAAGAGTAGTAATTTGGTGAGTGGCTATTTTCGGCCCAAACTCTTCTGTTAAAGACTTATACTGGCCGGCCAGACAGCGCTATTTATCCATTAAAAGAAATACAACAAGGAGAAAGAGTTAAGTATCTACTATAAATAGGTATATATTGAAAAGTCAGAGGCGTTGACACAACAGGACTTCAGCTCAAGAACATCTTGCAATTACTGCTACAACGTCTATAAAAATGGGAAAAGCAAGCATTAAAATAGATTAATAAAATATAAAATTAAGACTGGAAAATCCAGAGACAAGCTGTATCCTTAGAAGAACAAACAGTTAAAATTATTCAGTAAGCTGATGTATTTAACCATTACTGGGCCTGTAAAAAATGCATTAAAATTACATTACAAGTAGTTTGTTTTACAAGCAAAGAAATAAGTGAAGGCAAAGCTTGAAGTATCCATTTTATTATAATGCTGATACAGGATGTTGGAAGAGACCATACCAAACGGCAGCATTCGAGAGCGTGAGCATCTCGTACCCTGTCCGCATTGAGCGGGCCTGTGAGAATCGGGAAGTCAGCGCGACACAGGGCCTGCAAGGAAGTTCCCGCTGGCGGGTACAAACAAGGTATAATATCAGAGTTAGTAGGCAATACTGTTTCGCTGCAATTCCTTAATTTGTACCCATTAGCAGTACTTTACCTGTTAACTTTACTGACTTGTTAATTTATAGGGCAAAAGGCAAAAGCTTAAGAGCACCTGTGTTACTTATCTTCAAAGTCATTACGTTACATTACGGTAAGCACTTCTGGGTGCTGTGAAATTTTAAAACATCAATCATTACAATATCTTACACAATGTACTTGAAAACTACTATTAATTATAAAGTTAGGACACAACTTACAAAAACAGAACTTACCTGTTTGGGATTGGCTGCAAATGGAATAATTTAGTATGGTTTGTAGCTATTTTGATGACCTCCTCGCCGAGACACCTTCCCATAACCACTCTGCTGATCTAAATACAGGAAAGAAACTTAAGACTCAAAAACATAGGAGCCACTGAGAACCATCTATTTTGCAAAAGATCAAAACACAGAGAAGCAGGCACTTCACATCATACGAAATGACACAGACATCTGGAACAGCAGAGTCTTCTAAACCCATTGATTCAAGGTACATGGCTAAGAAGTGCTCATTTGCTGCAGCAGGTCACCCATCTTTCACAAACCCAACACAGTAATTCATTTAAAAACCACTGTATTTAAGAGCCTCAAAATACAGTCAGATAGCCATCAGGTTAAAACATGGGTCCTCAAACTACAGCCCGGGGACCAGATCCAGCCTGCCATGCCCATTTGGACACACTGTGCGTGCCCGCCACCCACCTCGCCATGTGCGTGGGTAGGTGGTGGTTTGCTCACTTGGAGAAAATGAACTCCAAGCGAGCAACCGCTGCCTCATGCGCCCGCCCTGCAGTGCGTGCCCTCCCCCGCCCACACCTCACCTCCCCCGCCTCAGCGCGCACGCCCACACGTGCCACCCCCGCACCAGCCCATGCGCACCGCCAGCACCACCTTTCCGGCCCGCACCCAGCACCGGCAGCTTTCAACTGGCCCCCTGGTGGAAAAGTTTGAGCACCCCTGGGGGAAAAGGTGGTACTCCAACAATGTAGCTCTCAAAAGTTGGTAGCAATAATGAAAGAGGTAAAATTCATAGCACAGCAGAAGAGGACAGAGCAAGCATTTCAAGCACATGGTCAGAACAAAGCTCCAAAATGTACATTTTCAGATTAATCTGTAGCTTTAAAGGAAGAGTTTTCAGGCAATACAAATTTAAGTGCAAAGTATAAGGCCAACCTTGCTGCCATCATGAAATCTCTATTTAAAAACCAGAACAATGACATCTCTTACACACAAACAACTGTGCCCTACAACCCTAGTCGTGCACAGCACATCACAGGAAAGTCACTGGGTCATTAAAAAGGTCTTAACCGTCTTCCTGAACCTGTGAAAATGCCCGCCACCACTCTCCCCAACTTCAGGGTAAATTTGCCATAGTTCTGCTTGAGCCAACATGTTTCACGCTCCATCCACAAAGAGCAGGAGTGGCAAAACAAAAAACATTGCCTGCACAGGGGCTCTGGTTGAGGCAAACCCTAAGAACTGATCCTCAGAAATATTAACTACCTGGGAATTCCAAGTTCTTCAAACATGCAACTAACATTCTATTGGTAAGGTAGTCAATCTTTCAAATGTTTTGAAGAAGTAAAGTATATACCCTAGACCTGGACAGGAAACTCACTACCCAAGACCCCTGCATTTTGTTGGCATTTTACATATCAACCCATGAAGGCAGAGTGAGTCACTCTACACTTACTGCTATAATCCCCATATCCATAATAGTTGTTGTAGCCGGTATAGTCATAGCCTCCATAGCCACCATATCCTTGACTGTTGTATCCATAGTTGCCATAACCCTGATTCCAATAATTACTGTATCCTGGGTTCCAGCTTTGACTGGGACCTGCAAAACAATCAGGAAAGGGTAACTGCAAGAGAGCCTGTGAACAAACTCACACCTAATTAGAAGGAAGCCCCCTATTTCCAGGTAAAATATATTTAATTTCCAGTACATAGGCAAGAGGGTAGATTAGGAGTTTAATAATTCACAAACAATCAGGCCACATGGTGCTAAACTCTGGAATATATTAACCAACTTTCTGTTCTGTTTGGGTTTAATTCATCTCTCATCAGCAATCAATCTTTTATTCTCAAAATCTTAAAAGACTCAGATATTAGTTTCAAAAAGTGAGTAGAAGAACATTACCTTTAGCAAGAAATAAAATTCCAGCCCTGAATTGCAGTTCAAGAAGGTGGCCAAGTACCGTATTTTTCACTCTACAAGACGTACTTTCCCCCCCTCAAAAGTAAGGGGAAATGTCTGTGTGTCTTACAGGTGAGAGCCATTAATCACAAGTTGGTGTGTTTTCAAATGGCAACCCATCTTTTAATGAAGCCCATGGGGAAGTGATGGGGAATGTGCCTGTGATTATCAGGATGCTTTCCATGGATCCCTCCTCTAAAAACTAGGTGTGTCTTATGGTCAGGTGCGTCTTATAGAGCGAAAAATACGGTACATAGAAAAGTTTGATAAGTTAAAAAACCCCTGAGAAGTATATACTTGATGTGGGACAACACTAAGGTGCACACAGACACTCATGGGCCCTTTGATATTTGTGCTTAGTATGAGCATTTGTTATAAACAGACTTACCTCCACCTCGGCCGCGGGCTCTACCAGAGAATCCCCCTCGAGTTCCCCATTGCTGTTGCTGCTGATACTGTTCTTTTGACATGGCTACTTTTATTTCACACTGAAAGATTGAGAACTAATTTGTACAAGTACTTTGCTGTTTTTTGGAAAGTGCTAGTAGGCAGCTACTCAATTACATTAATTGTTCAGAATGAATATGAATACGGTGTTGCATCATCATGAGAACTGGAAATGCAGTTTCAAAAACAGATTACAACAGGAAACAATGCAAAATTTAGACCTCATTTTCACATAACGTAAACCCAGAGTATGGGTTGTTGAATCCTGTTACTTGTGAATATAGAACTATGGATTATTAGCCACACACAACCAAGAAAGAGAACCCATGATTTGTTGCTGGGTTGTGAACTCTGGCTATCCTTACATGAGAACCTAGAAATCCAGGCGGGTTGGTTCATGAGGCTACAGTGATGGAACGCAAAAATGTTTAAAATAAAAACAATCTGCAAGGGAGGAAGAGAAGGAAGAATCAAAACAACCCAGGGATTTGTGGGCAGGGAGGAGATGTGCTTACAGGCAAGTCATGTATAAACTCAGGGTAAGGCAACAGCCCATACTCTGTTGGTTCCTACAGATCAGGTCACTGTGTTAAAGCCATAAACACATCAATAAGAATCACAAACATTGAAGGGCTATTTAAGCTAGTGTTCAATATTACTTATTTTTTAACCAGAAAAATCTGCTGACAAGACCCAATTAGTTTTGCTCCAGGAACTGATACTTAAAAGAGCAATATAAGTGCCAAATTAACCCTTTTCCAGTTATTGGCAGTAGAGAGAGGAATTAAGACAGGAGACAGGCTATTTAGGCAAGGGGAGGTTCTATGTGTACACTCCCATCTTTTTTACAGCTGCTGCTGCTACCCCACTAAACTGCCACTGAATTACTGAGGTGGTAATGGCAAAAGGCTGTATTTCCCACTTAAAACAATGTATGCAATGCAAAACCATCTCCCCCACTCAACTGAAGCGGCTTCTGGAAGTCTGCCTTTGCATGAAGACAAAACAATTGCTCCCTGCAAGCATTGTTTTGAACAGAAAGCACAGCTTTTATGCCAGCAGGAAGGAGAGATTATAACACCCCGTGAGTTCTATCCAGGGGGTAGAAATTGGCACCTGGACCTCAGAAGTTCCCCAGCTCTATAGTAAGAGGATATAAATACACTTACCAAGGTAAAATATAGTCCAATTTAAACCTATGAAAAGAGCATTTCTGTGACTGTTACCATAACTGAACAGTATCAAGTTATAAGCAATGACCCTGAGTCTCTTGTCAGGCAGAACACCAGACTCAGTAAGATACACCACAAAATGCCACAGTGTAATACACTCTGGTTCAGTTTCCATCCACTATACTCCACTTCCCCTCCCACATGATTTTCTGGTGTTTCCCCTGCTCCTACCAGTCAGCATGCTATGTATCCTGAATAATCACTCAGTCCTCATAGGGCTGGTTTTTTAGCATTCCACTTATTAGGAACTTTGTGTACTTTTAGAGACTTTCAGGTTGCCCCAAAGTTGGCACTCAGAACTAAATGTGCTAACAACATGTGATGTTGCAGAAGCCAAATTATGTGTTCACCAAGCAAGAGCTTTAGTATTTCTAACAGTTGTTCTACTATATTACACTTTTACAAATGTAGTTTGCTTCCTGGCATCCATCAATACTATTTCATTTGTATCCTCTTCTGTCTACACTTCACTCTATATAACAGTAAATACTATTGCCCAGGGAAAGCAAGATTTTCTTTCTAAAACAAAGGTAATTCAAAATCATAGTTTGAAACATACCTTACTAAGACCAACATTGTGGTATTTTTTTTCCATGATCTTCTTCACTGGTTCTTCATCTTTGAAAGTAATGAAGCAAAATCCACGCCGTTTATTAGTTTTATTGTCCATGGGAAGCTCTATTGATTCCACCTGATCAAGAAATACATGCATTTAAAAAACTGAACAGGGAGGATGAGATCAGTGTGTGTGTATCTTAAATAGTCAAAACAAAGAGAGAGCAGAATGGGTTTTTTTAAAGTTATTAAGCTTTTGTTAAAGAACTGGGTTAATGTTAAATAATCTGAATAGCAGCACTACAGTTACTCTACATTTCATTTTCATCCGATGAAAATCAAAAGCTCTCATCTACCCAGCACTAGATCTTACTCACAGCTATCCATCATGAATATTTACTTCTGTTCTACTTTGTACTTACAAGCTGCACAATGGAAAGACAAGACTTTCCAGTGTGCGGCCTCCTATAGCCCTCTACATAACCACAAACTGTGGCACCACTGGTCATAAAAAACTACACAGGAATATTTTGAAAACATTCTTCTCTATAGCTAAAAACCTATACAAAATGTCCACAGTGCAAAAGACATGTTTAGCCCAATTCTGAAAATAAAGCAGCATACAGATGCTGTTTTGTTGTGATTTTAATGTGATTTAGTATTCAGATTTGCACCATTATTTGGAAAACATATGAAGTATTGATGGGAAGGGTAATTTAAGTCTATCTACACTTAAGTATTCAGTTGACTGTAATTCAAAGTATATGATTCCCTTTTGAAAATTCAAAGCAGAACAGCATAAAATGGGAGTAATCAAGTTCAGACCTCACATCTACCCATGGTTTGTGCTAACACAATTTAGAAGGGAAATTACATAAAAGCAAACGAGAATTTATAGCTGCTTGCCTACTTAGGACTGCTTTTTTAGGCACCTTGGCCTCCATTGTTATATAACTGTCATTTGGTAATTCACAGATACCAAGCTACAGTAAGTTTCCTTTACCATGGTTTGGCATAATGTCCAAACTGATCCTGTCCCAAAGCAAATGAAGAGATAACCAAACTTTAATTAATTTAACTTAAGCACAACTATGCTAAACCCAGAAAAGGTAACCTAAGTTATTAAAAAGCAATTTAACTCTTAAAGGAAGGCTACCCAAGTCTAACGTACTCAGCAAAACTCAAATCTTAAGCTCCCTTGACAAGATAGAAATCCATCTACAAATGAATGATTTCCACTGATTGCCTTAAGGACATTACTATTCTTACATGTAATCTGAATTTCTGTCTCAGTCAATTATTAGACCATGCTTCTGCGTTGAAACAATAATGAAAAGTGCATTTCAAATCCCAATGATGTAGCAAAGCTCCCACTGATTTCAGTGGAGCTGGCAGTACCCTAAGGCTCTGGAAGTTAATTACTACCAATGCAAGCATAATATGTAAGAGGTCACAAATCAGTTTTTCAACTAACTTGTGGGGGAAAGAAAGCAGATGCAAGAAGAGTGTGAATGGGGTTAACTCGTCCCTTAGGCATGGTGAGCTGAATGTTGATGCCCTCAAACCGAGGCCCAGACAGAAGTTTGTAGAGACAGAGTGCCAAATGTCAAAGATTCAGAGAAGAAACTGCTTGCAAACAAGCATTCCATACTACACACTTCACTGCCAGGATGCTGGAGCTAAAATGCCTGGTATCCATGTATAATAGATTGTATTTCCACTGCATCAGAACTGAAATGACATATCAACAGGGACCAACTATTCCTGGATACAACATCTATAAAAAGGACAGAGCTGCCAACACAGGAGGTAATGGCACTGAAGACAATCAGCTACATCCTTAGAGGGGAAAAACAGAATCACTATGGGTTAAAATAATGAAGGGAGCAATCCTACGGCCCCTACAAATTACCCAGGGAACAACAGGGTGCTTCCACTTCCCAGATATGAGGTCACACACAGCACTCCTATCTCAGAATTCAGATTCTCTCACCTCACTCAGTGACCACAGAAGGAACTGAAGTTGGCAATGGGGAAGGTACTCTCATGGGCGGCAGGGAGGAGACAGGAGGCCAGGATACAAGTGATCCCAAAGCCTCTCCAGCATCCTTCCTCCTACATTCCAAAATGTCCCAGCTAGAAGACAAAGAGGAAATATTCACCTTCACCATCTTCCTGTTTCACAAACAATAGCCATAAGTCTCTGAGTTCAGGGACTTATGGCCACGAAAGAGGATTGTATCTTACATGTCTAAGTTTCCCTCAGCAGGACCCTTTCAATCCATTCGAAAATGAAGAGAGACTTTCCCTTTAACTGAAGTGACATTCCAGCTTTGACCCCCAAATTAAAGTTCTAGTGGGTTCTGAGTTGGAGAAAACTCAGGGGAGATTTTAAGCACTGAAATCACTGATGATCACAATCAGCTGGGTCCCCTGAAACCAGCATGAAGACTAAATTTCTACATATGATAAATTACTGTGTCTTCATGCAGTCATGGGACCAATAAAAGATGAGACAAGTCTTGATTTGATACTGGCTATTCCCAAAAACCTGTTTAGCTGCTTAACTGTTGCCAAATAGCTTAAAGCAGTGACAGAAGACTACAAAATTCAACACAGACGAGTGGAGCCCATACAGACATTCAGAGGAGAAACCTTTTTAAAAAGGCTATACTTCAGAGGTTGTAAAAGGAAGGATAAATGCCTTCAGGAATTTTAAGTTTATTTAACAAGTATGGTAAGAGGCACTAATATATGCCACAGATTTTTAAAAGTGGTTAGGCTTGAACATGACACTGATATACCTTTGAAAGAGTGGATATATTGCTCAAATCAGGAAAATGTTTAAAAATGAACACATTGTGTTTTTTGTCTCCCTTTGGTAAAACAGAAACTAGTGAGCAAGTTAGATGCATTCATGCAACTATTTAATATGTCAGGAGGAGGAAATTAGCCTAAGGATGTTAAGAAAGTGGGAACACAGATGACCAATAGAGTGCAGAGAAATCATTAAATGAAATCTTTGCACTGGCTGCCACTGTGGAATATATTGAGCTAGCTTCCAAATTATAACCATTGCTGGAAGACATCCAATATCTATATTTAAACTTTTTAAAGATGTTAGGAGGGCAGAAATCTATGAAATTATAGACCTATTGGCCTATCTTCTGTCTAAGGTTCAATAGGTAAGAGGCAAAGGAACCGCTTTACAAAGCATTTAACTAACTTATGGAAGTCATTGCTACAAGATTAGTTTAGATGGCTGTTTTTTTTTAAAGTGAGACTAGACCAAGAACAACTGTATTGATGGCTATTTGCAAATATAGGTAAACAAGTGGAGGCTGCAATGAAACACTACATATGGAGTACGTTCCCTGTCTGGGATACCACCTATTCCATTCCCCCTCCCCATTTTGTTACCCCACCCCATTTAACAGTAATTCAGGATTTTACCATTCTGTGGCAACAGACCAAGCTCGGACCTCAGAGCCGTTCCTCACATTTCCTCCTGCCTCCATCACTTAATTTTTTCCTAGCTACTTTTTGTAGTCCCCCAAGACTACTACTACTTCCCTACTGATGGGATGCTGTCATTCTGGCTATATGACATGTCAGAAATGAAACTCCTATTAGTATACTATTTTATGCTAATTATCGCTCTGTCCTTCAGTTCTGGCTCCTAGGTGACTTACAAATATCAGTAACAAGATAGAAGTTAGGACCTTCACATTCAAAGTTAATATACAGGCAGTCCCCAGGTTATGCACATCCATACTTATAAACAAACTGCCATAAAACCTAGTAATTTACAAATTCAAGTTAAAGACAAATGGTTCATAGTAACAAACGTGGGGACTTTTGAAGTTCTGTAACCTGCTACAGAAAATCATCATCATCATCAAAAGAAAGAAAGCGAGGGGGAGAGAGGGAGGGCCTCCAAAGCATGCCTTCTTGCCCCACTCATCTAAAGAGGGAAATCTCTTTGACATTTCCTTGGTGCAAACAGAAGGCGCTGATGAGTGAAAGGAGGCTGGGGAATAAGAACAGAAAAGAATAGGAGGCCTGCTGGATCAGGCCAAGGTCTGAGAGAGAGGGAGAAGAAATCCACGATGCGCATGGCCAACAGTATTAAGAAGTAAAGTTTGGGGAGCCTGGAGACATTTGTGGTTTTTCCACTTGCAGCCTAATGCCGGCAACTGTAGAGGGCCGACTATACATGGAAGTGTTTCTTAAGTGTGTTATATGCACAGAGAGGTAAAATGTGTATACCAAGACGAACATTTGGCTTACTCATGCTAAATATGACCTGAACAAACATGATCCAACATACATAAACATTTGACATAAAAATAAAGATGTGACTGCCTGTACCTCTGAACACCAGATGCTGAATGGAAAGGACTGCTGCCTCCAGGCAGCCCACAAGCAGTGCATGAACGCAGCTAACAGGTCACTAATGAAAGCAGAACCAGATCAGCCCTTGCTCTGATCCAGTGGTTCAGAGTTTTATACAATACCACAGCTGGAATGGTTACATCTCTTCTTGCATGGGAGAAATGAAGTACAGTGTCTTTCTACGACAATATTATTAACTCTGCATTTGGTTCTACAACAGCTTATAACAGTGGTCCATGCTGCAATTTTTGCATTGACCCCAGGCAGAAGGCCTCAAGGCTTGCCAATATGGAAAGCCAATTTTACCAGTATGTTCCAAAAAGGCTTTCCATGCTTTTCCCACAGTAGCTCAAGTGGTCCACTGATAGCACATCAAGAATAAATCAGTTCACACAGGCCTTTTAAGATCAAATCCCAAGAACAAAATATAACAATCTATACCTAAATGTATTGAGAATTTACTCCTAGGAGCAGCAGAAATACTTAAAAGTATCCTTGAGTGCCCTGGTCCTCCCTGCCCAGATGTGGCTACATCACTGTTAAGAGGATAATGACTATGTCTGAAACACGTTAATTGAAGCTAGGTACTACCCAGAAAATGGTTATATGCTACTCCTGAAAGCAAGGTCTCAGACAGCTATCCCAGCTGTCCAAAAACAAAGCTGTTGCTGTCTCCTGGTAGATGAACCAGGAGATTAGAGTCATATAATTCCCTTAATTCTGTAATGCTGATATACAGAGCATCCCCACCCCCGGGGCCCGTTTTTCTGGTTTGGAATATTGTGCTAGGATATGAGAGCAGTTTATAAAACACTCAAGGAAAAACATTTAAATGACGTGATAGTTGCCTTGCAATGTCCAACTGCTCGACTAATAAACTAAAAAATCCTTTCCAACTAAAAAGCTGCCCTTCCTTTAACCTAGCCAATTGCTTAAAGTAATATTGTTAATGCAGTTTTTAGAAAGCATCAGTGGAAGACTGTCTTAGAACAGGCAAAAATTTCCTGTGTCTTTCCCAAAACACAAAGAAATGCCTGTTTATTTACATGTATTATTTGTACACCACACAATAACTAATTTTATTAGCACAATGAGCAAAAGAAACAGAAACTGTCAATGTCAAAATATGTGAAAAATCTAAACAAAATACATTCATGGATAATCTAAATACAAGTATTTCTCTCTTCAGTTTTATCATACAAATTTGGCAGATTTAATGCAAAATCCTATCAGAGGGCTGTAACCCACCAAAATGGGTTTACAAGCATCCTATGCAGGTCAGCTTTGTGCTCCTCACACCCTGCAAAGCACTTGGATGGCCAAAACTGGCTGTATACTGCTTTGGAGCAAGCTATAGCACCACCACAACACACTGTAATTTGGTGGTGTCAACTCCTCCCTGCCCACCGAAAGCCTCTCTCTCAGAGAAGCAGTCAGTGCAGCCCTTTCCATGCCAACTGCATGAAGGGAGGCGGATCAGAGCATAGATCCCCAGCTATGAGATTGGAGCAAACTTGCATTCTTACAGCTAGGAATCTGAAGAATCCCATGGCTAGATGCTGTCCAGCAGCCATAGGATTGTGCTGCCCATCAACTGATTAATAGGATGACAACACTAATAAACAGATTGGGCAATTGACTTACCTCACCAAAACCTCCAAAGTATTCCCTTATTTTTTCTTCAGGTGTATCTGGAGACAAGCCACCAACAAAAATCTTTTTAACTGGCTCTTTTGTTTTCATGGCTTTAGCTCTTTTGGGATCAATCACTTTGCCATTAAGTTTGTGCTCTTTTTGTTCCATGACCTGTAAGCAGTTAAACAAGCCTTACCAAACAAAGGATCTTAATCTTTTCATTATGCAAGAACCAATGTTAGATGATTGTTTTGTTTCAGCAGTAACAAAACATCTAAAGAACATACCTTGTCCACACTTTCAGACTCCTTGAAAAGCACGAAACCAAAACCTCTTGATCGCCCTGTAATAGGATCTAACTTCAGGGTGCAGTCTACAACTTCACCAAATTTTGTGAAGTAGTCCTTAAGATCTTTCTTTGTAGTGTCCCAGCTAAGGCCTCCGATGAACATTTTCCTGCAGGTACAAATGAATATTAAAATGGCAAATTTTAAAAAGTCTGAAGTCCATATTTGGATAGTCTAATTGAGCCGTTACTCTCTATGTATTAATATGCTACTTTGACTTTATCATCATTAGATTAAGAAACCCTTTAAAAACAAGTAGACCAATTCCACTACCCTGTCCTATTACCCAGTGTCCACTACAGGACTACATGCAGTGTCTGACAACCATTATATGCTCTAGCAGACAGGCCATTTACATTACTGGGATATCCACTATGAGACTACTGTTGAATGAAGGATTAAAAGGTCCTTCACAACAACAGCAGAGCACTCTGAATGGCCATATCATAAATCACAACCTGGAACACAAGTGGCATAAGCCTAGTAAGGCTAAGTCCAGAGAACAAGTATGGTATGGTGCTTAGAGTGTTGGACTAGGGAAATAGGAGGTGCAGGTTCCAGTTCCTACTTAGCTATGAAGTCCACTGGGTAACTTAGGGCAAGTCAGAGACTCTTATCCCAACCTACTGCACAGGGTAGTTGTGAAGATAAAATGGGTCATGTAAGCCACTTCAGGTCTTTCACAAGAGGGAAAAAAGCAGCATAAAAATGCTGTGTAATAATCATACTAACAACCACCACCCTAGGCTGAAGGAGGCCTGTAAGGCTATCACACATGTTCTTTCTAATTAACTGAAACTACAGTTAGTCCAGTACTATATCACCTCCTTCCCTCCTCCATTTTGTTAACCATCTGACAAAGGTAATGTGCAATTCAACAGCCTAATATATTTTCAGTAACTGGAAGGTTCCCTACACAAAACAAAGTAGTGCTGCCACCTCAGAATGGAAGCAGCCATACAACTGGCTGGCTCTGCTTATGCATATAACACCAAAAGATACTTCTATTCTACTGCAGCAAAACAAAGTGGTGGTTTTGTAGAATTCAGTGCAAACACAAACCAGGAAATTCCAAAAATACTATATGATCCAAAACATCCTGCTATGCAAGTACTGGGGACCGGGGGGGGGGTGCCATGCTAAATTGTTCTGAGATGAGAACAAGGAAGAAAAATACTGTCAAATACTGCAACAATGTTCAAAAAAGGCATACATCAGTTTTCCTTCTCAGTCTGCCCCTTTGCCTCAGACCAAGAAAACAGGTGTTCCTTAAAGACTGCACCTTATACTGTAAATTTGCCTAAAGGACCATGTGGTGCATTATGTGCTGATTGTAAAAACAGCACAGAACTTACACATGAAAGAACCAGCAAGAAAGCTGAGTGCTAATTGAGAATAATAAGTTGCATGCTTCCTGATCCTACTTTCAAGGGTGCTTCATGCAAAAAACAAGCTTCTTTAGATGCATTCTTAAATTTATGCCATGGGACAAAGTTACTGGTTTAAAGTATAACAACTTCTGTCATGGCCATATGTGAACCGGAAGGAAGGAAGGAGGAAGACAGACCGACCGACGGAACCAACCAACCAACCAACCAACCTTTTTTAAGCCTTAATTTTGACAGCTATCAAAAAAAAGTGCTCCCGTAAGTGAGGGTGGGCTGTTTTTTCCCACCTTCTCAAGGACCTAGAGGCTTGAAGGAGGGTAGAAACAGTGGAAGACACCAACAGTTCCTCCCAGCTTTGTTTTTACTAGACAGCTGCCTGTTTGACTGCTGTAAAGTGAAAGCAAAGTATCTGAAGCCTGGCTTTGCCAACGCCCCTGGATGGTGCTCACTTTTACAGTCAAGGACCCACCAAGGCATTGACTAGGCAAAGTTTCAAATTTCAGTTAGGAGTTTCTTATTTGCACAACTCCAAGCATTCTTCCACAACCCTAAAAACATTATTTTACAAGTTACCAAACACATTCGCACACAATTCTGGTGCAAAGAAAAGTGGTAGTAACAGGCCCTCCAAAGTGCTGCCTAGGCTCTTTGGAGGGGCAGTCACTGGATGTCCCTTTGGAGACTACAAAAAGATATCTGAAAAAAGGAAATTATTGGTGGTGGGGGGGGGGGGACCTGCAGCAACTACAAAAAGGGTCACAATTTCAACAGCGAGAGCTAGCCTATGACAGTCATTCCAAAGGGCTGCCTAGGCACTTAGTGAAACACCTGTCACTAACAGTGGCGCAGTGAAGCTCAGGCAGAGGCTTTTGCTACTTTGTTCAAAAACAAGATTTGCTTTGTTCAAAAACAAGAAGAGATGGGCTTTTCTTTCCTTATACTTCTTGCACTTTTCGACTTCAATACCCTCTCCTCCTATATAGAGAGGCAACCAATAAACATTTTCAGCAGAGGGCAGGGCCTAGAAAAGTCTACCAGAAGTCACAAACACAATTCCAAGGGAACAGTTTTATCAGCTCAGAAAAACAATATATCCAATGGACACAATTCACACTGTGAAGAATGAAAGAGCAGCCATCCATACACAAATAGAAGCAGGTTCCCATGCAGAGCAGACATGGCTGTAGATGCCCTTATAAACTACCTTGTACATCCAGTAGACTACATTCTTTATCTGTGAAGTGATTCAAGAATTAAGCATTTCACAATGAGTAATCCAGGGAAGATGATATCAGGCCTTTTTATAACCAGAAGGTGAAATACGAAATAAGGCATTATTACTTCCATGGCCTGGAAATTTAGAGAACCTGCTCTAGAAAATATTTATCAAATATTAATACAACAGCTTGTCTTAAAAGGAGCAGAATTGTTAAACGATCTAAACACCCTGCTTACCATACCATTATGTTCAAGATTCTACCTTGCAGAAAAAGCATTAACTACTTTAAAGCAAATACTTTCCTAATATTAAATTTGACCTTCCAAACTCAAATCTAGGTCCAGGTTCCAAGCCACTATGGATTTGTCCAGTGACAATTATGGACATTAAGAGCTGAATTGAAAAAGCAGAGCACGTTTACAGAACTAGACAGCATCTTAAAAGTTCTAAGAATAAATACAATGCAATGGCTCAAGGCTGTGACGTGCACAGAGAAGGCTTGTCTAGCCTTGAATGTCAATAGAGCATATTTCTTTTCAAGTTTGCCTCCTGTGTTTGGAAAGAATCCAGCAGAACACAGCGGCCCAATTCGAAGAAATGCACCCTAACTGTGCCAAGATATACATGAGTCTTTTCCCCATGCAAGTAGCCCATCCGTGCATCTGAATGTAATATAGAAGCCTTCAATTAAACACATTTCCCGTTCCATATGAACCAGGAAAGTACAGTTACCATCTTTGGAATAAGTCATGGGGAGTGGGGGTGGGGGTGGGAGTGGGGGGGGGGAGAACATTAACATATTGATCCTTGCTTATCTTGAAATGGAAAACTATCACTGGTGGTTAATTTCCTGGTTGAATTGTGGCTCATATTATACAAGGAATGAAGGTGCTGGGTGCATGGGCAAAGGATTGATTCATATCACAGCTTAATAAGCTGTGATACAGTTTAAAAAACACCCTTTCATATCTGTAGATGCTCACTCATTTGTTCTGAAACCTAACCCACCCCAAAGCCTTGGGAAGGTTCCAATATTTTACAGGCTAATCCTTTTAAAACTGTTTAAACCACTATCTTTTCCAAAACTCTGTGTGAAACTCGAAGAACAAAATCACACAGGTCTTCCTTAGGTATCACAGCAACACAAGTGACAGCCAGAAATTGGTTCAAGTTATGTAGGTATAGCTTTACACAAGTGACTAAGCATTCTGGTCAGGCTGTCAGAGGCATACTGTAACAAATAAAGCAGCACACAGGGATTTGATAAATTTCCAGAATGACCAAGTTCTGGAGTCAAGGGGCATCCTTGGAGGGCTTCCCTAGTCCTACCTTAGAGAAGATAGCAAGTGGGTACTAACAGTTATTGTTTTATTTGAATTTAGTAATCACTAACACTAACAGAGGTTGTCTCATTTTATATTAGTCCCAATGACTTTACTTAAGATGTCATGGCCCACATTTAAATTGAACCCAGATTGAAAACAGAAAACCAGCTAATGTTCTAGAGAGATTGTGTTAAGGATCCTAGTTGAGAGAGACCTGAAGCATCTTCTCTCAGCAAAATCTTCTATGTACTATGGCAGCCCTCCTGTACAGTACATTATAATGCTCTTGCCCAACTTACAAAGCCAGGGCTAGTTGTTTATGTACAAGCTACAACAAGCTATTGATAGTCAGTGTTTTTCATTCATTATATAAGATACATAATATGCATTATTTGAAGAAGCTTGGTATTATACATATATACCAGATAGTCATCTTTAATGAAGATCAAAATTCTTCAAATAAAAAAATACTTACAGGTGGACAACTTAAATAACCATCTAGTGGATATCTGAACTATGACAAGTAGCAATGAGCTTCAATGTCATCTTTTAAAAAAGAACTTGGTAACATAGTGAATGTGCCTTACAGAACCCCAAGTGCCACAACTAATACAGAAGTCAGCACTATAGGGCCAGAAAACCTACAGAGGCTTCATGACCAAAGAGAACAAGGGAAAGTTTTGCATTCATTCCAGTGACTAAAAATTCCCTTTCCTCAAGAAGTACAGAACAATCTAGGCATCTAATTTCTTTGCCAAAATGTGAAAGTGTATAATAATCTTTTATACACTATGCACAAGTTAGATTTCACACAAAACAGATAAGCTTGCACCATGCAAGTCTGAAAAAAATGGGCACACCCAAAATGGCTGTTAGCAAACTGCTATACAACATTACCATTTCTCTATCTTTCCATCTCACACAAAATATGCAAAACTAAAGTCATAACCCCCTTCCATTTACACAGTCAAGACTACAGCTATACATACCAAAAAAAGGCCTTAACCAAGTACCTTTCTGAATACTCCCACTTTCAAAACATTTCAAGTGGGGCTTCTTCCCCAACTAACTCTATTAAGTTTTAAGCCCTTTTTAAATTCCTAGATTGTGTTTGAAACACAAGCGATTCAAAGGCTCTCAACCCACCCAGCTAACTATATATATCCACATGCTGCCTTGCATAGTTAGACTACTAATTCACCTGAAAATCAAATACATTCCCGAAATCCAGAACAAGTTCCAAAAACCTTCTCAGTTCCTTCTAGATCTTAAAAAAATTTACGATTTTCTCAGTGCTGCTCTACAGATGAAATCTTCCCAAAACAAGCCGTTATCTTCATAGCAGCTATCAACATAAAAGCTCATTTCTTGAGGCAAGTCCCTGTCCCGAGGGCCTTACAATCTGAATTCCCTTGTTCCTCTACTATTCCCCATGGAGGTATGGAACACCTTTCAACCAGCACCACACAGACTGGATTATGGTTGCTCCTTAACAGTCCCCATTCAACCCTCTTTCTACAATAAGGGTAGGGAAAAACTTTTTCTCAAGCTTGCATACAGACGACGAAGAGATGCTTAAATTCGACATCGGGGCAGCACCACGGAGGGCAACTGCACTCGCTAAAATCCCCTTTGCCATAAAGGGAGGAAAGAAACCCCACTATCAAAACCGTGGACGCGTTTGCAGCCGCTATTCTTTTAAGGCGCCAGAGTTCAGCGCGTTTGCTCCCAGCGTGTGATTTGAAACCCGCACAATCAGAAAAGGAGGAGGCAATGCACTGCCCACCTCTTCCTTTCCTTCCTATACGGCAGCTTCAAGCCATCCGAACACGACGAGGGAGAGCGGAAAGAGAGGGAAGAGGAGACAGTGGGATGCAGCAGGAGCGGCGGCGGCGGCGCAGAGCCGGCTCGGGGCACGGGCCCCAGAAAAGCTTTTGCCGCGCGAGCGCCGCCACCAAGCTCCACCGCTCCGCTGAGGCCGCCCGCATCCTCTTCCCGGGAAACAAGCCGGCCAAGTTCGGAGGGGCTGATCCGGGCTGAGGTCGTCGCTGCTCTGCCCCCGCCGCCTGCCCACCTGCCCGCCCAGGTAGGCCACTCTCTTACCCTTCATCCTCCTCGTTCTTGCTCGCATCAATTTTGGCTCCCTCCGATTCGCCCGAGCCGCCGCCGCCCCCTCCCCCGCCGCCGCCGCCCCCTCCTTCCGCGCTGTTGCCGCCGCCGCTGCTGCTGCCCGCGACTCCTTCGAGTTGCTCGGTCGCCTCCGAAACCTCCGCAGCCTCCGCGTCTCCGGCGAACTGCTGCTGCTCAGACATGGTGGCTGCTGTGCGGACTCGGCCGGCCGGTCTTGCAAGAGGAGGAGGAGGAGATGAAGAAGGCGGCGGCGCCTCTGACGGCGGGAGACCGGCCGCTCACGACGGGGACTGAGACTTGGGCCGCGGCAACCTGTCCGGCCGAGAAGCGCGGGCTCTTCGCGTTTTCCCTCCTTTCTTACACTTTAATGGCGCCGCCTCGATGATCCCAACCTAAAATGGCTGACGGAAGGAATGCTGCGGCGCGGTCACGTGGCCGACGTCCCCATTTCCCCGCGCGTATTCCTTCTGCGCTCTCTTCGCTTATGTACCATAGAGATCTAGAGCGACACCTCCCTTCTCCGTACAGAAAGCTCTTTTGACGACTTTCAGTTCGGCTCCTGAACTTCAAGCAGTGTCGCTCTACGTGTTTCTGAACTCTATGGTTTGTTTACCCTCGTTCCCGCTCTATCCTTTTCATAGACCTAAGAAAATAAAGATGGGAAAAGACTATCCGCTGCCATTTCGTGCGTGCGCAGTTACGGAGAAGCTTGTGAATCATAGATGAGAAAGCGGCCGCACAGTAGAGCGGTTCAGGCAGAGACAAAAGAGGACGAGTTTCACCTGGTTTTGCTGGTTCGCCGCACGGAAAGGAAAAGAGTGCTGTTAAAGCAACTGCATCAATTCCTGGCCGGCAGTTTGCAGGGCCCTGCAGAAAATACCCCAGTGCTGTCCTATTGGACTGCTCAAGGCATCTAGGTCAGTAGGGATTGGGTCCCGCTGACTGGCGGGGAACACATTGGGCTTGGCGATTTGCTGAATTTTGTGAAGTTTTTCTCCTTGCTTGGTTACTGGCAGCGGGCGCATTAAGGCAGAATCCCACGACGGAACAACTCCCTACAGTTCCCAACATTCCCCAGAGAGCAGGGGCTCTTTTCTGGCTAAACATGGGAGGAGGATCACAGCCTTACAATGAAATATGCCGGTCCCGTCCCGTCCCCCCCCACGTAGCTTTGCCTTCACCCACTTTGCTTCCAGCTCTGCACACCACTTCAGTGCAGGCCTGAGGGGCTTCTCTGAAATTAAACCTTGATGGACTGCACTCGCGAAGGCACCTACAACATGGCAGAAACAAACTGTAGGAAGTCATATGTATAGACTTTTGAAGAACTGCAGTTCTGATTGGCTCCCTGAAATCATACAAGCTGTAGCTCTCACCCTGTGAACTTTTACAGTAACTTAAACCCAGCCGTGTCTGGAGATGCCAAGAGTTTGAAACTGGAACACAAAGCACCTGCTCTGAGCTACAGAAAACTGATTCGAGGCACCATGAAATGCTAACACTGCATGAGTAAGAGATTGAGCTAGGATTGGAAAAATCTGTCATCTTCTCCACTGTTCGCAACCGATGGGAACTCATCTTCAGCAAGTTATTGTGTACGTACATGACTGCATGCTTTTATGAACATTCTTAAGAACTTTCAGTGTTTGAGACCCTTACCATAGCCTTAGTCACACAGCAAGGCACAGGGGAATGCAGCTTCTGACATTTGGAGGTCTTTCCCATCATATGACATTCAGAAGTGACACTTAAGTAGAATAAGATGGAGCTAATTTAACTACTCATTAATTGTTGTGGTACAGGGATCAAAAGCAAAGAACCAAAAAAAAAAAAAATATATCCCAGTGGATAAAGGAGCAGTGGTTCCATCTTGAACCAAACAAAAATCCTTGGTTTCAATCCAAAATTCAGCCAAGCATCCTTAAACCCACTTATCTCAGTGCGTTTTAAATTATCTATTTTTTCAGACTATGTCCCAAGTATATCAATTAGTTACTGAAACTAACTAGACAGTGAAACATAAAAGATTTAGAGGGATCCAACTTGAAGGTTGAAGTCAACTTTCTCGCTTCATTCTTCCTCTACCCCATTCCCAGACCCTCTGTGCAAAAATCTGGGTACTCCTACATACAGGGAGGAGGGGGCAAGAAAACCTGCTTCTGGGTGCATGCAGCTAAACCTGAATCGAAGCCTTTCTTTTAAAAATCCCATTGCACTGGTTCTTAATTCTTTAACTACCTAGTTTTTCATGAACTTCTTTTAGCTTTCTCTGCTAGAGCCGAGAAAAACTTAAACAGAATTGATAGTGTTAAATACAATGCAGTTACTATGAGAGAAGCAAAAACATAATACAGCGGTACCTTGGCTCACAAACTTAATCCATTTCAGGAGTCTGGTCGTGACCCAAACTGGCCATGAGCCAAGTTAAATTTCACCATAAAGTTCAATGTAAATAAGGTAAATCCATTCTGTAACTATTTTTTTAAATCAGAAAAATGTGAAGCAAAGTGACAAACAACAACGAAGATCAGCCTCCATCTCCCTCCCCCCCAGCACGACCGCAATCATGCCTGTCATCCCTGCACACACCCATCATCCCAGCATGCTGGGGGGTGGGAATTGAGCACAAACACGGGCACACTGGGGGGGGTGGGCACAAACATGGGCACGCTCAAGGGGGTAGATGGGCGCAGTCATGCTGGTGGGGGAGATGGCCGAGTTTGCGGTTGTGCTCCTGCAGGAAAGTCGGGCACAATCTCGGCCATCTCACCCCCACCCCCAGCACAATTGCAGTCACCACCCAATGTGGAGTTTGCAACCCGAGTCAATTTTTTAATGAAATTTTTGTTCACGACCCAATTTGGTCGTGAACTGAGGCATTCGTGAGCCGAGGTACCACTATAACAGGCAAGGTTGATTTGACCTGAAAAGCTAATCTAAGCCTTTTATTGTGCTCTCATGTGAATTTATTCATGTGAATTATGGAGGATAAAATTGATTCATTTTCTCAGTTTGTCTTTTCTTTCTACAAAAAAATTAAGGGAGAACGTATAGCTACATACTGCCTTATGCAGCTTCCTCATCCAGGAACTCAGGAAAGTATATGAACAAATATAGTTGTAAAAATGTATGCAAATCAAAGAAAAAATTATTTCTGAGAAAGGAAAGTGGTAGACATGAACATTTGATGCAATAGATGGTAGGGATTCTGTGGCAAAACGCTGTCTGAATGTGCTGTTCTGAGTGGACTACAAACAGAAGAAAAAACTCTCGAGTTGTTTGGCAATTGTACAAACTAGGCATCCCTAATACGGTACTTGCAAGTACCCCTTAAGTACTCACGTTTTTCCTTTAAAAATGTTTCCCTTTTCCAGCGTACGTACATCAGTTTGTGTATATATATCCACAGCAATGCATATGAAGTATATGTAACTTTTTTATATATAGGCTTTATCCGTTTGAAGGTGGAATTTATATGCTACCCATTCAAATATTGAAAATGCAGCAAGGTCCATTGCATTACAAGAGGTGAGTCTTCATCTTTTCAGTGTTCTAACAGCAGTCCTTTTCCTAGCAAAGGGGCACAGAGAATCCATTTACACTGCCCATTTGTTAATTTCCATGAAACAGTATGCAGGACTGTGAACATTAAAGACTGTTCCAATACAAAATTTAGCAGGTATGTAATAAGATAAATAAGCAATAAGGTAGTAAGATTTTAAAAATAACTACTTTTAAAAGACTGGCTGTATTGCTCTGCCAGCAATTAGCTGAATTGTACAACCCCTTATTATACAGATGCCAATGTCCAATAAACATGAAATTAAAGTTTCTGAATTATTCAGTGTGAGGCTAATAGATGTAACAAAGAAATGCCAGAGCTATCCACTGACTAGGCATCTTCTGCCAATATTTACAAGTTTCTCAAACTCCCAAATGTGCCCAGATTCATAAAGGTTGGGGACCCCTCATGTGCTGTGCCTTTAAGTTCATACATATCAAAGCTCCTGTAGCAAAAAAGGGAAAGCCTAGATGGATGACAAAAGAAACCAATTGCCAAGGCCAGGCAAGAAGCAAAAGGTGACAGAAATACTATCAGAATCCTGAATGCGACTTTTCAGCAAGTATCAAATTGAGATAAAACGAACTATTAGAAGGACCAGTGCAAACAAGGAAAAACAAGAGACCTCTTCCTAAAGAGCCAGGAAATCAAAGGAACATTCAAACCTAGAGTTGGAATACGGAAATACAAACAAGGGAACATACCATCTGACCTGCAGAAAATAAAGAGAACGTAGAAATATACAAAACTCTGTAATAGAGATGAAAGAATGACTCCTTCAAAGAGAACTGCAATATTACAAAGCAAAGTAAAAGCTGCTCTGTATGCATTTCCAAGGAATAGAACATCCAGAGTAGACAGGATTCCAGAAGAACTATTCCAAGCTGCAGAGACGGAATCGGTCCAAATCCTAACAAGAATATGCCAGGAAATGTGAAAAACAAAACAATTGCCCATAGACTGGAAAAGTTAGATGTACATTCTAATCCCAAGGAGATACAAAGAATGCGGCAACCATAGGATCACTGCACTAATTTGCCACGCAAACTGTGATGTTTATTCAAAGTGTTGCAACAAAGAACGGAGCAAGAAATGCCTGATGTTCAAGCTGGATTCTGAAAAGCATGGGAGATGTTGTAAATATATGTAGGCTACTAGAGCATACCAAAGAATTTCAGATCAGAGTATGCTTTATAGCATGGGTCCTCAAACTGTAGCCCGGGGGCCGAATCCGGCCCACCGTGCCCATTTGGACCCACCACGCACGCGGGGAGGCAGCGGTTTGCTCACTCGAAGAAAACGTTCTCCAAGCAAGAAAGTCACTGCCTCATGCGCCCCTTGTGGCGCATGCCCACTCCCACCTCGCCACACATGCGCACCCTCCCACACCACACCGCCTCAGCACGCACGCCCGCATGCACCCTCCCTGCCCTGGCCCACGCGCACCACTGGCACCACCTTTCCGACCCACGCCCACCACCAGCACCTTTCAACTGGCCCCCTGGTTAAAAAGTTTGAGGACCCCTGCTTTATAGAATACAGCAAAGCCTCTGACAATGTAGGCAAGGTATGAATGGTGCTGAAAGGAATTATTGTCCTGATGCGTAATTTGTATTGGGGACAATAAGCTGTGAGGACAGAATATGGAGAAACAGCATGGTTTCCTAAAGGCAAAGACATAAAGGAATGGTTTATTTCATCTCCCTATTCAAACTGTACACAGAACAAATAAGGAAAGCTGGATTAGGAGGAAGAGTGAAAACTGAAGGAAGACACGTCACTAATTTAAGATATGCAGATAATACCATCTTACTGGCAGAAAGCACTAACTTAGAACAACTCCTGATGAAAGTGAAAGTTAGTGTAAAAGCAGGACTGCAGCCGAACATTACGAGAATTATAGAACTTTACTGTCAACAATGAAAAAATCAAAATTGTGAAAAATTGTGTTTATCTTGGCTCAATCATTAATTCAGATGGAGACTGCAGCCAAGAAACTTGATGACCACCAAGATTTGGAAGGGACCAATAAAGCAACTAGAAAAGATAGTGAAATGTAAGGATATTTCACTGGAGGCCAAGGCGACGATCCTTCATGCAATTGTATTCCCAGTTACTATGTTTGGGTGTGAAAGCTGACAGGAAGAAAACTGATACATTCAAAACATGGTTATAAATAGAACTATAGTAATGATACTGATGGTTTCAGAGAGCTTTGAGAATACCTTGGACCAACAGAAAGATGAACAAGTGGGTTACAGAAGCAAAAATGCCAAGACCGATGTTGTCATACTTTGGACACATAATGAGACGACTCATTGAAGAGGACAGGTATGCTATGAATACCAAATACAGGATGGATTGGCTTTGATTAAGGAAGCCACATGCTTGAATTAAAACAGCAAAGCAGGGGTGTCATGCATAGGACATTTTAGAGGTGTTTCATTCATAGGGTCACCATCAGTTGGAGATGACTTCACAACACCTATCAACGCAGTAACAAGTCAATTGCTAAAGCAGTATTAAAATTGCTACCTGTTCTTCTCCATTAATTCCTTCTCTAATAAAAGGATCTGTGTGTATTGTTTCCAAGTAGTTTTTCTAATTATTAAATAGTTAACTAACGCGCAATCTCACTAAAGCAAAAGGTCCAAAAGTGAATTGGGTAAATTTGTGGATGGCCAACATTTCCAAAGCCTAGTTCCTGATCTACTAACTACTCTTTTGAAGATGTCTCTTTTCAAGAAAAATTATGGCATTTTAAATAACACAGAGCCCTCCATCTTGGAAGGATCCGAGAGAAATGTACGAGTCTGGATCTGCTCCAGTAGCATGCTTGTAGTAAGAGAACTGCATTCTTAAATTGCATAAAGGCATAATCCTACAGGACTGCACCCTTCATAATCAAACTCAAAGGATTACAATCATCTTATTAGGGCAAGAATGCCAGAGACAATCTTCCCCTCCTCATCCATCCAGCTTGCAATTTATTAGGTTAGTTTTTATACTTGTCCAGCAATCACATTTTGGAGAGGGAAGAAGGCCAAAGAAGCCTTAAGGATAGCTCCCGTCTCCTCTGTCCCTGCGGATTGAGTTTCCAACATGAGAAAAGCAGCAAGAACAGTTCTTTCTGAGCTCACTGCAAGGTAAGCATGATCTCAGAGTCCCACTTCTGAGGTCCAAGCAGCCAAACTATTCTATGGCCCTTCAGATAATGTCAAAGGGCCCTAAGACTGCTTGCTTAATAGCTCATGTGTTCATTAATGTCATCGCCAGTATCTATATAAAGGATAAAGGCATTTTAGCCCAGTCTCATACTATCTACGATAGGAAAGCATTAATTTCCCTACAATATTCTCATTTCTGAGTCAAGGCAGGCCATGGTATTCTCAAAATTCAGGCAGCAATCACAGAAGTTAATTTTTTATTTGAGTCATTCAACAAATAAAAATTGTATAAACACAAAAACCACATTGGTATTGAAACACAGATGACAAAAAGGACAAAAAGTAAAAACCATAAAGAAAACTAGCCAGTCACTATGTACAGATGGACACTGCTGTGCCGTACACTACAAGTCTTTTACAAAATAATCTCATGTCACGAAGACCACCCTCCAGTCAGTCCTGATGTTCTGCAAGATGGCTTTGCTGTAGAATCTCTACCTACAAAACCAAGACAAAATAATTATGAGACCTGTGCAACATTTTCAAGCATTTTTAAAAGGTCCATTTTCATGAACTGCTTTAAGTCCTCTATTTATTCCTCGCTTCACTGTTAAAGATCATATGCATATCTGTCAACACAAAATGCTTTTGATGACCCAATTACACTTTATGTGCCCAGATGCACCAATTCAGCTCAAATGATGGAGCATGTCAAAGAACTGTAGAAACTCAGCAAAGAAGTTCTTGGTTTGCTAGAAACCAAGCTCTGGAAGAGCCTTTCATGGCTTCAACTGCTATAGTGGGAAAGAGAAAGTGGCAATACACCAAGGAAAGTTATTGTTAGCCAGGTGATTAATAGAAACCACTATTTGCATATGATCTTTAATGTTCCCAGATTTAAAACTTCGTTTTGGTTTGTAGATTTCACTAATAGCTATAAAAGAAAAAAGCAAGCATTAAATCTTAAAGAACAAGCACTTAAAATGAGGTTCCACAATTGATATACAACACTAAACAGAAGACCAAAAATGATTAAGCTGTAAAGGCATTTATGCACTTTAACTCCTGTAAAAAACCATTTTAAGTTAAGACACTTAAATCTCCAAAGATTTTTAAAAAGAAGCCAAAGTCTGAAGTTTTCCACTTTAATCTTTACGCTGGTACATGAAGTTGGAAGAGACCATACCACAGGACAGCGTTTTCTGGTGTATGCCTTGCGCTCTGCCTGCAACGTGCGACCCCCAGAGATAGACGTGGTCAGGGTGACACACGGCCTGCAATGAAGTTCCCGCTGGCGGGTACAAACAAGGTATAATGTCAGAGTTAGAAGACAACAATCTTGTTTTGCTTAAGTTGTACCCATTTCAGTACTTTACCTGTTGGTTAATACTTCTATTAAGTTTAATTATTCCTCTACACCACCTGGCACACATTGTAAGCAGAAAAACTCTTATGTTTCTCTGAAGTACTAAGGACGACGAGCAACCTTTTACAGAGTTAAAGATCTATAGACACTTAAAACAAAGAGTTTTTAACACACATTTTTAAACACATATTAATTTTTTTAAAAAAATCAGGCTATCCAAGAAAGTGGTTTTTACGCGTTGTCTATTGATCTTTAAATTAAATAAGATTAGCTGTATGATAGATGATGCTTTCATGCAATACACACCTGTTTATTCCCAAGTATTTCTTTAATATGGTTGGTAGTTGTTTTGGTGATTGCCGCCACCTCGGGAAGCCTTTCCATATGTACTTTGCTGCCCTGTTGGAAAGAGCAAATTGGCAGCCTTAAGGCTAGCTCAGCAGGTAACACAGGTGACTAGTACAAGAAGGTATTCATCCATACATAGCCTTTATGTTTAAAAACACAAAGGATAAACTGACATCACAAAAGTTATGAAATATATTATGCTAAGTTTATAATTTTCATCCCAAAGAATCAATAGAATCTTAGTCTAAGAAATGCCAGCCCGTACCCTGCCAGGCATTCACTGAAGTACCTGGGCTCTCCAGAATGAAGAAACAATCGCAAAGTCAGTTTAAATCTGAGGTTTGAGTTCTATGCAAAGTTGAGTGAAAACATTCTTACCACTGTAGTCAGCATATCCCTGTCCATAGCCATAACCCGGGTAGTTGTACCCAGAATAATCATATCCACCATAGCTGCTGTAGCTCTGATCACTGTAAGGACTGTTGTAACTGCCATATCCTTGATCATAATAATTGTTATACCCTTGATTCCAGTTCTGGCTTTGACCTAAAATGAAGTGACCATGGCATTAAGTCCTTAATCCTTTTACTGCATCAGGGAAAAATTAAAAGCTGCTGTAGGCAAAAACATGCAAGATATTCGTCTAACTTCAAGGTTTCTCAGTTTGGTTTCCATTCCTCTATTTCAGACTTCAGATGTCTACAGAATACTGCATATGCCTTTTTTGCAGGAACATGACTCAGACCATGAATAGAGCCATTCATCTTCCCTGCGCTCAAACCCGGAGTTATCATTAAGTCAAGTGCATCTCTTGCAAGTTGTGGCTTCCCTATTTCAATTTGTTTCTGAACGTACATTCCAGCAGTGAAAATTTAAGTCCTCTTGCACACACTTACCCCTGCCACGTCCTCTGGAACTGCCACGCCCACCAGATGAAGCACCTCTGCCTCCTTTCTGTTGTTGTTGTTGCTGCCTATATACATCTTTGGGCTGTGCTACTTTGATCTCACACTAAAAGAAAACACAGTGCGTAACTTTAATACAAGATACATGAGGGAGTTAACTTTCATGGCTTCTGCAGGTAAAAACAAGTTTCAATTTCAAAACAAGATACGAGTTTCAAATTCTTTAACTGAACAACAATACCTTGCCAGAACCAATTTGATGGTATCTGCTTTCCAGCAATTTCTTTACTGGTTCCTCATCTGAGTATGTGATGAAACAGAAACCCCTCCTCTCATTCGTCTTTGTGTCCATGGGAAGCTCAATATTTTCGATCTGAAATGCATATTGAAAAAGCTATAAGCATATAGTGGTTCTGTGTAAATTCCCTGTTCTCTCTACTCATCTTTTCTGCCCCTTTTTCCTCGTGTCTGCTTGGCTACATCTTCATTTTTCCAGCCCCCACCCTGCCCCCAAGCTTTCTTGCTACTCCCTCATGTTTGGAACCCTCACCAACCACAATATTCATAATCATGTATATTCAAATCATCACTTTCATCCCCAGCTCCTCTCATCATACAATTTCTTCTTTCAATCCTGTATTTCCTTCATTTAGTCATTTAGATTATTTTAGCAAAGAGCATACAATTATATCTACATTACTCTTAAGTTCCATGCATATTAACACATGATCACCATTTGTTAGCATTTTCTAAGCAAATAACTAAATCAAAACCAAACTGAATATGGTAGGGGGAAAAAATCTTCTCCCCTTTCTCATTATGTAAATACATCCCTACTATTTAATCTCTGTTTATCCTTCATCCCATACTCTTCTCTAGTTTAGAAGCTGTATAGAACTACATCAGGACAAAGTGGTCACAATCATTCAAAATTATTCCAAGCAGATATAGCATAGTTTAGAGTAACCAACCAACTTTAACTAGCTGCCATGCCACATAAACTCCCTCAACTGTAGTTTAATTAATGTTAATTAAACAATTATACCTCTCCAAAACCACCAAAATATTCCTTTATTTGCTCTTCAGATGTATCAGGACTCAGTCCACCAACAAACACTTTTTTGGGTGGTTCTTTCCCTTTTAGAGCTTTTGCCCTTTTGGGATCTATTAGCTTGCCATCCAATTTGTGTTCTTTCAATTCCAAGACCTAAAGAGACATTGAGTGCAAATTTAACTGCAGATAAGAAAAATCCACACTAGTATTAGGAGATGCTCCTTATAGCCATGCACACAGTGACGTACCTTCTCCACACTGGCAGCATCTTTGAAAAGCACAAACCCAAAGCCTCTTGACCTTCCTGTGACAGGATCTGTTTTAATTGTGCAATCCACCACCTCTCCAAAGCGAGACAAATATTCTGTCAAATCCTTTTTGCTTGTATCCCAGCTCAAGCCTCCAATGAACATTTTCCTGCAAAGAAACAACGTGGATTTTAGTCAATTATATCTTCCTCAAGCATTACACAAGTATATATCCATTTACATGTTTAATATGATCAACAAAACTGAAATTCTGTAATGCAATTACACCAAACCAATACAACATGATGATTAAACTGAATTGTCCCATCCCATACAGCATGACAAAAATATTTCCTCACAACCTAGAGAAATTAAAGTTCTCACAGCCATGGTTCTACCACAAGTAATAGCTAGGAAAATCCAAAAGTTCAATGTTAAGGGGGAAGATGAAATCCCCTGCCCCAAAATACGATTCAACTGATTTCCAACAAAGGCAACAAATGTGTAACATTTTAAAAATCACATTTGTAAACGAGCAACCCAAACCCTAATACAGGAACCGGTTAATTTTAGGCAGGTCACAGCACACAGATTTACAGGATGTGTGTTCTAAAACTGGGAAAAACATCAAGCAAATGTTGCTCAGCATCATCAGTGGAGGCAGTCTTATTTATTTAAAACTTTTGTATGCCGTCCTCTATGCATGGCATCTCAGGACGGCTTACAAACATTAAAATAAAAAAAATAAACAATACAAATATAAAACAATATATGGACAATAATAAATCAAATCAGGAATGACTGATTAAAAGCTATTAAAATACTAATTTTTAAAATAACACGTAAATAAAAAGGTTTGGACCTGGCGCCAAAAAGAATATAAGCTCGGCTACAGGCAAACCTCTCTGGGGATGGTCTCCCAACTTTGTAAACTACAAATGCTGAGACTGAATGCCAAGGCTCCTGCTCTGCCTCATTTTCCCAGCTGAAGCCTCTCTCAAGGTCAGAAATCAAATTCACAAGAGGAAAAGGGGCATGCCAGGGGAGGAGATGGCTGGGGCCAAAAGCTTATCTAAATGGTGCCAATAACAGCCTACTAAACAAAGTGCAGGGCATGAAGCATGGGGCAAAAGAAATAGCCCTGTGCACTGGGTGCATGTCAGCTTCCAAGGTCAGAGGCTCAGACGCTGGATTGTGTCTTAATTATTTTTCTGGATTTCAGAAAAGTTCTGAACCCTTTCTGAAATTAAGACAAAACTTTTACCAGTTCAAATGCCTCAACTGAAAAACCAGTTTACCGAGTTGAAAACACACATGCAGAGATTGTGAACTCTGTTATTAAACTCAGCAACAAGTATTAGCCATACTTTTTGGACAGATCAGTTAATTTCAATATAATTTTTTTGCAAGTAAACATTAGGTCTTTGCTGTTACTGAGAAATGCAGGGCATCTTTGTTTAAGACAGTTTGCCATTAAGGGCAAGGCAAAACTATATGCTTGATTTACAGTTCCCAAAATCTTCAGGGCTGAGTGTATAATTATTGGTTTTCCTTAAAAACATAAGCAGAAGCAAGATTAATTTCATAACAATAGGCAAGAATTATCAGCATGAAATATTCTTGATACAGTAAACCATTCACAAAATGTAAGAAAAGACAACTTCTAAAAGGTCATGAAACCTTGCAATTACTCAAGTTTGATGGCTCAGCCTTAGTTCCTATCTAAAATCAGAATACGATAACCTTTTTACTGCATAGAATATTGCAAGAGTAACACACAAACCTAATGGACTCTTAACGAATAAAAATAATGCCAATAAACTCCTACAGTATGTTCAAAGCATGTCACCTAGATGTTTTTTATTGATCCTAACAATCTTGAAAGATAGGTTCCTATTAGTGGGAGGTAGCCAGGAAGCTCATAGATTTGAACTGGACTTTCTACTCCAATCAGTTTTAGCCACTGTATTGCCATAGCTATGCACACAAAATACCTCAGCTAAATATTCTAATTTAATCTTTTCTTGATATAAATCCTCCCAAATGCCTTACAAATTGTTGGCAGGTAAGGCAGTAATTAAAACCAATGATAAGAGGCTGAACGCAGAGCAGGGACAATCTCACACTCCAGCAGCCACAACTCTTCTCTCCTACAGCACTAGCTAATCTATCAACCCTCTCACTTCCCCACAGCAATTTAAACTGCAGGAACCCAGGGCTTTTGTCTCCTGTCACTCTAAACTATCCTTTCCCAACTCAGCCACCAAATACGCTCAACTACAACTGTAGAGTATTATGAAAGCTGCAATCTAAACCATGTACCTAACAAGATATGCTGGTCTAGCATATTATTGCAACTGCAGTTCATCATAGCATCTGGAAAGCGCCGGGGCAGGGCTCTCGTATTACGGGAACTGTAGTTCCAAGGCAACCGGAGGGGGCCATGGTATAACGTGGCGTCCGGCAACAGCAGGGGGCTGGACTCGATGGCCTTCATGGCCCCTTCCAACTCTTGTATGATGGGGCAGGCTGCTCTAAAATCAGCAGGCGGCCAAGACAGCTATAATCGAAGTTATAATTGCGCCTGCACGCCAGCCAGACTCCTACGGTAATCCCATGCTGGTACCACCTGGCACACAAGAGGCGTGCCCGGCGCAATTCTGCTCGCAGGCGCAGAAAGCCACCCGCGCACCGCGCCCGGCCCGGCCCCCCGCGCACTCGACACCCGCTCGCTCTCCGCCTCCCCCGACCAAGTCCCACCCATCCCGCTCCGATAGGTTGTCCGTTGCGTCATAACGGCTTGATTGGCAGCTTTGCCGACTCCGCCTATTTGGAACTTCAGGCCAACACGCGCGGGAGCCAGGAGGGAAGAGGAAAGACACAAAGGGAATCAAGGCGACAGGAAGAGGGGGGCGACGCTTACGCGGGAACAGCGGGAAAAGTCACGTGGCGGCCGCGGGCTGAGGGCCTTATCCAGTTCCTTGCCCTTCCCCCATTACCACTCTCGCAAGCTAAAATGGCGGCCGGCTAGACATTTCTTTCTCTTCAGCCCCCGTCGTCCCGCTCCGCCCCTCGGCGAGGCTGCCCCCTTCGTCCGCCTGTCTTCCCCTCGTACCCGTCATCCTGCTGGTTCTTGCTGGCGTTGATCTTAGAGCCCTCCGCGAAGTCGTCCTGACCACTGCCCGAGCCTGCGTTATTGTTATTGCTGCTGCCATAGTCGGTATTGTCCTCCATAACGGGAGCGGACCGAAGAGAAAAAGCAGGAGCGCGCGTACCCACGCGACACACAAAAAAAGGCAGGAATAAGCACAAGCGACCCTCAGAGAGTATTAAAATGGCGGCCGTAACAAGAGATCCGGGCAGAGCCTGCGCCGCGTTTATATAGAGGCGCTCTCGTCCAATCAGCAGCGCTCGGCGGCGCAGGCGCACCGGAGGCTGTTGAAGAAGCGGCGGCGCAGGGTGGAGGAATTGCTGGAGCAAAACGGCAGCTTGTGGCGGAAAGGCGGTGGGGTGTGCGAGGGGCGGCTGCGGCACGGACCGCTTCCTTACTCCTCTTTTGACCTGTCAGCGCGCTGTTTTCAACCAGATTCGTTTCTCAAGTTATAACACGCAATACACTTTTCAGAAGCGAATTCTACTATCTTCCCTAGACCCAGCGACTACCCAACAGGGTCTCATTTGCATCAGGCAACTCGCCTGGCATTAATTGTTGTCGAATATAAAGAGTAAGAAAGGGAGGAATCACTGCAAGTGCTCCTAAGCAGAGTGCATTTCTTTGTCATGAATAAACGCAAAAGGGAGACGCACGTTCGTGTGTATACAGTCAACAAGCGTGTCTGTGAGGGAGGGGCCATGCCTGCAAACTCCACCCCCCACGTGCATTCGGCATTAGTCGTGAAAGAGGGTATGTTAAAGCACGCACAAGTTCGAGCCTCTCTTTTGGCTCTGTCAAAAGCAGGCCCATCGTCGTTCAGCCTTGTATCCGGTCTCTTGCACAAGGTAAACCCTGTATATAGGAAGCGGGAAAGTAGGTTTCCTGCAGCCTTGACTTTTCACGCATGTGGTGCAAGTTGCATCTTGATGTTTTGGGGAAATGCATGCTAGCCATTAGCGCAATAATGGTTAAAGCAAAGCGCTTCCACATCTGAAGTTGTTCCCAGGTGAGTGTGAACTTAAATACCGCTTCCCAATAAAGTTGGGATCTTTCACTTAAGTCCTGTGCTCTGGATGCAATGGGACATTTCCAAGTTAAGTCTAGGATAGAGTGCATATGCACCTAGCATTGCAGCTACAGTATTCATTCCCAGAGAAGCACCTTAGTCTTATGCCATACCTACTTAATGAGAGTGAGAGGGCTGGAACAATCCCACTGTAATTGTAGAACCACGGAAGCCCAGGTTCAAATCCTCACTTATGTCTGGGAATTCCCTGAGTGATCTCTGGCCATTCATTCTTAGTTTGCTGGGAAGAGCTGAGTATTCCAGGCTTCACCATGGCTGGCTGGGAATTAAAGTTGTTCCCCAACATGTATGGAGGGCACCGTATGTTTTAGGGGAGACTGAGACTCTTAAGAACCTGATCTTCCAAGAAGGGGGAGATTTAAAAAAGAAGTAGTAAATAATTGAACATTGTGTTAAAGTTCAATTACTCCTAGTTAGGTGGTCATAAGAGCACAGTCTTATGCTCTTGGCTGTCCAGGGTTTCCATTTGTGCAAGGATGCACTTCCTAAAAAAATATTTTCCCATCAACTTAACTTCACCTAGTGACTGACAACTGTCTACCTTCTTCCATCCAACTTTGCAAGAAGTTAAGAGTGCAATCCTTATGCATATTTAGACAGAACAAAAATCTTACACTTCTACAATTCTACAACCTTCTCGGCCTAAACATATATAGGATGTTCATATCAGTCTTCTTTTTCACCTGATCAGTCTGGCTTTGGAATTACTCTCAGAGTTTAAACCTGGCAGATTATACACTGCTGGATAGCTGGAAGCTGGTCCCTGTGTGTTGTCTGCACTTGACTGAACACCAGGTTAGCTGAGGTATGGTCCTGTAAACTGAAAGCAAAAAACACAACCTTGCTGCAGAAACAAGGTTTCTGGTCATTCACCAATCATAAGACCGCACCCACAATGTTCCCTCATCAGCCATACGTGGAAGGTATTGCAAAACAATAACGAGAACCCTACAATGACTTTGCACTAAGCACTACATCCTCTTCCACACAGAACTGTCAGGAGGAGACCACAAGCGACAAGTATAGCAAGTGACAGATAACTGCTTCAAATTCACTGGCGACCAAAAGAGTCAGCAAATGCCCTTTTTGCTGGATAAATGGTCAGGACTATTCAGTGAAGAACTGACATTCTCCTTGAACCAACTTGCCAACTACAGTAAGAACAGTAAGGACTTGCTGAGGTCATGTGTTCTGAACTGTATTCCAAACATCAGTATTAATGGCTGTGTGCAAGGAGAACAAGCAGTTTCCAAGGAGCTGGAATGAGGTCCACATGCAAAAGAATGCACCCTGTAAAGTCACAAGAGAAGAGCGATACAATGGAAAACTAGAGAGGTAGGTTTGTATCTCATCCCCAAGGACAGAAAAGGGAGTTTCCAAGTCTTTTTAAAGTTTCAATTGGCAGGAATAAAATCAAAGAAAGTGGAGAAGCTAGGGTGGCTACCACCTCTCATTCTAGAAAGCAACATCCTACCACACAGCATAAGTATAAAAAATGCCTTTGTTCTTCATGGCCTTACCCACCACACACTCCCTTTCCTTTTCCTAGCCCCAAGCATCAAACCCAAGGAGCTTAATCATGGTGCTCTATCAGGTTATTTTGGTCCCAAGCCATGTAAGACTTTATAGGTTAAAACCAGCACCCTCAATTGAGCATCCAGAAGCATACAGGCAGCCAATGCAGCAGGCCAGAGTGCATAGCAACATCTAGCCCAGATATTATCAGTGTATATTTAGTTCATCTATATTCTGCCCAATAGCCAAGACTGACTGGGTGATTAACAAAGTAAAGGGAAAAAACCTACAAGATAAAATCAATAAAGCCACAATTGCAATTGCAATTGGTTTGATTCCAATCGAATTGTTAGCCATTGAATCAGCATAGATGCACAGCAGCAGCACAAAGTAAAATGCAATATTAAAAAAGCAAAGTATTAAAATGCTGGGAAAATAAGAAGGTACTCACCTTTGCAAAGCGCATTGCACAACCAGGATGCCACAAACAAAAAAGCCTCCCTTTTACTCAAACCAGGCTATCCCTACCTGGATAGGGCATAGCTGGCCCACTAGCCAAAACTGGTAGAAGGCAATCCCAAGCCACCAACCACCTGAGCCTCACGTGACAAAGATAGATCAAGGTGCCACACTGCACCTTGGGTTGGTGCAAAATAGAGCTGCCAGGTTGCTGACGGGGACGGGGCGTTATGCTCACATGACTCCAGTCCTCCGTCAGCTTCACTGGCTTCCCATTGAAGCCCGGGCCCAATTCAAGGTGTTGATTATGACCAGTAAAGCCCTAAACGGCTTGGGTCCTGGCTACCTGAACGAGCGCTTACGTCCATATACACCCGCCCGCCCCTTGAGATCTGCGGGAGAGGCCCTTCTCCGGGAACCCTCCATGAAAGAAATTAGGAGAGTAAGTACTCGGAGGAGGGCTTTCTCTGCGGTGGCGCCCAACCTATACAATTCACTCCCCAAAGAGGTCCGCCTGGCACCGTCGTTACTGGTTTTTCGGCGCCAGGTAAAGACCTTTTTATTTAAACATCATTTTAATTGTTAAAATATATGATCTGGCCAGGGCAACTTCTTCTTCCTTCTCTTTTCTCCACCTATATTATTTATTTACTTATTTTATATTGTTATTTTTAATTTTATATTATTATGTTTGAAACTCAGTGTATTTTTTGTATTTTTGTATTTAATGGTAATTTATTATGTTCTATTGTATTTCAATGTATTTTATTGTGTTGTAAGCCGCCCCGAGGCTTCGGCAAGGGGCGGCATAGAAATGTTATAATAATAATAATAATAGTAATAATAATAAACCCTGAATCAACAAAGCATCTGGACTAAGCCCTATTCCTCTCCCTCCCATGCCCACCTACTCTGCCCAATTTGCCCCTCCTCCTGGGCTTCTGAAGCATCTGAGTTGGTATCAGAGTTTTACTGTGGTGGGCCACACATATGATGGTGTCACATAGTATGCTGGTGTATCTTGTGTTCCCCTGGACCAGGAGAATTTAGGAGAGATTTTCTCTCCAGCCAGGGGGAAAAATTGAGAATAGGTTTGCAAAGCCTATTATCTGTTTATCCCATCCCATGCTCTTGCCTTCAGTGGGGCTACAGCTGCTTCAGCAGAACTCCAGTCCTCAGCGGTACTGTATAATATATCAAATATATGAATATATTTGATTTATTAGTTCCCACCTTTTTCCTTACAAGAACACAAGGCAGCTTGCATCATTCTCCTTCTGGTCTCAATTTTATCCCCACAACAGCAACCCTGTGAGGTAGGCTGGGCTGAGCATCTGTGACTGGCCCAAAGTCAACCAGTTGGCTCCATGGCCAAGCGGGGACTAGAACCCGGATTGCCTGAGTCCCAGTCCTGCACTCTGAAGCATGCCACACTGGTTTTAATGGGAGCCTCAGCTATTAAGCAGGATAGAATAATAATAATAATAATAATAATAATAATAATAATAATAATAATAATAATAATACAAAGGTGTATCCCACACTCCTGTTCTACCTGGAGAGGCAGGACAGACAGATACACCACCTGCAGCTACAAAGGAATGCAAAGCAGGCTTCACTACAGAAGCCTTTAGAAGAAAAGATCATTCTCTGTTGTTACAAACAACACCATTCTTCCAAACACTTGTTTAAGACCAGGAGAAAAACAGCAGGAGCAAAATAGAAAAAGAGAGGGGAGTGAACAGGCAGTTATGCTTTGGAAAATGTAACTCTGCGTATAATACATGGGGTTTAAAGTTGAGAACCAGATTTAACAGACAAGCTGTCCTGAGCGCTTGCCGGAAGGACAAGATATAAATGTTTGTAATAAAATAAATAAATAAATGGGGGGGGGAGATAAAAGGCCAGAAGTTGTAGAGGATTAGATGGTGCTGGAGTGTTTTTACATCCTGCCCACCATTCATATAAATCAAATGAAATGCTGTACGGAAATGTTCAATCAGGTACCACCAAAACATGTGTGTGTGTGCCCAGGGATGCAAGATGCCTTCTGCCCATAACGGGGATATATGTGAATGTTGATGTTAGATATTACTAATCAGATAGTACCTTTGCTACGGTCAATTAAGGAAAGACTTGGGGGCAGAAGTTTAGGGCTCCGCTCCACTCCACTGATGAACAGGATGGCCTCCCAAACCAAGCAGGGCAGCAGGGTAAGCTTTGCCACCCGCTAAAGTAAAAGAACCCAGAACTAAGTAAGAAAGGGGGGAGGGGGGCATGCGACCATTAAGTCTTGAGTCGAAAATTACTTAAGTGCACCGCAGACCCTCGGGACTTTAAAATTCTTTAAAACCCCTGGAAATTTTTTCCCCCAAGTCCCCAAAGTGTCAGGTTTACAGTACACTTAAAAATAAGAACATGCAAATAAACCCTACTCTTGACAGTGGTCGGGCACATGCGAACAGATTCCTGCTGTAATTTCGAATTCCAGCCACGGTTTTTAAAGATCGCGAGTTAACCAGAAGGCGATGGAACAGTTTGTCCCACCAGTAAATCTTCGGAGAAAAGTATTTGCTCTTACTGCTGCAGACATTCGCCCATCACTTGAGCCACACAGATAAAGACATTGATGGAGGAAAATGGCCGCTGTTTTATTATACAGCACAGGCGTCTAGGCGTGTCTACGCGTGTTGCTCAAGGCTTTCCAAACGTCCCTAACGGAGAAGCGGCTCGAGCGACTTTTGCTTGGGGGCGAAATGAGAACGGTCACACGCCCGCCCGCCCGGGTACAGCTGAGAGCGCCAACAGAGCGCTCCCGACAGGTTTCCCTTTTCCCTCGGCTCTGTTATCCCTGCAAAATATCCGCAGCGCTGCCTCCTCCCGTGCAGCGCCGAGGCCAGAGAGGTGCAGCCTCGCTTGAATCGGCGCAGCTCCTTGCATCCTCGGCGGACGCATGCACGGCAAAATGCACCCCTCCCCGTCGATCCCAGCGCGCACCGCATTTGCACTGCGCCGTCCGGGGCTACACGCTAAAATGCCCGGAGTGCGCACTCCCACGTCCATCGGCTTCCTCGGGGATTGCTTCCAAGGGGACGTGCATGGGAACACTCTACTAACAGGGCAGCCCCGACCGATAGCGCGGAGCGCTGGCCCCAGGCCAATCAGACCCATCTTCCGGTGGTCCGCCCCGTCTCCCTGCCTCCTCCTCCTCCCTCCCATTATGACTACCCGCCTTCCTCGCCCTTTCGGGCCGCCAATCAGGCCCTGGCGATCCGGATACGGCGTCCGCGACTCCGCTTCCAGCCACGTGGGTTGCTCGGCTCCGCCTGGCCACAGGTTCCGCTCTCGCTGGCTCCCTTTTTCTTCCTCCCTCCCTCCCTCCTCCCTCCCCGGCGGCTCGGCGCTTCGCAAGCCCGCAGCCTCCTGAGCCGCTCCGCGGGGTCGTCGGCAGCCGCCCGGGCCGTGTGCGCACGTGCGTGTACGCGCAGCAGCATTCCCAGGCTCGGGTCGCGCAGGGGTGGACATGGTGGGTTTCACGGTCCCCGCAGAAGTCAGCGTGTTCCTGCTGGACATCGAGGGCACGACCACCCCGATCGCGTTTGTCACGGTGAGAGAGATCGCGGGGCGGGGCGGGTGCGGCGTCGGTGGGAAATGATGCGACGTGTGAAGCAGAAGGCCCGGTAGTTGGATGCGTGCCTGAAACAGGGTGTGTTGCTGAGGAAGGGAAAGAAACCTCGAGGAAGAGTCTTGCAGCACCTTAACGCCTCTCTTATGGTGTGTAAGCTTGCGCGAGCCCACAGAAACCACATGCAGGCGTGAGTGCAAACAGGCGCCCCGCCGCCCGCTGCCCAAGCTTCCTGGCAATGGTTGCATGTTGCCCACGTTACGGGCGGTAAGGGAGAGTCGTCCAGTCCAGCAGCCCTTGTCAGCCTTCTCCTCCATGCATTTGTTCGTCCTGGCGAGCCATTCCAGCTTCTCCCCACCCTTGGAGACTTTAGCGAGGCTGGAGCTGCAGTTTCAGAGGCGCTGCTTTGAGGGGAAGACCCGCTATCGCTGTGGTTATGGTTTCTGTTTTTTTAAAATAGTGGCTTAAATGTTGTATTGAAAGGTTTTGCTGCCTGAAAGTATCATATTGTTGTATTTTACGGTACTGTATAAATGACAAGCCCAGAGAGCTTTGGCTGTTCAGTAATATAGAAATGCAGTACAAGAAATGAAATGTGTCCAGTTCCTGTTCAAATGCCTTCAAATTGCTGGACAGCACTACATCTTGTGGAAGTGAGTTCCATAGTTGAAGGTTTGCTCTGTGAGAAGTTCTTCCTTTGATCTGTCCTGAATCTTCCACCAATCAGCTTCATGGGATAACCCCAAGCTCTAGTATGATGACATAAGCTTTTGAGGTTGTTGGCCACTTGCATCTCTCAAAGTGCTCTCAAAAGCTTATGGCATAACACTTCATTGTTTTTGTTGCGGCAGACTAACCTCTTTTGTTGCTGGGATCACACACATGAAGACTTTTGTTTTAGACAAGAGTTCTTATTTAGCTTGATCTTAAAGGTCATCTCACTCAAATTACCAGTAATTGTACTGTCGTATATCACTGTATTTACTGTAAAATGTTTGTGGGCTTATCCAGTGCTATTTCTGGGGGAAAAATCTTCTGGAAAAGATTTCATTACATAGCAAACTAATCTTGAGAGTGTGTGGAATTAAATGTAAGCAGTTTTTACTAGTGGGCACTGGTTTGTTGTTTATTCCCTGTAGGTGCTTGATAGCAGTAAACATACTTTATCAGCTACTTTCCTTGAGTCGTTAAATATTTTCCAGTGATGTGTTGCTGTAGATATGCTTAGATTTTAAGCCAATATTGCCACAATGAAATGGATACTTATATAGATGTTTGTTTGTTTGTTTGTTTGTATCATATTTATCTCCTTTTATTATTTCTAATATTACGTCTTATTTCTACTGAACACTTTTCTACCGAAACATGACACTTAAGGCAGTTTATACAACCATTTAAAATTAGTTAAAATGATACATTAAAATAGAACAAAAACATAACTATTACAGCAAAATATTAATAGCAGCACTTTTCTTAGCATCATTTTGGTATCTGTCACCTTGCCTTCTGTGGAGAGAAATTGGTGTTTTCTTTAAAGACCTTTGAAAGAACAGGGGAGATGAAACCTTGACAGGATTGTTTGTTGAAGTTTTGCAACTTCTTAAGGATCTTGACATTCCTGGGTTGTCATTAGATTATTTTTGTTGCACATGAATCTTAAATACTTAAATGTGTGTATTTAGGTCTTCATGCCCGTTTATAACTGAAATATTCTCATAAACTCCCCCTGCATGTCCTTGCATCCATATTCTCTTCTTTCCTCTGTTGTCTTCCTTCTGTTGGTTTATATGTAAGCCCCTTGGGGCAGGGAACTGTCCTCTTGCCTTATAAAGTGCTATGCACATAGATCAAGTATGAGCAGCTGGTAACTTTCTGAATTTTTTTTGTCATACAGCTCCCATCAGCCCTGCCTGGCATAGCAAATGTGGAGGAATTATGGGATTTGGGGGCAGGGGAATGAAGGCACACAAGTTTCCCACCTCTGACATAAGACAATGCTACATAAATGACATTGTGTTCTTGGACTAGCTTCTACCTCACCATTGCTATCTTAAAAGGGGGTACATACACACATGCTTAGAGAAAAATCATAAATAGCTGGCCATGAAATACCAGAAGTACCACCTGAAACGCTTCTGTATCTCTTAGAGTTTGTGAAGTAAAAGGGCCACCTAGCTTTAAACTAGGAAGATTTTTTCTCTTCTGTAGCCATGTGTATAAATTAGCCAACTGGGGACAAATGCTTCTTATATCTTAAGTAGATTCTAGTGCACTAAAGCACGTGCCACAGTAATTCTGTCCTTAAAATGCCAGAAGCTTTTGCTGGGATTTCCCCCCAAACAGTATTTTAGCATGCAATTACTGTAAAAAAACATCCATAGAAGACTTTTAGGACTTTTAAGACTGAAACTCCACTTCTTTAACCAAAAAATCCAAGGAGATTAGGTATCCTCCATAGCTCTTTTAAGTAGCGTAAGAGGGGAAAATCTCATTCATGAATCAGAAGAACAAAGAGTGACTCTTTGACAGAAAGATTCCAGATTTGCTGTGGGGAAAGTTGGAAAATGGTGATAGCCTCATAGTGTGATAGTGAAAGTGACAGACTCTCTGCACATGCACCAAGGATGAGGCACAGGAATTTTGACACAGTGGGAATGAATCCCCTTTCTAGGCTGCAGGTGCAAAGTATGTATTTCAATGCTCCCCAGTGTAAAACACACACATTTTCTGCAAGTAGAAAACAAGAATGGTAAGGAGCAGCCCAGATTAATAATTCTTTCCATGACATGCTAGTTCTTGCCGACAGGGAACTCTTGCGTAGTTGAGCATGCAGAAATGGCAGCCTCCGCCTGTGTTCGAAGTGGTGTAATACTCAGCATTGCTCCAGGGTTCTACTAGGCACACAAGTGAAGTCCAGATGTGTTGCGCTACAATGCCCATAATGCTTGACAATTGGCAGTGTTGCTTAGTCCTTGAAAAAGAATCAGTAAGGCTCAGCCCTGTTTAACCAAGAGTATCAGTGAACTTGTGAACAGGGGTGGTCCAGAGTCCCCTGGCAAAGAGGGCTCAGTGAACCTAGCAGTGATGGAATAAGAGGGAAGGTCCTCTTACGGGTTAATAACTGAGTAAAGAATAGGAAACAAAGAGTAAGAATAAACTGTATTTTCTCTTGCTGGAGAAATGAAAATACCTCCCCAGGGATCTGGATTAGAACACATGGTGTTGTACTGATTCATAAATGACCTGGAATCAGGAGTGAGCAGTGGTGTGACCAAGTTTGCCGATGACAGCAAACCATTTAGGGTGGTTAAAATCAGGAGATTGTAAAGAGCTCCAAAGGGATCTCTCCAAGCTGAGAGAAAGGGCATCAAAATGGCAACTGCGGTTCAGTGTAAGCCAGAGCAAAGTAATGCAATCTGGGGCAAAAAAATCCCAACTGTAAGTTGGAAATGAGATCTGATGGGATCTGAGCTGGCAGTAAATAACCAAGAAAGAGATCTTGAGGTGGTGGATTGTTGTCACAAAGTCGTGTCCGACCCATCGCGACCCCATGGACAACATTGCTCCAGGCCTTCCTGTCCTCCACCATCCCCCGGAGTCCACTCAAGCCCACACCAGCTGCTTCAGTGACTCCATCCAGCCACCTCATCCTCTGCCATCCCCTTCTTCTTTTGCCCTCAATGCAATTTTATTATTATTGTATTTATAGATTTAAATATATAGCCGAGATGGTACCAGTTTTTAAATTATTGATTGTATTTTCATTTATGTTGTGAGCCGCCCCGAGGCTTTGTTGCGATGGGGGCGGCATAGGAATGTTTTAAATAAATAAATAATATTCAAATAATACTTCAGTACTCAATAATACTGACGGTCCATCCACTCTTGACTAGCTCTGCACTCAGTTCTGCACCTAACTGAAAGGTACACACACTGAAAAGTTTGCACCTACAAACACAGCCCTCTCTGATAATGCCAGGCATCACAATGAATGGGTGAGCAGGGATAAACCACAGGATGCAGCAAACAAATGTGTTGGGCTATTCTTGCATGCTGAATTTGATATCCGTTAAATGTTTATAGGATAGTTTATGTTGATAACTGCCCTGTATCTTACACCACCCATGTGTGACCCAAAGCCTCCGGTCCTCCTTCCACCAATCTGGTACCCTTCAGATATGCAGGCAAGCGTCACTTCTGGAGAATGCTGTCTGAGATAATGGGCAGTTTTTTCTTGCTTCCTTTCCACCTTTGGTGGAACAGGGAAAGCAGTACACCTGCTGTGATGCTACCTCTGTTCCTTGCCAAATCTCTGTGCAAGATCCCTTTCCCAAGAAAGCCCCGTTCTTTCCTAAGTGCAGCAAGTGGGAACTTGACATTGTTGGATTGCAACTGCCATGACCATTGGACCTGATGGAAATTAAAACCCAACAGCATATGGAGAGTTACAGGTTCCCACCACCTGCCTAATGGTGACAAAATCTTAAGGAACGTGCAGTCCAATGCATGTTTTGACCGAAAAAGGTCCTAGAACTCCCAGTCTTCCCAAGTTATCTGCTGCTGCCTGCTGAAAGAAATCTTAGTTCATGCATCATGTGGGCTTTAATTGATTTTCCACCCGTGCTGGCCAGGGCTCCCTGGAGGAGGGCATGGTATAAATAAATATTATTAAATCAATAATAACACACAGCATAGTGTTTGGTAGTTTGAGACAGCTCCTCCATCCTACCAAAAAAAAAAAAAAAAAAAAAACAGGCTTCCTGCGTAGAGAAATGAGCATGTTAAAAGTAGGGTAGGCCAGCTCCGTGGAAGAGCAAATGTTTCGCATGTGGCAGGTTCCAGGTCTGGTTCTTGGTATATGGAGCTGGGGTCAGGAAACCTTCCTGTCCGAAAAATCTATAGTAGGCAGTACTGAACTAAGTATAAGGTATGTTTCTGGCCATCTTAATAGATTGGTCCATTTCTCACATAAGGCCCTGTGAATGGATTGCTCCATGGGGCATCTCATCATGGTGGCAACCACCATTTTGAATATCGGCAGAACATGGGCCCACTGTAATTTCTTACTATGTACAAACCCAACGGGGATGGGTTGTTGGGGTACCTGACAAGCCACCCAAAAGCCAGGGGCTGTTTTAAGGTTGCAGGTGGTTTGTCAACCATCCCAACAACCCACCCTTGTTGGGTTAGCACAGAATGGAATGCTGTGGTGTACCCCCGCTGCAAACGGCCAATGTCTTGTGGGGGGAAATTCATCCACAGTAGCTTCTTGTTACATATGAACCAGGTCATTAATTTTCTGCAGGCATATTCAGCCAGTACTCTGGTTTGTCATGTTGTATGAACCAGGTCAGTGCCTTTCCACAAACAGAAAGTTTTTGATGGAAAAGATACCGCAAAAGTGTCCATTCTATGTTGATTATATATATCAGGCCTTATTGCTCTCCAGATGTTGTTGGATTGCATTCCCCATCAACCATCTATGCTGGCTTGGGTTGGTAGGAGTTGCAGTCCAACAAAAGCTGGAAAGCCACAAGTTGCCCCCCTTTGGCGTATATGAAAGTTGCCTTTTTCAGTGTAGAACTGTGCGGATCTTCTGGGAAATAAGTCCTGCTGTCTCCATCGGGGCTCATTCTAGGTAATTGCCCATAAGATTTCAGTATTACCTTGTAATGTCTTTTATTTTTCACCAGGACATCTTGTTTCCATACGTCAAAGACAATATCCAAGATTATCTACGAGCGCACTGGGAAGAGGAGGAGTGTCAGCAAGATGTCGGCCTCTTGAGAAAACAGGTGGAACATCTGGTGTCTCTTCTTATAATCTGTCTTGTATCTATCTGTCCTCCACATAACTCTTAAACTTAGAGCTACTCCGGCTTTACAACAAGTCCAAGCAAAGTTACTAGTGCTTACTATTTCCTGTTACCCTAACTATTCACAAATACTTGCATTGGTTAAAATATATCAGTGTCTAGAAAGTGAAATAATAAAAACAATTTTTTGTCCCACATTATAAAATCATCCCCATCTGGTCATTTGGAGGTAATTTTTATTTACCTGATTACAGTAGTTAAGTGGCTATTTTGGCAAGACCAGACTATGGGTATTATATAGAATATCAGAATGTGGAGTGCAGAAAATGTATGATATATACATCTTGATGAAAAAGAGGATTAGATGCATTAATTTAATTAGTTTCTATACTGCCATAGATGTTTACAGCAGTTGCTAAACAGGAGTGTGATGCAATAAACGCACCTTTTACATTTAACAACATTAATTGTGAAGTACAGCATTTAAGAACAATTTAAAATCTGTAAAACAACTTAGCAGCCAAAAACAGTATTTAATACAGAACAGACCTATTAAAAACACAAGAAATGGGTACTCCAGCTAGCCATTGGCTAACCCTAGATATCTTTAAATGTCCCAGCACAGAGGGCTGTCTTAACTTGGCACTGAAAGGATGGTGAGGTTGGCCCCAGGCAGATTGTGGGAGGGAGATCGTTGCAAAGCCAGGGGGGCAGCCACCGGGAAGGCCCTTCCTCTCGTTGCTGCCCTCTAAGTCTCCCTTGGAGGTAGCACTCAGAAGAAGGGCTCAGACGCCAATTGTAGTTCATGGGCTGGTTGCAATTCACGGAGGATTGGTCTAGTGGGGCCATTGTGTTGAACTAGACGAGGGGTCCTCAGACGTTTTCACCAGGGGGCCAGTTGAAAGCTGCTGGTTCTGGGTGCGGGCCAGGAAGGGGGTGCCGGAAGGGCACGGTGGCCGTTGTGGGGGCGGGAGTGGCACGTGCGGGCACGCACCGTGAGGCGGGTGCATGAGGGGGGCAGCAGCGGGTGTGTGGGCAGCGGGTCCAAATGGGCATGGCGGGCCGGATCCGGCCCCCGGGCCGTAGTGTGAGGACCCACAAACTAGAACTTCCATGTGAATTAGGGAGCAGTATGTTTCTGATTCCCAATTCACAGCGGCAACCACAAGAGAGGATTATTGGGTCCATGCTCGGTTTGTGGGCTTCGTAGAGACATCCGACTGCCAACAGGGTGCTGGTCAGATGGGCCTGATCCAGCCAAGCTCTTCTTGCACTATTAGATCCATCTCAGAACAAGAACATATCCAAGGCTTTGGATTAAGGGAAGCTAAAGTCAAAGTCCATGCTACCTGAAGTGTATGGTATTTAACTGAGGGTCATTAGTTCTTTTTTTTACTCTAGAGTAAATGTGCTTAGCCTTAATTCAGAGCAAGACCAGCACGTGCCAGGATATAAGGAGTAGGCCTTCCCATACACACCCTGCCTGCTTCAAGAAATCTCCATCTGCACAGGGATTATAAAAAGATGACTTTCACCTGCAGTCCACCCAGTGCCACCCAATAACCATAGCTTATAGCTGCCTGGGGCATGCTGGGACTTGCAGTCTTTCTTCCATCTACCCCTGCATAGGATTGTGGCCTTGATGCATAACAGAACATCATTTAAAAAATTAAGTTATCCCCAGTTTATTCCATCATGGAACTCAAGGTAGCATAGACAGGAACATTGGAAGCTTCCAGATAAGATAGACTAACGAGTTGGACCACAGGTCTGTTTAGCAAAATAATGTTGAAGCTGGCTGGCCTGCAGTGCTTCTGCATGAGCTTTTCCTGCCCTACCTGGGGACCTTCTACATGGAACGCTTGTTCTCTGCCACGCCAGTTCCTCTCCCACGTACACCATGCTTTGGAGTGCTAATTTAGATGTTTTAAAAAGTTTTCTTTCTAAGCATTCTCCATATTTCCAGCAATGAACACCAGATATTTTGCTAAGTCGCAGTGATATATTTACGCAGATCTCTGTATTCTGCCCCATCTTCAGTCTTTTGATTTTGCCAAATAAAATGTCACCACTCCAAGCATTCTTTAGAGTCTTCATTGCCGTTGATGCTCTCTCCTCGTTTCCTCTCCTGTTCAACCTTTCAAAGGCTGAGGAAGATTCACACATGGACGGGGTTGTGCCCATCCCACTGGAAACCAGGGATGGGGAAGCCGAGATTGAGCGGATCATCCAGGCCGTCGTCGACAACGTCCGCTGGCAGATGTCCTCAGACAGAAAGACTACGGCCTTAAAACAGCTCCAGGGTCACATATGGAGAGCCGCGTTTGAAAATGGCCGGATGAAGGGAGAGTGAGTAGCTAGCTAATACAGATCATATGGGTTAGTTTGCTTCATAGTACATCTGCCCTGCTTAATACCCTTCCCTAAGAGCCATTTTGGTGAAGGGGGCAGAATAGAAATTCAATAAACAATAAAAATGCTCTCAAATTCAGAGGATTATGGGAATCCCATGGAAGGTGGGAGGAGCGCAGATGTGAGCACTGTCTCCTCATTCCCCTCACCCTCCCAAACATTCAGACTGTGATTTCAGCTATCAGAATCTTTTCCCTTTCACACAAGGAGGAGAGGCTGAGGTGCCATTGCACATGCTCCAGCTTCAAAGATGGCCGTCCTCCGTTGGATCCCAGCCCCAGCCTTGGAGTGTTTTTTCCAAAGTCAGAGCTGGAAATCCAGCCTATCCTATGGCCGCCCAGACAATGACAAAGCACCATAGGATTGCTCTCCTACGTGCAAAAAAAAAATTAAAATCACAGTTAAAGTACATATATAACACAAGCAAATTTCAGCCTACAACAGTTTGAAGATAACAGTAAAACGAGTCTGTAAATTTGAACTGCATCATGATGATCAATTATAAGCCAGGGAAAAATTAGACAAACGGGTACATTTTCAAGGGTTGTTTAAACACACCACCTTTTCTCCCTCCAAAGGATCTTCCAGGCGTGGGCACTACTACAGAGAAGACCCACTTTTGAGAAGAATATTGTTCTTTGGCAGTGTTCTGTTAGCTGCAGAATGGCCAGCACAGTCTCTTCTGAAGTCCTTAGCAGTCAATTGGGTATACATCAGGGAAGGTGATCTGCTCAGCATCCTGGTCCAGAGTTATTTAGGCATTGTAGCTCCGCTGCAGAACCAGCAGCCAGTGCAGGCCTTTCAACGCAGGAACAACACGTGCATGGTTCAGCTCTTCACTGAGCACCCAGCTGGTACTTCTGTGCTGGCTGCCGAGCTAAACCAGGCGCAAGAGCAGCCTCGTGTGGAGTGCACGGCAGTTGTCTCGTGATGAGTCCGGCAACCACAACGCTGGAGGTTTACTCCACCACCCACGTACATACACGAGGGTTCTTCAGAAAGTTTCCACACTTCTTAAACTCTTAAAAAGTTTCCACACTTTTTAAATTCTTTATTAAGAATTTCAAAAAACAAATTACATCACTTTTCTACATAGTCGTCTTCCTTTGAGATGCATTTTTCCCATTGTCATACCAACTTTTTAATGCCATCAGCCAAAAATGTGTTTGGTTGAGCGCATAGCCACGGATGCACTGCTGCTTTCACATCAACATCACATGAAAATCTTCCCCTTAAAGTTCTATGTCTGTCACACTAGTATGGCCATTTTTGAACATTTTAATCCACTCATAGAGGACTCTACAAGAGAGAACTTTATCCCTGTACTGAGTACAGAAGCTGAGATGAATTTGTGTTCCAGCACACCTTCTGCCCACAAAAAGCACATGAAGAACACTGTTCCTCTTTGGGGCAATTGATTAGTTTCTCAGCCGTCCTCACCACAGTGTGACAGCTCTTATACTAAACTGCAAGGGCGGCCGGCTTGCCAGACAGACTAGTCACATGACACTCTCAAACATGACCAATTATACTCCCGCCCTCACCATTTCCAACAGAAATATAAAAAGTGTAGAGACTTTTCATGTATAAAGAAGAACTACACATTGTGTCAGTAAACATGGCTTCCTAACTTGTTTCTTGAAGAACAGATGCAGGGGGAAGTGCTTTCAAGGGGGAATTGAACGTTTTAAGCAACTTATTTAAAAATTCCCCCCACTTGCTACTGTCTCTGAGTCATCCTGTTTCTAGCAGGTCTTCTTTCCAGTCTCAGGACCCGGCTGCTAGAAAACGGGAGGCAAAGCATTTGGAATGTCCAAGTTGTGGCGGAAACATGGCGGGCACTGGAGGGTTCTGGAGGGGGCATTCTCCAAGATTGCTTTGGCCCAAAGAGTCAGAAGCAGAATGGCTGGTGGAACACCGGAGGACTTAGGGGGCTTGTCAGTGCCTTGCTCCCACAGTGCCTCTTGTGCCTGCCCCCAGGAGCCAAAACGATGGGTTAGGAAGTACCACTCATGCATAGAAATCCCTGCAGCCATTTCCTCTGCATTCAGCCATGGCCCAGAGATTCAGAAGCAGAATGACTGAAATGTGGATATGCCTCAGCCCCTCAGGGACTCTTCTTAAATATATTTTGAATATATTGTGCACTGATTTGAAAACCTTACTTAGTAAGTGGGTTATAAATACTCACAATAAATGTATTGAAACACTGCTTCTCCCCTGAAAATGTGTTCTTCCTATTTCTCAGCAAACGGAGGGTTGGAAGCTCGTGTTCACAAACCTCAAGTATAGTTCTGCCTTTAGTGCCATGAGAGGCAAAAGAAGTGAAATAGAAAATAAAATATGACTTTAAATAAGACAAAACATGGTTTCAGTTTGTGTATGGTCATCCCCTCCCTGCTGGTTTACTCTCCTTTAACTTAAAATGCAGAAATAGGGTTTGTGGCGGTGCTAGAAATAACACTGCCTAACATGACGAAAGGCACAAAACAAAGAGCTTCAAAACCTAACAGGAGCAGCACTAATTAAAATGTGATACTCTTATTTATTAATATGATTTCTACCCAACCTTTCTATCAAGAAAAGCAGCAGACGACCATCCAAAATATTCCTTTGTTCCTGCAACAGTATTTTCAGCAACACTGATCTGCCTCTGATTTTTAAAGATATTAACACACACACACCACTCATCCAGAAATAGAATCATCTGACTCTAAATGATGACTTTTAATGATGCGCAATGCAGAACTCGTTTCCTGTTACTGCTGTGTCCAATAATTTGATAATTTGACTCTTCAGCTGTTGATACATTCATGTCTCCATAATTGGCAATACATATTTTTGCCACTGCCCAAAGCTGCCTTCGGTTACAGTCTTCATGATGCACATTTCTGGGTTGGAACCAAGTATTCATTCACCTGGAACATCAACGAGGAAAGGCCTGCGACATTTCTGTGGATTGCCATTGCCACACTTTTTTTATCTTCTTACAGGTTCTTCGAGGATGTGGTTCCGGCAGTGAGAAAGTGGAGAGAAGCGGGGATGAAAGTTTATATTTATTCTTCTGGGAGCGTGGAGGCACAGAAGCTCTTGTTTGGGAACTCTACGGAAGGAGATATCTCAGAGGTACTGTCCCACCAGCTTCCTCTTCCCAAAATGGCGGTGCCGTCTGCCTCTCAGGCATGTCATGACAGCAGCATTGTGGTCAAAGCCAAGCTGCAGCAGATCTTCTGCAGGTGCTGTTCTGGAGCATGTCCCTTGTTGTGAACCATCCAGAGAGCTTCAGCTATTGAGCAGTGCAGAAATAAAGCTAATTAAAATAAAGGAACAGTGCAATCCTCTGCATACTTCCTCAGAAGTAAGCTCCATTGGGCTCAGTAGGGATTACTCCCAGGTAAATGGGCTTAAGATTGTAGACCCTGTAACCCTCTAAACTCAGATTATGGGGTCCAACGGGGGAGGAGCTGTGTATTCTGCACTGGCTCACGAGGAGAGCAGCTGCAGGAGACCCCCCCCCCAAAAAAAACAAAAAAACTTCTGGCTCTGAGATTGGCATTCAAGCAATGGAAAGGACCATTCCAGGTGCAGAGATGGAGGGAAGGCTTCAGAGTACCAGTGCTCACCTGAGGGTGGAGCTTGGACTCAAGATTATCCTTTGGCCTTCTAGACAGCATAATAGGATCATGCCTTGAAATAAGCAAGAAGTCAGAGGGTGTGTAGTGAAAGAACGTAGGCCTGATTTACCCATGCAACAGAATAAGGTGGCAGACCTCACCTTCTCACTTCACACTGCAGAGGGGAGAGTTGTATTTTTTTACACACTCCCTTATTATTAGTCTTTTTAAAAACCTCCCTATAAGCAGAATACTACCCAATGAAGAGCAGGCTAGGACATTCCCCCCTTCCATGCTAGTCTTTGTGTTGGCATGTGGAGGAGGGGGGTTGCTAAATGGCTGGAAGAATACTAATAATTATTTTAATTTGCTAATTCGCATGGGGAAGGAGTGACATTTATATGCCAATAATAATAATAATAATAATACTTGAATTTGTTTATTGGGGAGCATTGATTAATGTATGCCCTGGCTTTTTTGTTGAAATGCAGAAGGCAGCCTGCCTAAAAATAAGCATGGTACAAAAAGTCCATAACAGAATTAGAAAAGTAGGGCTTGTACAGCAGGGGAACTGCTTTGCATTATGTAATGCTGCATTCTGGCAATACATTCTTCTGTATGGGTAGACCAGGCCTTGAAGGAGCTATCAAAGGGACCAAGAGTCTGCAAGCTGCAAACATGCGTATTATTAAATTGCTACTGCTCCATTATTTTTAGCAATTATATTCTGTAATGCTGAAGACCGCTGACATTTCCTGGATGGTATCCCATCCAGAAGACTGATTTGGTTCACACTTGCTTAGCTTCGATCTTCAGACTATTCCCAGACCTTGGTTTTTATGCATAATTCCAGCTAGCTGGGTGTTCAAATGTGTCCCCCATTGCTGTACCTACGAACAAGGAAAACCCATTATTCTTCATGGTCTCCATGCGTCACACATAATGGGCTCTGCACACCTTCCAGGTTCTCATTTCCCAACTGCTTGCTTTCTAGACTGCGTTGGTTTTTACAAACAACCCTTCCTTTTTATTTTTAAAGCCTCCAGTCTTTTGGTGCCATCTCTGGCCCTCTATTTCTTTCCAGCACCAGTACCTGTTCTAATGTTCCCCAAAGCTCTGACTTGGTTTTGCTCCACAGGATTGTGGGAAATTAAAATGGTAACTCCTGGGGTTACCAGGTGCTGTCTGGAGCACTGAGGTCCACCAGAGAACATCTTGCTGAAGGTCTTCTCAGACCTGGAGTCCCATGAAGGGGCCAAAAGTTATGCAGGGCCCTCAGGCTCTGCCACTGACCACCAGAGGGCCTGTTCAATCCACATCCCCAGACCGTCCATGCAAAATTAATGTGTGGAGATAGTGCTTCATGAGAACAATTGAAAGCATCCTTCATCCAGCAGCTGCATCATCAATACTTGGTCCCTTCAGGTTATCATTTCTCAGCTTCCTTGAATGGGCTCCTTCCTGCAAATAAACCTCTCCTCTTTTGCTTTTTGTTTTCCTTTAAAAATCTTCCTTCCATTTTCAGCTCTTTGATGGCCACTTTGACACCAAGATAGGCGCCAAAGTTGACAGTGAGAGTTACCAGCGGATTGCTGCGAGCATCGGGTGTTCCACAAACAACATGTTGTTTCTGACGGATGTTGCTCGAGGTGAGAAGGGAGCTTATGGCGTGCGCTGCACTCACTGTTGCCAGCGACAGTCCATCTGCACCGTTTGCTTGGCTTCTGTCCGTCTGCGGCGGATGTGCAGCTTACCCAGAAGGAGAAACGGAACAGACCTGTTTGGGTTCTCTGATGCCAAGTATCAGATAGAGACCATTAAGTCCCAAGTGGAGACCAAAGCCAGTGTGGTGTGGTGGTTAAGAGCACGGGACTGGGACTCAGGCGATCCGGGTTCTAGTCCCCGCTCAGCCATGGAGCCAACTGGGTGACTTGGGGCCAGTCACAGACTCTCAGCTCAACCTACCTCACAGGGTTGTTGTGGGGATAAGATGGAGGAGGAGAATGATGTAAGCTGCCTTGAGCCTTTTGTAGGAAAAAGGCAGGATATAAATCCATAAATAAATAAAAGCGGGGAGTTGGGAGTTTCTTATGTAAATACCCTGTATTTAAGAATACCCTGTATTCTTATGTAAATACCCTGTATCGAGATGATCCCAGCTTCCCCTCTGGGGAAGGCCTGTAGCTCACTGCCGGTGCACATGTTGTTCTTGCACAAAGCCCCATGTTCAACCCTTGGTGTCTCCAGTTATCCCGATCATTGCATTGCATTACATCCCATCTTTTTTCCTCTTGTGAGGAGCCCAGGTCGTCTTACAGAACTCTGTTTTGTCCTCACAACAGCACATTGAGGTTGGTTAGGCTGAGAGAGAGAGACTGTGGTAGTAAACTGGCGTGTCAGGGACAAGGGTTCAGATGGTCTCCTTCATGTTAGAGAAAGTCAAAGGCAGAAGGTGGAGGGGAAGGCCAACTCTGAGCTGGCTCAGTTCCCTAAAGGATGCCCCAGCCTGAAGTTGGCAAGCGCAGGAACAGGGTATTTGAGAGGGCTGAGTAGAATATCAACACCAGGTGATTGTTTCCCATGTAATCTGAAATCTCAAAACAGCAAAACCTAGGAATTGTGTACTTAATGGATGGGAAGACCAGGAAAAATATCCAGACAAAAATGGGGCAGTCTGAATAGTTTTAGTCAGATTTTACACACAGATTTGGGATAGATCGCCTTTCCCCCTTATTTTTCTATCCTTTTTGCCCAGTCCTTCACATTTGTGTTCTTTCTGTGTATGTGGATGCAGATCCTAAGAAAATGTGGAAGATCGGTTTAGAGGAGGGGGGGGCGGAACCTCTTTCCACTGAAGAACTGAATTCTGTTTTAAAGACGCTCCCAGGCACTGCACTCATTGGTAGATGGCACTGAATGCAACCGGCCCAGGGCTACCAGTACCAGAATAGCATAGCTTGAAGTGCTTAGTTTTGGCAAGGCATTTCAGCCATTTAGAATGCGGGGGAAACTTGTGCAATAGCTGGGAAACTGCCAAAGAGCACTGGGTGGATGGCAGTGGGCGAGGCCTGGAGAAGGGTTGAGGCCAGCTAGGGAATCTCGGTGGGCACGATTTGGCCCCCAAGCCTCAGGTACTCCACCTTTGGTCTACAGCATCCTTCTGGAGTATTAGATGGGTGCGGGGAGATTGGTTCATCCAGTTCAGTTCATTCCGCTCGTTCTCTTTCCCTCAGAGGCCGATGCCGCGGAAGAAGCCGATGTCCATGTGGCTATAGTTGTCCGGCCAGGAAACGCCGGATTGACAGATGATGAGAAATCCTATTACAGACTCATAACATCTTTTGATGAACTTTTCCTGCCATCCTCCACTTAAGAAGCAAACTTGCCTATGGAATCTTTTTTTAAAAGAAGATGGGATGCCGCCACCTGACAAAATTTTCCTTATAATTTATGGTAGTTTTTGCTGGTGATAAGAAATTTGGCAAAGAAAGCCTTGGATCCTTGACCTTCTGATGAGAAGCCAGCAAGCCTGTTGTGATTGGTGCATCTGCTGGTGTTGCGAGTGTGTTTCAATCTGAGCAGCTGTGAAGTCCCCCGGTTGTCAGCACCTTTGCTTTGGAATTGGACTTGAAAGAGCCGGGGGAGCACGTGGGAGGGGTCCCCCATCCAAGCCCCTTTTGAGCAGAATGGAAAGTGTAGAAGAGCACAGAACTTCTCTTTCTAACCTCCCACTCATCTCAAAAGGGTCTTGTGCTGGAAGCCCTTCCTCTGGTTGACTGAGGCATGTTTACCTCAAATACACATTCCTTTAGCTTTAATCTGCCCTACAAATAAATAAATGTATCGAGATTTTTTTTTCTGTTCCCCCTTATTTGCACAGTGACAAATCATATAATGTATTGGTAAGTCCTTTTGAAAGCGTTGCACGCTGCAGTGAGCTCACTGCTCTCCTGCTCAGAGGAGGAGGAGGTGAAATAAGGAGAAGGTACATGGTGGTAACTGAATTGCAGACGTCATAAACATGTTTGAGGCCTCTTCAGGTGAGCTGTTTCTGCATCGGGACAGTGAATTTGACCATCATGTGTGCTGGGTAATCTGTGTGATGTTTGCGGAGCTAGCGCACCCATGGGAGTGGGAGGAAGGGATTGCGTTTTCCCTGGATTGCATTGCTGAGCAAATTCCTGCAACTTTTGAGAATGTTCTCTGCATCATGGTCATGCTAATTGCAAAGATGCCAGTTGGGGAATGCTTGCAACACGTCTTTTTCTTCCCATTTGCTTCAGTTTGAAACAGTTGAATATTCTGCAATTCCATACTGCTTTTCGCATGCACTCCCTCACCCCAAACTCCACAAATTTCCACAATGCACTCAGTATAGCCTCACCCTGCAGCATTGTGGGATATTAAAATGGCTGCTCCCAAATGCAGCTTCAGACCACCCGCCAGTTCTGCTTCTTACTGCTATTACTAATAGGTGACGCCTGCTTCCCTCAAGGACCAAATGGTGGAATAGACCTGCCATGCCAAGGGTTCCCCAGTTCCTGAAGCTGACCATGTAGATGGCATGTTCTTCTTGCTTCTTGGTTGGCCACTGAGGAGCCGAGAGACATTTGTCAATAGAGTTGGTTGGTTGGCAGGCTTGGTTCACCCATTCCTGGTTTTGATACTTTGCTGCTAAGTGGGGGAAATGAGCTAGAAATTAACAAGTGAAACCAAGCACGGGAAGGCTGAGCTAGAGGCTTCACAAAACCTGTAAGCTGGTTTAAGTTGGTGGGGAAGACGTGTCAGATTATAAGAGCTGGATGGGGTCTTTAAGGCTATATAGCCCAATCTGTCTACTCAGAAGAGGAAATGCAGACTTAAAGCATTTCTAGTTGAACAGTCTCCACTTGAAGACCTTCAGCCCATTCCAGATACAGAAACATATTTGGCTCCATCGCTGAAATGCTCTCACCACTTAGAAGCATCTCTGAATTTCTCCCCCAAATCTGACATCTCGTAACTTAGTGATCAAATTTTAGTTTTCAGTGGTTGTAGAAATTGCTTCTGTATTATAGATTTCCTTAGCATCTGTATTTCCTTAGCATCTGTATGATTTTGTACTCGTGATGCCCTTGGAAGCAAGGGGATGCTGTCTCAGCAGGCTCCAGTTTCAGTCATTGCCCGTGCAGTGTGTGCATTTGTGGTAAATAAAGGCCTAATTTTATTGTCTGACAAGTGCCCATGAAATGTCACTACTTGGGCAGTGAGTTGATGGCAACGCAAATTCAAATTCTGGTAAACTTTTCAAATGTGCCAATGAAGGAGATCAAGATGGAAAACTTCTGGCCTGAAGAGTAACTATGGATACCCAGGCCTTTCAGTCTGAACTTCTGGACTTCCACAGGCCTGTTCCAGGTGACAGGCGTGATTAGCACAACGAGTGCTGAACCTCTGGAAAGATGCGGCCTTCCTGGCATTCACGTTTTCCTGCTTCATGCACCCTGTGTGTGCATGTGTGTACTTGTGAAATAATACTCATGCTCTCCATAAAAGAAATTTATTTAGTGTTCATGTTTCAGTGTACAATTATTAATCATTACGCAGCTGTACTGAAATGTGCCATAAGAAATACTTTTAAGAAATGTACAATATACACCAAAAAGCTTGAATTTCAGCTTGGGTTGCATATCAGGTGAGGGGCAGGAGGAAAGAGAAGAAAAATCGTTCACAAACTGTTTGATTTCTCTCCCAATAAAATTTCAAAATATAAAATGATACAACATAAACATTCATTTAAAAAAAATCACAGTGAACTATTTACAGTAAATCACATTTGAACAGAACCCTATTTTAGCTATATGTCTTGTGTGTGCGTCTCGGTATCTGTACATTGCTCCCATGCTCTCCACAGCTATGCATAAAGCACATTTAAGCCTGGGCTCAGCTTTAACCTCCCACAGCCCCCCATACCTACCTCTATCAAGTGAGACTTCTGGACTATACAATTTAAAGTTTGCCTTTTTAAAGTCCAATGTCACATACTCCAACTCGGATGACAAACTAGCCCAAAGCAAGCATGTTACGATGCCAAGCCTCCCTGTTCCCAATAGTTAAATGTGAAGCTCTTAGCCAAACTCTGCGGCCATCAGCAACAAGAGAAAAAAGCTAAGTAGAAACTCCGCAAGTCAGAGTTTGACCACACACAACAGTGATAAAACTTTCTATCAATGGTGCTTTCTCATTTCCACCTGTAACTATTTCTCTAGGTTCTTGAACTTTTTTGGACAGGATACATTGATCTTAAAAGGGAGAAAGAAAGACTTATGACAGTGCCATTCCTATGCTGTGTGTGTCTATTCAGAAGAAAATCCTGTGTTTAATGGAGCTTATTCTCAAGGATGCATAGAATTGTACTGTGAACATTTCTGTTCCAAAGACTTCTGCCCACAGCTGGGAGTTACCAAACCCCTGTCTTGGGGGTCCAGCTTTCCAACTTGCCCCTGTAGCTATGCCTTGAGCAACCAAGTGAAATGCAGGCACAGCAGTGTCTATGCTTCATGCCATGAAAAATTTCATCTGCTGCTTTCTGCCCACCATGTTCAAGGCAGGAGAACAAGCCTGTCTTTCCATTTTCTCAACCAACAAGCCTGCCCAGCAATGACCAGCTGTGGACCAATCTATCTGGAATGCAGGAATCGGAAGGGCTAAAGCAGCTTCCTTTCTTTGAAATTAGGCACCGGGTGTTTTCTGAATGCTGTTGCTAATAACTGTAGCCATGCAATAGGTTCCTGCACAGTTAACAGTTGCGTGGACCTAATGAAACTCTCTTTTCTGCCCACTCATGAAAGGTGCAGGAGCCCTGTCTTTCTGCATTGAGTTGCCAATGTCTCACTGAAACTAGTCGGACATTATGAGCTGCCTGACATGTAGATGAGCTGCAGGGAATTTGCCCCATCCCTCCATGCCAGCAGTACCATGACAGGCAGCTTGTAAAAGGACAGGCGTTCCAACAGGAAAAAAAAAGCTGACCGTTCTAAACCTGAGTTTAAGGAGGAAGGCGAAGGTTCCACCTGCCTCTCGCCCTAGTGGCCTGTGCTGACTCGAGAGCTGCCAGCTGTCGGGTCCCCTCCCTCTGCACTGGGGTCCTTGGGTTTTAAAAGCTGCCTGGCATGCAGAAAACGGGGACAAAAATGCAACAAGGCTGAGCGGACGGCAACTGGGGGATTTTCCTTCGAACAAGAGTGGGCAACTTTTGTCCTTCCAGATGCTTGGGTCTACAACTCCTATCACCCACAGCCAGCTATGGTGGAGAGGAGAGTCGCAGGCCAAATCATCTGGAGAGATTCACAGGCCCCAGTTCCTAATTAAATCAACAGCTGAGTCAAGAGCGCCTTCCCTGCCCCCCCTCCCCACACACCGGGTCCGTGTGTCAGAGCCCTCCTGCCAGGTGGGGGGTATGCGGCAGACTTACTTGCTGCCATGGGCTACAGAACAGGACGGAGAGAGGTGCTCTTTCCAAGTCTCCCAGTTCAGCAGCGGATTTAAAGGCCGACTTGCAGAGGCATTGCAGACATTCTAGAACTACTAAGGGCCAACATGGACGGTGCAATCAAGCTGCTGCCCTGCAGGGAAAGAGCATCCTCCTTTTTAGGGCCAATCCCAAGTCGGCACCTAGGAGTGCAAGAAGCTGACGTGCAGAGCAAGAGGTGTCAGTGTGATCTCGCACTAAAATTCATGATGGACTCACTGAGGAATTTACAAGACTGCTTCCATCCACTTTCACAGCCACCTTCAGAGCGGAAATGAGCGTATGAAACCTACAACTGCTCCATGTCTCTTTGCCACTTTTCCTTGTAAAGTGCTGTGCACCGTGGGAATGATGTAATATCCCCCACTTCTGCCCGCAAACGGCAAGAGGTGTGTGGGGAGGAGATGCACAGCCCAAGGACAGGAACTGTGTTGTAAGAGACAGCAAGAGAGAAGCAGGGCAAGGAGGCATGGAGCGCCGCATCTCTTGCTGCATCTTCTGTCCTCAGGAGACCCTTTTGGTACCTTGCCTGTGATTAGGTGTGGAAAATGGACAAGTATTGGGTTTTTTTTTTTTAAGTGGGAAATGGTGCCAGTCATGAGACTGCAGGCACCCAACACTGACAACAGAAAGGGGCAGGCTGGATTAAACCTGATCCGTCTGGTACTCGGAGGCTTCAGAGAGGCTTTCTGAAAAGCTAAGGAAATTCTCCTGGTACTCGGAGCAAATGATCTCAAAGCGGTAATGTCTGAACTCCACCGCGAAGGAGCCAAAGTAGCAGAGGAAGCACATCACCATGCCCCACTGTATCCTTGCGGCATGCATGTGAAACGTCTGGGCCATCAAGATGAAATCTGACGCGCTGTTAAGGAAAATACACTGGGCGGGGAGGGGGGCAGAAGCACACAGAGCAATGCAAGGAAGAGGTGATGAAGCTGCTTTGTAGTCAGGGCCAGGTGAATTCTGTGCTGAAACAAAATTTAATTCTACATTCAGCAATCCAAATTCTGTGCCTTGAAAATCGGAATTCTTCCATCTGTTCAAATTATGGTTTATTTTGCATTGTTCATTCTGCCAGCTTTTGCCACTGTGCAGAATGTATTCCAGCTCTGCTATTTCTGGGAGGAGCAAGTTTATTGGAAGTCCTAACCCCACCTACTTCAAATATTCTCTGGCTTCTGAAATTTCAGCAGACATTGCCCATGAGGACTAGAAACTATATCTGATAGCTTATATTCAAGCTAAATTTCCAGAAGGCTTATCCCTGCACTAGCTCTCACTACATACTGTGCTTTTTCTGAACTCCTACCAAGCTTGACACTACTCACCCAGAATTGCTCGTGGACGAGATAAATCAAGGGTCTACCCACTCTGACAGGTAGTGGCTGTACCACGTCCCATCCCTGCTTCTTGGGCATGAATTTAGGATTTTCTACATGCAAAACAGGGATGTGGGCGGCACAGCAGGTTAAACCACTGAGCCCCTGGACTGTTGATCAGAAGGTCAGCAGTTCGAATCCACGAAAGGGGGTGATGAGCGCCCACGGCTTTCTCCCAGCGCTTGCCTACCTAGCAATTCAGAAACGTGCAAATATAAATAGATAAATAGGTACCACTTCAGTGGGAAAGGAAACAGCATTCCATGTGCCTCAGAGTTTAGTCATGCCGGCCACGTGACCACGGAAGTGTCTTCGGACAATGCTGGCTCTTCGGCTTACAAACGGAGGTGAGCACTGGCCCCAGGGTCAGACACAATGAACATGCATGTGCAGGGGAACGTTTGCCTTTACATGCAAAGCATGTTCTGCCCCACTGAGCTGCATCATGTCCCTAAAACTGGAGCAAGAAGAAAAAAGATTTTCTTACTCTCCACTTTCCTAAGCTATAGGAAATTCTGGGGCAACGATGGACCTCCCCATGTTCAATCTGCAACTCCCATCAGGTCTAACCCTCTGCTGTTGCAGGTCACCAATTTGTACCGTCCCACGCAAAATCTTAAAAGGTATGGCGGTCCTGTTTGAAATGTTGCAATTTGTTATTCTAGAACCACCTTGCCCCAACTTCCAGATGTTTCAGACTTCAACTCCCATCAGCCCAAGTCAGCATGTCAGAAACTGACCACTGGGAGCTGAAGTCCAAACAATTGGAGGGTATCAGGTCGTAGAAGGCTGTCCTAAAACAGAGGTGGGAAACTTGTGGCCCTCCAGATGTTAAGGACTACAATTCTAGTGAGCATAGCAGTTCTAGTGAGCACAGCAGTAGTAGGGGAACATGGGAGAAGTGGGCCAAAACATTTGGAGGACTAGAAGTTGCCCATTCATCTACAGGAACGTGGGCTTCTGCAAACCCATGTAAGGTGCAAATTAGATGTCTGATAGTCCAAAACCTGGCCTGCTTAGCCATAATCCAGGAAACAACTAGTAATCCCAAACAAAGCACAAAGAGAGGGGGAATGCCTTCTCACAGCATTCTGGGATGCTTTGAGTTGTTTTAGCCCAGCAGGCCAGCTCACTTTCAGTACCCAAAAATGGCAAAGGCAGCCTCCCACAATCCTGTGCTCTCCAGGGGTTTTCAACTGTGTCTCCCATCAGACCCAACCAGTACAGGCAGGGGCTAGGGATGTTGAGATTTGTGATCCAAAACATCTGGGGGCCACAGGTTGGGGAAGGCAGGGCTTGGTAAAAGTAGCTGAAAGCAGGCCACATTTGCGGGGGGGGGGGGGGGGTGTTCTCTTTCCTCTTTCATTAGTTGTATTTGATATTAAACTAGACACTTTCTTTATAGACTCTTGCTATCCAGAAAAGTGGGCTAGCATTTAGTTTGATCTGAGCCAACACTATGCAGGCGTAAGATCTAATAACAGTTCTCCAGAGGTTCGCAATGCTTGTGCAGGGACGTTTCAAATGATGCTTTTCACCAGACTGAACATGTTCCTGCTATTTTATTAGGATCTCACCTTGTGCCAGGCATGCCTCTTTTGAGAACTGCATTATGGAAGAAAAGCATGTGAAAGGGCTAAGCCTGGCAAATTTCCAGGCAAGACATCTGAAAAGAAAATAAATGCCGTACAAGCACACGAGGCCCATCTGTCCTAACTGCCTCATTTTTATGCAGATTACCCAACCTCAAGTAAAAATAATTATCTGGCTTTGTTCCTGCTGTGTTATGTTCAGAAGCTTCATGCACTGCACCAAGGAAAGTGTATATTGTACACAGGCAACCCAGATTTTGCTTTCAGAATAATGCACATCAATAAATACTGTGGAAATTATAGGCTTGTGCACACAGGAACTGGAGCAGGACTGAGCCCACTGCTCCTCCCACAGCACATGCATGCCTTGATTACGCTTTGCGAAGAAAGCAGACAAGCGTATGCTCTGTTCACAAGATCCATATCAATGTAAGGAGGTTGAGGGGACATCAGGAACCATGATGCTGCTCCCCACTCCAAAATGGTTACACATGTAGTCCCCAAGCCCCTAGTCGACCACAATACCTATCTGGAGGCATAATGCATTGGCTTGCAGCATCACAAATTCTGTAGAGAGCCAGCGTGGTATAGTGGTTAAGAGTGCGGGTCTGGGACTCAGGAGATCGGGGTTCTAGTCCCCATTTGGCCATGGAGCCAAGTGGGTGACAGGGCCAGTCACAGACTCTCAGCCCAACCTGCCTCACAGGGTTGTTGCTGTGAGGATAAGTGACAGAAGAATTATGTAAGATGCCTTGAGCTCTTTCCTAAAGAAAAAGGTGGGATATAAACCTACTGAATAAATAAAATAAATAAATATAGGCAAAGTGTAGCTACAGAAAATAGAACTTGTACTAAAGCATCTCAGTGCTTCATACAGCTTACTCAAAAGTAAGCCCCACTGAGTTCAATGGGACTTACTCCCAGGTAAGCAGGTATAAGATTGCAGAACAGTGCAAGCCTATACATGTCTACTCAAAAGTAATCCCATTCATTTCAATGGGACTTATAGATAAATGGATTTAATATGGTGGAGTTATTGCCTGAGGAATGTATAAGGTTACACTGCAAATCAAATGCAATGCTTTGAGTACCAAATGTCAGCATTAAATTTGTTTCAGAAATACTTATTTGAGTGATTTTTCTGCTTTGCCTACACACTTGGTATCTAGATCTGCAAGCTCTCGTCCATGCGGCTAATCTAACCTGCAGTGTTTGCCAACCTTCAGACACTCAAACTCCTAAGTTTAAGATGTTGGTTCACAGCACATTGGCCGGCACACTCACTTCAGTAACAATTATATTTTCATCCAAATAGTTTTGTGAACTGCAAAATTTCTGCCTTTGAAATTGGAGAGTTGTATTTGTGGGGAATGTGTAGGCTTAAGGATACAAAGGACTACGCAGAGGGTTATCACTGCTGACAGCACAACACGTGGAATCCCTGCTTTTCTTCCTTCATTCTTCAAGTTTATTTTAAGTGTTAATGCAGACTGGATCCAGCAGGCCAGGGTGCCAAAACCAAAGGTCAGAGAGGTGCCAACATTATGGATTTCTTCATCATTGGTAAGCTACAAAAGAAACAGATCCGGTGACCTTCCTCAATACAACCAAGGAGGGGGGAAAAAACATTTCCCCCAAAGCTCTTGATAATTGTGTTGCTCAGAGCATGCTGGGGACTGGATCCACATTGAAGCAACTACGTCAGCAGAAACAGACTCTTGCCTCCATCAACATGGCTGCCCCGCCATTTTCTTGGAAATGCTACACAGAGGGTTGGGGGACTTGACTGAATGGGATGAGCTAAGGTGCAGGGTGAAAGGAGAAACCCTGAAAAATGGGCACAGATGCTCTTTGTTGGGAGTGAGAAAAACAGCTGCTCATGGTGCACATTTCCAAGGCCTCTTGACTGGGACTCAGAGAAGCAGGAGGTGGACTCAGAATGTGGGCCAATTCCAGATGTTGAGATGAGAGAACAGGAGGCATGTAACTCAACACCAGACTCACCACGTGCTCAGGCAGCCTCTGAGAATATCCAAGATATACAGTTACTGAGAACGGGCTTGGAGCAGAGGAGTTTTTCAGAGACAGACGAGGTAGGTTTGGTTCTCATCCCCTTGATGCAACGTCAGCAGAGGATGACAGCCCAATTAAAGGATGAGCATGCAGAGAGGAGCCATGCAAATTTCTAAAAGGCCTCTCCCAAAGGAAGGGGCCCAAATAGACTCAAGAGGACCGTTCCTAGAAGTAAATACTAAATTGGGTTCAACAAACCACTCCACACATAGATTCTTCCCAGGTGTTTTACTAGAAGAATAAAGAACGTTTTGCAAGACAGGTTTGTGGCTTTGAATGTGCAAAGGAAGGGAACCTAGCTCACAACTCCCTCTGTGAGTGGAGCCCTTCTGTTCCCACAAGGCAGATCCTGGATCTAGCCCCTGATCATGACAACAACAGAAAAGAAGCCATGCTGAAGCAAGCCAAAGGTCCGTCTAGGCCACCATTCTGTTCACCTAGCGGCCATATGTGCAACAGCACCCTCCTTATGGGCATTATCCAAGGTAGGGACCCCAGGTATTGCATTAAAGTAAGGCATGTGATTAAATACCATGGAAATTATAGCATTTGTTGTGCACACAACAAACCTATGTACAGTTAAGGCTTGTGGTGGCATGACTGTGCTCAATGCGCCCACCTCAAACACACACACTTGGATCCTGTCTTGTGAAGGAATGTGTGGACCCCACTGCCGAACTTGGCATACAGTGGAGAAAACTACAAGGGGCTGAGAACCTGGCCTTCCCCTTTCAACCAACTTTCTCCTCACCCTCTCCTGAATGCCAGGCTCGGTGGCTGGTGGCTCTTACATGCCTGGGCAGAGGAGGAGGTTGATAAACTTCCTCTCCTTCTGAGCCGGTTCGAATAGACCCTCAGGGTTCTTCTGCCCTCACATCCTGCCCTGGTGGACAAGAACAGGTTGCTGGGGTTGGCAAGCCCAAGACTGTGATGGGCCTCCATTTGCCCACCCCACACCAATCTACTGAGAAATATTACATTGAAATAATTTCTGTGTAAAAATTTCTACATAGAAATTAGCTTCAAACCATAACTGCTAGGAATGGAAAGTTTCCAATGAGTCCCACATACCTCAGCACAGATAGCTGTTCTCTCATAATTTTACAGCTCTTGCATTGAAGTTGCCCATTCCCTTTTAAGGAGAGCGCCAGGGATCCATGACGAACAGCATCTAAGCTGGGCTTTTATGACATGGGGATAGGCAGATTTTGGCCCATGCAGGCACCAATAGCGTCTGTGCAGGACCCGAGGGCTCCTTGAACACAATCCAGCGCACGGTGCTGCCCGCTGCACATGCTCAGTGGATCTTGTCCTCCTCCCACCAGCTGCAGGGCAGAGAGCTTAAGAAAACTGGGCATGTTTCAAGAGCAGTTTGCCAAACTGTAGGCAGGGATGGAGGGAAGGTAATTACTGCACCTCCAAGGTTTGCTGGTGGGAGCAGTCAGTCAGCTCACCCGAGAACCCCTGGGGCAAGAGGGTCATTTGTGTGGGGGTAGCACTTCCCATCCCCAGCTCTTTTTTGGGGTACAGCTCCCCCCACCTACCTGTTGCAGGTGAGCAGAGACATCCCTTCACTATCTTACATAGGCAGGTGTGGGGAGCTCTGTGTGTGTTTTCCTGTGTGTGTGTTTTGTCTCTTTCTGTTTTGTCTCTGTGCAAGGGAACACGGTAAGAAAGAGCAGGAAGCGTTCTTGGTGTTTTGTGACTCACCCCATAGTAGCCATTTTGGGGCCACACACACAGCACTAAGTCCAAATGAACCTCCCCAAAAGTGGGAGACCCTGGATATAAAAAAAGAGTGGTATACATTTCCGCCCACAGTTCTGTACCAGGAAAAGCAGACATCTACATCTTTGTATGCATTCTTTATCTGTCCCCTCACAAGAAAGTGCAAGACACCCATTATCCAATTTGAACTGCAGGTAATCACGCTGAAGTTTAGTTCCAGCTGTAGCTGCTGAGTCTCCAGAAACTGCTGAACCCAAACTTTGCAGACTTAAGGGCTAGCAACTTTTTTTTAATTCAAGGAAGGTGCAGAATTCTGTGCCTAATACTATCCCGTGCCTAATCAGGAAGCTTGCGCACAGCCAAAGAGAGCATTTGGGCAAACCCAGCAAAAAATCCTTGTTCGGGGACAATACTTGCAATAGGATACACATGGGAACACACCCACAATGTCTGCTGTGTTGAGGACTGCTTTTATACTTTTACATATCACTATGAATATTTCACATAAAAATGCCCTGACCACAATCCTATGCACATTTAAACAAAACAAAAGGCCTACAACTCCCAGAATGCACTGAGTAGTCATGCTGAAAGTTGTAGGCCTGTTTTCTGGGTCAGTATGAATAGGGTTACCCCCTTCAAGCTATTAATAAATACATGCATTTTTAGACTTCATGGGCCCTGGCTTTGCAGAGCAGCATTGGCTTTACAGGCAGAAGGCCCCTGGCCTGAGCCCTGGCAGCTGCTGCTGAAAGGAACTTGAGTAAGGCCTTCTGCTGAGACCCTAGATTGCTGCTGACAGGCAGAGTAAACCACAAGTGCAAAACCTCAGGTTTGGAGGCCAGTTCTGGCTCACTTGGGGTCCTGATCCAGGCCTCCCAAGATGCACCGCGCCACTTCCCCCTTGACCATCCATCAGTGGTGATTTCCTGGCCTTTGCACCCTTTCCCCCATTCTACACAGATGAAATTCTTCTCCTAAAGCTTAGTTACTGGCAGTAGAAGTTTTCATCTAAAATTTTGGTCGTTTGGCCCCATAACCTTTCCCTTCAGCCCCACTTCAGCAGAACGCAGCCCCCCAGAGGTTTCTCCAGGATAGAATTCAGCCTTTGGGCTGAAAAGAATCTCAAGGCCCCAGCAGTAAACAGTTCTTGGGTTCAGGGATCCGAATTAATATAAGGCTGCGTACATGTAAATTGGCCTCTAATTAACTGAGAAGGGAGGAAGAAAAGGAAGGAGAGTCGGATACCTGGAAGTTGCCCAGTAACGTCATTCCAAAGGAGGCCAAGCATAACGCCACCAAGCCACTCACATTGAGCCAGGGGTTCAAGACCTTGGGCTTTAGCTGAATAAAGCGCAGGACGGCCACGACAAGTGCTGAAAGGAGGAAAGAAAAGGTGGCACATGCATGCAATTTGCACTCTGAATCTGCATACAGTTATCAACGCACGTGAAGGTCTAGACGCCAGGTTTGCCAAGGCACCCGACGCAGCAGAACCTGAGTAGTCCAAGGGCCTCTACTCACTTCCACTTCTGTGGTTCGTGGCTGAGTGAGCTGACTCCCTAGCAGACTGAACTCACCAAGGGGAGAGCGACAGGCAGGACAGGGCTGCATGCACTGTCCATCATGGAGCAGCTTGGTTTATTAAAGGGCAAGCCAGTGAGGCACAGTGGTTCAGAGTGCGGGACTGGGACTTGGGTGATGTGGGATCCAGTCCCCGCTTGGCCATGGAGCCAAGTGGGAGACTTTGGGCCAGTCACAGACTCTCAGTCCAACCTGCCTCACAGGGCTGTTGTTCTGAGGATAAGATTTAGAGCAGCAGGAGGAGAATGATGGAAGTTGCTTTGAGTTTATCACACGGAAAAAAGTGGGATATAAACCAAACAAATAAATATTACTTTACTTGGTCAGCCTAAGGCATTGCTGGGAAACCAACATTGTCAGGATCCAGATAACCCATCCAACCAGCCAATGATATCAGCAGTTAGGCCATTTTTGCCTGTCCTGCCGCTTCTTGCATTGTAGCGGCCACAGGGCAAGCAAAGCTGTCTTAGCTAAGTTGGTGTCTGGAGAAGCTGCTGCTTTCATTTGAACCAATGGACTCTTTGAACTCTCTTAAATCATGAGAACAATCCTGTTTGTTTAGACAGGAAAAAATCCTATAGCCTAATGGTTGGCTAGGGAATGCAGTGTAGTACAGGATGTTTCTCTGTCTGAACATGCAGCCTTGTGCCCTAATTACGGCATTTTAAAGGTACGTAATACATTTATTGAATTCACAAGGCTGTGTGTATTTTATGACTACCATGGGCAAGTACAGAATTTGGGGTTGTACTCAGAACAAAGTATCTCCTTAATTTCTTGTTTTAAACCCATTTCTGGCTGTTAATATTGCCAAGTTTAATAACAGTGTTAATCTGAACCCCTTTATCTATATTTTCTGAGTTCTGCTTCAGTGTTGCTGGGTTTTTGGGTCAGAGTTGAGGTACCACATACATTATCTTTACATGGAATGGTGCACTGAGACTGGCTTGGTTTTGCGGCATTGTTTGTACTTTCAGATGCTGCTATTGTCATTTGTTTTATATTTTAAAATGACAGGCCTATAATGAAAAGGCTTAAAAATAAATTTCATAGATGAAATCTCAGGATGGCTGAGAGCAGGAAAGGGGTTAAGCAATGAGCACAGAGAGCACAGGGTCTATACTCAGCATGCCTCTTTGCAGAAGCAGAATACCCTCTACAAAATCTGCAATGTGAGCAGATTTGCTTCATTTGCATAGTATTTATATACGTGCACATTCCAGCATGGGGGCAGGCGGAATCTTGATCACCTTGAAACAGAACTTAATAAGGACTGGGGGAGGGGGACAGAACTATGTATATTCCTTACTATATCAGGATTTAGACGGTCCAATGAATAATAATCAAATTTTAGGACAGGCATTAGCACAGGGATGCTGATGCGTGGCCTAGAATCTGCGCCGATGCCGACAGAGATCCATCTCATGGCAGCCTTGCAGGAAGCCAGTGCACGTTTTTGCCTGCCAAGCAGAGGTGGTGCATGAGGCTGGCCCACTAGGGCAGAAGCACTGAATCCTTCCTATGGAGCCCAAATCCCTGGGAAGCCTCTGCCCCACTATGGCCCTTCATGAAATAAAGGCGCAGGGGCCCTGATTCTCTTCCTTGCGTCTGATCCCCTTGGACTGGCTGGTTTCTTGCCACACGTGCTTCATCTCCGGTTGCCTTACCACCTTTTTCTAAAATTCAGTGGCTCTTCTCCCCAGTCCATGCATCCCTTTTTGCAAAGAGGAATGAAAGGATCTTTTAAAGACACATGGACAAACCACACAGATTTCAGAGCTTATACAGATTTTGCTTTTTCTGTCATGTGGGCCTCCTTTTTCAGCATCGGCACTGCTGATGTGTGAGACTACCACAGATGAGCCACATGTGGCGAACACGCTTACAAGGCTTCCTCCAGCCTTCCCCAACCCGGGGTCCTCCAGACGGGTTGGTTACAATTTCCTCTGGCTGGAGCAGGCTATGGTTTTAGTTCAGCACATCTGGAGGGCCTGCCATGTTGGAGAAGGCTTCCCCACACGACTGGCCAAATGGTAGGAGGGTAACATGTAAACCAACATTTGGCACAGTGCCTTATCTCCGTTGGTTGTGGGGATTCTCACCAAGGATAACGGACCTGACAGACTCTGGTCTGAACCTTACCAGATGCCAGCAATCTTGAACTGGGGGTTTTGGGGGCAAAGCCCAGGCACCATATTACTTGCATCACTGGTACAGTTTTTGGGCAAAGAGAACTTCCACTCTGATCAATGCTGCATCGCTTTCCCAACCCTAGCACCCTCCAGATGTTCTGGGTTACTGTTCCTAGTGTCCCTAACTATTAGCAATGCTGGCCAGGTTTGATGGGCACTGAAGCCCAAAACATCTGGAGGGTACCAGGATGGAGAAAGCTGTCCTACAGCAGTTTGAGCCCCTGAGGACCAGATGACTTGAGGAAACGATACGCACATGGCTGCAGGGGGCCTGAGGATGCAATCTGGCTTTGTAGATCATAAATGCATCTCCTCCTAGCTACTGAAATGGGAATAGTGACATGAATTCAAGACAAGGATTATACACGAGTTACTTTTGAATGGCACATTCATCAATACATCTTTACTGTATCCTCAAGTGCTTTTGTGTAATGTTCACGCACATGCAAGATTTTAAAGCAGAAGAAACATGCAAAAGTGCCATGAAAATAAAGAAATTATTTTTCTGGAAAAAAATGGTGGTGCTATGGTTATTTTACAGATATACACAATATATCACTGACTGTTTCACATGTTGAGCGAGTGGTCTAGTTCTCACTGAAGCAGTAAATCTACCACTGCCAACTCCAGCTTTTGGCAGACTTCCAGGAAGGTGCAGTCTGATTTTCCCTTCCAAACAGGCATGTGTCTGCGGTGGTTGGCAGACAGCTCTGATTTGCCCACTCTCTTAACTTGCCCACAATACCTTGATGTAATGCTACTCCAGGGCATCATGGGAAATTTAAAATGGTGCCTGTTGGTTCCTAGTAGGTTACCCCAAACCTGCAGTGGATGGGCAGGCTCAGTCTCAGGGCCGGCATCAGCACAGGGATGCCAATGCTAGCCCTAAAATCTGTGACTGAGCTGATGAACCCTTATCTATAAGCAATTCAGAAAACTGAACTACTCCATAGCAATCAATCAATCAATCAATCAATCAATCCCCTGCACACAGAATATTAGCATGTCAGGGAAAGAGGTCAAACCTACCTTTTTACTTGCTATTATAATTTTCTGCAAACAGGGATATTTTTCCCTTTTTTCATATGAATTAGCTATCCATCAGGGAAGGGAACGTCCACCTACTTTCTTAAGCTGACAGTACCCCCAGGCATAAGTTTACCACTTCAGTGAGAACTAACCTATGGTAGCTGCAATTCACTGGATCTCCAGAGCCTGACCATTTATTGGTCCGAATATGCCTCATGTGAAACAGAACAGCCAAAAAAGAAGCCAGACATTTTTCATGCAACACCTACCTAGAAATGCTGCCATGTTCATGACTTGGCTAAACACACAGCTTGCAGGAGGGGCATCACCTGCAATACTTCAAAAATACAATGCGTATCATTGTAACTCTACTAAGCCTGCAACAAAGATAAATGAATGAATACAAACAGTCCATTGGTAAGAATGGGCCTTGTTCAAAGAAAAAAAAAAATGAGTAGAAGGTGAATTAATTACCTTATGTAAGGTGGCTTTAGAGGACTCGATTTCCTGGAGGAAATAAAAGGAAACCAATCACACATGTGTCAGAATTATAGCCCTGGTGATTGATGTCATAGAACTTGAGACAATTTATGTTTACCTTAGATGTCACCAAGCCAGGGATCTGTATTAATGTGGGGGTGAATAAAACATTGATCTCTCAGCGGCTTCTGGGACGGTTAACAGTGCAGATGGCCTTCTCAGTGGCGGCCCCGAGGTCCACCCAGCACCGACATTGCCATCGTTCTGGCAGAAGGTTGAAGTGGTCCTCCACTCCCAGGCATTTGATAGCCCATGATGGGGCATTATATCCATTGCTATTACTAGGCCCAGTGTCTTGCTATAACTGTTTTAGCTGTTTCAAACTGTTTTTTAAATGTTGCATATTATAGATTTTATAAGATTATTTATTTATTTATTTGTGGGACTTCTATGCCGCCCCATTCGCCGAAGCCTCGGGGCGGCTCACAACCATAAATAACCAGAATCCAATAAAACAATATAAATTAACAATATAAATTAAGTCATCCTGACCAAAGAATAAAATGAATAAATAATATTAACAATTAAAATAACATTTGAATAAAAACGTCTTCGCCTGGCGCCGAAAAACAAATAACGATGGCGCCAGGAGGACCTCTCTGGGGAGCGCATTCCATAGATTGGGCGCCGCCGCAGAGAAGGCCCTCCTCCGAGTACTCACCCTCCTAATGTCTTTCACAGAGGGTTCTCAGAGAAGGGCATCTGTTGCTGATCTCAAGGGGCGGGTGGGCATATATGGACATAAGCGCTCCTTCAGGTAACCAGGACCCAAGCCGTTAAGGGCTATATAGGTCATCACCAACATTGCAATATTGCATTTGTGGCTTGTATTTTTTGTGAACCACTCAGAGTGCTTTGTCTATTGGGTGATATAGAAATGGTCATGACAATGAATCACCAAAAGGTCCCGGCTCAGGAGCCTCAGGGAATCCACACTGCCCAGAGTGCCCTGGCTTAAGAGAGGCTCCCATACTTATCAAGTCTCCACCCCAAACCCTATCCTCCCAGAGGTGTCCACCCACTGAGGGTTAGCCCTACCTCCATGGCAGCGAATCTCTCTTCTTGAGAGCAGGCCTTCTGTTGATCTACTCCCTAACCTCCGATTTAATATTCAGATTGAGGGCAGATTTTTTTAAAAAAGGAAAGGAAATAAAAGGTAGATCACTCAAACATGCCCTACCCCTTGCTTTAGGTCCTAAAAACCAGTATACTGCTAGCCAACTGAAAAAGCAGGCAGACTATCAGAAAATAATTTTCAATATTTTTTTCCCTAATGTCGTTTGTCACTTCATGTGAGTTGATGTTTGGCTTATCCTGGGGTCTCAGGCTTGTGAGCCAAACCAGGTTAACCTGGGATCCCAGATGCCCCAGACAGCCCCACTTTCTGCCCCCCAGTTGCCAATCTTTTCCTGCATTGCTGGCTCTTGCACAGCATCTTCCCAGTAGGAAAAGCTGAAATGCTGCCCTCGGCCTCTTCCTGGCAACAGTCACTTTGAGCTGCAATATAATGCTCAAATATATAATGCAATATAATGCAATACTTCTGCCTCTGGCCCTCAACCAGCACTGGAATGTAACACCCTAGAGCAGTGGTGGCGAACCTATGGGACACGTGCTGGACTGGGCACGCAGAGCCCTCTCTGTCGGCATGCGAGCCAAGTGGCCCCAGCATCGCCCCAGCAGCCGAGCATCAGATAACAGTGCACATAGGGGCCATGCACATGCTCAGAAAGGAGTAGCAGCGCCAGGTGATGACATCATGAGCCGCGACTCATTAGCCGTGACTCGTGCGAGCTTTCGCATGGCCAGTTAGTGCGCTGCCAAGGATATATATATATATATTGGCTCAGACTGACTGTCAGTTGTTTTTTCTAAACTAAAACCTCAGTATTCAGATTTTATTGCAGTGTTGGCACTTTGCGATAAATAAGTGGGTTTTGGGTTGCAGTTTGGGCACTCGCTCTCTAAAAGGCTTGCCATCACTGGGTTAAGGTTAGAATAACGAGCTGTCCTGGCATGATTCTGATGGTTGGAATGTGCTTAAAATGGGCAGAAATGTTGAGCTGTGCAGAAAAAGCTACTCAAGGAAGGCTTTTACAAAATCGCCCTCTGTTCCATGGAACTTTAGCCATATATTAGGGCTAGGGTTGTGCACCAGGGTAGGGTTTTGAGTTGCAGTTTGGGCACTCGGTCACTAAAAGGTTCGCCATCACTACCCTAGAGTGTCTCGAAGGCTGAATTCCGGCTGATACCCGTGGATCGGGCCCAGGGGAGGCAGTGTGCAATGGCCCACTAGTGCTGGAGCCCTGCGTCTTTCACCCAGAGCCCCACATCGCTGGCAAGCCATCTGCCCCACCACCCTGTTGTCCATGGGCACTTGCTGAAAAAAGGGGAAAGGACCACTGATGATTTCCATGGCATCTGATCCCCCTGGAGTAGCTACCTTTTTGCCCACAGGTTCTTCTCCTCCTGCTGCCCCCTGGCCGAGAACCTTTCTGTCTGAGGCTTTTTCCTAAATCAACTGCCCTGCTATCCCCAGACCATAAATTCCATTTTTCAAATAGGAGTATCTGTAGGAAACTGGGTCCTATGAAGACACACATGCACAAATGAACGCCCAGCGGGCCTGAACCCTGGCTCCTTTCTTTTCCTACCTACTACTGCTCCTGTGCAGGGCTATTTACACTGGAGAGCGTCTGTGTGTAAAATGTGCACACTTTTTTAAAAAGCCCATATACTGCATCCCAGCTTGAGGAGAGCTAATTCTGCTTCATCATGAATGTCAATGAAGCAGCGCTCTCAACACTAATAAACAAAGAGAGATCTTAAAAATAAACCAACAGAGAACTTTAAAAATCTTTTTACCTGTCTAGCACATTTAGTGGGATAATTTTGCTGTCTTCTACTGCTATAAAATATCTGCCAAAAGAGGAAGAGAAAAACAGTGTTAAAAGCACCATTTTCTGAAGGGGAGGAAGAGAAGTGTCCTGGCTGGGAACCTGGGAACAGGCTGGATGCTGAACAGACAGGTGAAGAGCCGGCTAAGTAGGGAATCTATCTAGGAACATCTCTGACCAAGCTCAGAGACAGTCTACCATACCAGGCCGAGCCTTTCTGGCTCTTCATGTCACCTGATTCCTGCTGGGCTGGAAGGTGTGATATATACTGTGGCCATGCAGCAGAAATCAGCCCTGGCTGTTCCTCCTGCTGCCAGAGCCCCAGGTGCCTTTGGGTGCCTTCCCCAACCTGGTGTCCTCCAGATGTTGGATGACGAGCTTTTCTTCACAAGGCATTTATTGTGTACTCTTGATTCCTCACTCACAATTGCTTATGGGTTCTTCAGATGACTTCATGACCCTCCAGTTTCACTTTGGGTTTCTTTTTTCCTTATTTTAATAGTGGGGAAAATAGAGTATTATTTCTGTGCATGAAAGAAAAGGTAGTTTCCTCCTTATAGCTGTATGCTGTGTTGCTAAAGCACACTGCCACCTACAGGCTATATAGCAGAAAGGCTCTTTATGTTCAGATTTTCTGCAACAAGACCCTGAGTGGATAAAGCTGATTAACAGCCTTGTACAGAAAAGCTCTGCATCTCCTAACACCCCCAGCCAGTCTTTCCTATGCAAAGCATATCCTCTGCTGCTAGGCCATGGTGTCTCCCAAAGAGGGACGGAACAGAGAAAGGAAGAATGTCTGTTAAAAATCCAGCTGTATCAGCAAAAAATAATTACACATTGAAATATCCAAGGATAGAAACACAGAAACAGAGCGAGTCAGAAGGGGTCTCCCAGGCCATCCAGTCTGACCCCCGGTTCCAGCCGGCTCTGCTAACGACATGCCCACCATGTGCATGTCCAGCCTATCTTTGAACACCCTCACTGATGGGGCCTCAACGACCTCTCGCGGAAGCCCATTCCGTGCCCTCGGGGTCCTGACTGTCAGGAAGTGCTTCCTGGCATCCAAACTGAACCTTGGTTCCCTAAGCTTTGCTCCGTTGCAGCACGTCCTGCCCTCCTCTGCAGGGGAGAACAGGTCTCTACCAACCTTTGTGTGACGTCCCCTCACATACCTGTATGTCGCCAACATATCCCCTCTGAGTCTCCTCTTCTCCAGGCTGAAGAGACCCAGTTCCCTCAGTCTCGCCCCATATTGCATCCCCTGCAAACTGGCCAGCAACCTTGTGGCCCTTCGCTGCACTGACTCTAACCTGGCTATATCCTTCCTGTAATGAAGGGCCCAAAACTGAACACAATACTCCAGTTGCAGACACACCAGAGTCATATAGAGTGGCAGTAATACCTCTCTCAATCTAGAAGCCACATTTCTGGCTATGCAACCAAGGGTGGTGTTTGCCCTCTTGACCACCGCATCACACTGCTGACTCATGTTCAACCTGCAGTCAACCAGCACCCCGAGGTCCCTTTCACAAGTGCTGCTCTCCAGCCACTTGACCCCTAACCTGTACTTATGACAGCTATTCCTATGCCCCAAGTGCAAGACCTTGCACTTATCCACATTGAACGCCATCCTGTTGTCTCCTGCCCTCTTCCATAGTCTGTCCAGATCCTTTTGGATCTGGAGTACCTGCTCCTCAGTTGTGGAGGAACTATTGATGTAGTGGTTCAATAGCTCTTCATCAGAGGCATATTGCTGCAGTTGAAAATTGTTCTTTATAAACTCGAGTAGGAGCTGTATATACTCAGAGCTGTCTCTCTCCTACATTTCTGAAAGAGCACATAAGCTGTGTAAGATTTTATACTAGAAATAGTATCCAGTTCCCTAAGAACCACAGCTTTCTCTTTCCTGTCCTTTCCTTTCAAGTTTACAGTCCTTCTGGCTGCAATGAAATACTTGAAAATCTGAGGGGAATGCCAGCTGTAATTTCCAGGTTGTTGCAATAAAATTTCAACGGTGGCATGTGAGCCTTGCTTGGCAAATACATTTCCAGTTTCTATGATTGGCCAAACTGGAACAAATATTCCAAGAAGTAAAAAATAATGCCACCTCGACAGTGCAAGATAGCGTGGGGTGTGCAGCTTTTCTCCATGTATATAACAATATGGGCCACGGAATCTGTTTTTTTCCACAGACTTGGGCTTTTCAATGTAGTCAATGTGTTCACATGTTTGTGCATGAGTGCCATTGCTTCTGCAATTCAAATAACAGCAACACATGCAAGGGGGAGGCAACAGAAAGTTGTGCAAGGGCGGGACTGCAAGATTTACAAAACTACAAAGTCCTTGAGAGAGAAAAACTGAAGCTGAAGGCGGGGGGAACAGTGGAAGGGGAAAATGGCAGAATACACTCAATGACTGGAATAATAATGCGTGTTTGTGAGGAAAAACAGAAAACCAGGTGGAAGGAGGAAGGGAATCAAGTAACTGGAGCAGAACATGGCAAACTGACAGGAACAGCAAACAACATTTCGTACTTATAAGGGGTCAGACTATTCACTGTAGGTCCTGCATGTATGACTGCATATACTGCTTTTCTGCTTAAAGATATTTGGTTTAGCTATTTATTTAGGTAAGATCTGTCCGCTGAAAAGAAAGGAGAAGTTTAAGAAAGGCTTTAGATCACAATAATGTTCCTCTGGCAAAGGGCCATTTCTTCCTGAAATACGTTGGTACACGTTGAATTGTTTGAGCAAACGAATGATTCCTTCCAGAAACCTTTTAAAAAACCCACCCCAAATCTCACTTACACAATCCACAGTCCCGCTGAGGTAAACAGTGTCAACACAAGAGGTAAGAACATCCATACGCTGCATTTCTTCCCATCCATGCCTGAGAAAAACAGAGAAAACAAGAGTAAGACAAAGCAAAAGTGGGGAGAGACAATGATCTATTAGTGAAGGACAAGTGGCCTTTTCTAAGCTCAAACAGGGAGCAGAAAATGCACCTTTCTCGGTATACACCAGATACCTGACAGTGGTCTCTTCCTATCTTGCAAATGTATTGTAATGTATCCCACCTGAGTCCTGGGCTTTTCTCAAAGAAATACATGAAGTTGACTCTTTAGACTGTGAGGTAAGTTCAGCGAAGAGTGACTGGGCCAAGGTCACCCAATGAGCTCCACAGCTGATCACGGATTTGGACCCAGGTCTCCCACTTCCAAGCCAATCAACTACCACTCTGTCCAAATCTAAGCCTCTGTCTACTAACATCTGCCCACCTGCAAATGGCAAAATCACAGACCCTCAGACACTGAGAATTTTAAACTGGCATCCAAGAAACAAACATTTCTGCCTAAAATTGAAAATGTTGCAATTGAAAATGCATGCCTATCCTAAAGATTTGTTGCAAACTCCAAAAAACTGAGCCTGGTGCCCAAGAATCTGAAAACATGTTCAGTGCCCCCATGCTTGCTGCTCTCAGCAACCCTTTCTGAAAACACCACGGAGGTGGGGGTGAGGATCTCTGCTTGTCGTTTCATCCAACCTTAACCTGTGGAAAGAGCATCATCTCTGGGCTGAAACCTCACAGGCTGAAACTTCATCTCAACTTCATAATCCTCAAAACGAGAGAGAGGGAGCTGCTTATCTGTTCAACTGGATTAGCTGTTATTAGATGCTAACAAGTGGATGAGTGCATAAGCCTGGCACCTCTCCTTAAACATTTTGCCTGGTCTCCAAAACTGTCCCGTGTAATGCCCAGAGAAGGGCATATAAGAGATGGAGAATGAATTCAGAGCCCAGGTATGTTCCCATGGAAGCTTGAGAGCACCCCAAACTTACTGCTCTCCATTTGTTCCTTGAGAGCAATACATAGGTCAAGATCTCTTCTTGCTGATGTCAGAGTGTAGGACATGGAATAATCAATTCAAGGTGCAACCCAGATTCAGGCTGGACATCAGGAAAAGCTTCCTCAGTGTCAGAGCAATACGACAGTGGAACCAGCTGCCTGGCAAGGTGGTGGGCTGTCCACTAGAGACATTCAAAGAAAAACTAGACAGGCATCTGAGTGGGATGGTGTAAAGTGGTGTCCTGCAACAGCAGGAGTTGGGCCCAATGGCCTTGATGGCTTCTTCCATCTCTACTATTCTATGATTCTATGCAATAAATGTATTATTACTGCTCTATTTTGTCTTTCTTCCTCTTGCAGGGAACCCAAATGGACTCACAAGGTTCCTCCCCATTTGATCCTTGCAAGAAGCCTTTGTAGGAGGTTAGTCTTTGAGTGACTGGCCCAAAGTCACCCAGCGAGCTGCATGGCTGAGTAGAGATTAGAACCCAGATTTTCCAAGTTCTAATCCAACACTATAACCACAACACCACGTTGGCACTTTTAAAGCACACCAAATCTATTAAAACCCAGATGGCAACCTTTGTGGTCTCGGGTTATTGCTGAAATCTACTCTAAGTCATTAATCCAATACTCATAGTGTATTTCACATAAATTGTAATGGATTGTATGCTTATTAAAATAGTTATACTGGCTGATGTTTGGGCCTAATCTACACCAACTGCTTTTTCATAGTCTAGCTATTTTCCATTCTCCTTAGTCACCATCTTCTTCCTTCTGAACCCACACAGCTCCCTGCTAGAAAATGTCAACATTCTAATAAAATACTGCTGGGGTGGGGTGGGGGGATGTGAATGGAGATTCTTTATTTCCACATTTTATGTGCGCATGATTGGGTTGCTTGGCTTGCTTAATGATAAACACAGAGCTTGAGACTCTCAGTGCAATTTTCTAGCAAGACATAGATCTTCCCAAGAAAGAGCTCTCCTGCAATGGGACCCCAATCCTCAAAGCCTGCAAACTCATTAATAAATAGAAGCTGCCATTCAGGCACCAGGAAACCTGTCAGCAGGGGACAAACATCGATTTTTCTATACTCCAATTTCCTCATAAGAAATCTTTATGTACAGTATGCTGGATTTTAGATTAGCATCATGCAGCAAAGCTAACTTCCATCCCTCAAGACTGCAGCAATTTAACCATTTATATGCACTTCCAAGGTATGTACCACTTTTCACCCTTAACATCATGACTATTTTCAGTGCAAAAATTAAAGCATATCTTATCTGATTTCCAAGATGTCTTGAGCTATTTTCTGGCAAAACAAACATCTGCAGAATCTTTTTTACACCAGAAATTACTATTACAGTTTTTCCTCCAGGAATTAAAGTAAGGGCACAATTAAGGATAAATTGGGACATGTAAATTCAGTGGCTGATGAATCACAGGCATTAACTGATATAACCCATCAAAGATTATCTTTCTATGGTGATGAAGGCCCCCCACATCACTGATATAACTAGCAGGGATTTTCAAGACCCATAGGTGCCAAGGCCTAGTTTTGCAGTTGTGCAAAAAATTGTGTGTACCCTCACACATGCACACATACACCATGGTGGATTTTTCAAGTTCCTGAATTCAGGGCCTCACTTTATTCTGGGAAATTAAGCTCCTTAAGGGAGCAGTTCTAAACCTGTGGTCCACAGATCAGTAGCATTCTGTGGGGTAGTCCATGGAAAGGAGGAGCAGAACTGACCACACAAGCCCTGGAGAAATGAGCAGGGCTTACAGATGGCAACAGCTCCCATCCATGTAATTAGGACTTGCACAAGAGAGCAACCCAGTGAATTGAGTCTCTCATCAATTTAGAAGGAATGGGTTTTCAGTCTGAAGCAACCAAAGAATTAGTTAAGCTTTTGCGCCTTGACAATCTTAACTGCTATATAGCTCAGTAGCTAAAGCAGCTTTGGAATAAACTCACAGAAGTTCCAAGCCTGCAAAAGAGTTTACCAGGGCAAAGATGGACAGCTGTATCCCTCCTACAGAAGCCTGCTGCCTTTCTACCCTGGGAAAAGAAGTAGGTTTTGCTTCTTCAGCAGGCCACTTGGTTTCTGGGCTGGGCACAGAGAGAACGGAGCACTCTGCTGGTCCAGTACCAGCCCGTTCACTTGCCTATGTGTTTCCTTGTTGCTTGTGTGTGGCTACCAGGCTAATACACAACTGGGCTGAAGATCAGTTACTTATCTCCCTTTCAACAATATGCTTCAGGTGCCAGTGAAATGGCTGTAAAACTACTGGATCTATTAACAACACAAATTAACTGGCTGACAACAGGTATGTGCGGCTTATAGCAGCAGGAAGATGCACATTCTTCTTCCTCAGATAATTTAATTCCCAAATCAGGGCCAATCTTGCATTCAAGTAACTGCAGAATCTCTTGGTGCAGGCATTAGTTTCTCCGCATTGGAAAGCAGCAGGTGGATGGGAGGCGATTTGCCCAAGACCTCTTTGTCATCTTTCATCAGGAAGAATTTTGAAAAAGCACCAAAAAATAAAAAAAGCTCTAGAAAAATAATGGGTAAAAGGTCCTGGGGGTACCTAAGAAAACTATACAATATTGCATGAGCTCTCAAGGAAAGGGTGTCACAAGGAGATAGTATGAGCCTGTATTATGTTAATTTTTTTAGTACTGAACTAAGCAGTTGCCTTTCCCATAAGATTGCCTTGCTCAGTCCCTTCTACTTGCAGTCCACTTTCAGTGAATTGCCCACATCTGCAGTTGTTCAAGCTTCTGAATGAGCAAATGACACTGGGTTCAGACAACACAATAACCCGCACTTCAACAACAACCCACAGCTGTTGAGTTTGGGTTAACAGGTAGCCTGAAATAGTTCATGAATTTGCTAACTCATTTTCTGGTGAACATTGCCTGGGACTTGCACACTTGATTATCTTAGCAAAGATCCACTTCAAGGGATTTAATTTCACAATAAAGTTAGATTTTTCCTCTTGTGGCAAAGAAAGAAAAAGAAGCTGTAGCTAGGTCTGTCCCAGATGTTCCTATCTTGCAAATGCAAACCTGCTATGCTACACTGTGAAAACCAGACCCATTTTAAACCCATAATGTTTAAAATATGTAGGTAACTTCCTGGCGTAGCCTACGACTCCCATAACCTCACACCTTCCGCTATGTTTGCTGAAGGCCACAATGTCTGGAGAGCCACAAGTTGTGCACCTCTGAATTCAAGGTAGCACATGCCCACCAAATCTCAGCCAAGGAACGAACACATGGAAATAACTGCTCTGATCGCCCCTTGGCTTGCTCCCACTGTGCCACCTGGGCTGGAATGTTTTTTCATCCTTGTGGGATGAGGCCAGGAAGAACCAGCTCCTGTGTTGCTGTGGCTAACTTATATCGACATCATGGAATTTCATTTTTCTTACAAAGTTTTATTTCTTATGGAACGTAGATCTTTTGCATCTCTCCCGGGAGCTCAGTGTCTGAGTGGTGACCAGCAGGAAGGAGCCTACGATGGGGGCAACCATGTCAGGATCCCAGCTCGAGTCGTGAGGCAGACTCACATGGAAGACACGGGCCCGGCCGCCTCTTCAGTCGAGGCCTTGGTGGTGCCACATCACCCTTGGGCGCCTCCGTGGCTGCTCCTTGGCCCTGCGGGTGGGCGCCTTCCTCCTTAGCACTCTCGGCCATCTGTCCGTGTGCAGGCTGGGAGGCTCTGGAGCGTCTGAAAGTGTGGAAGGACAGAAATGGCACACCGCCGCAACGGCTCTCTCCTGGGCCTATGTGGGAGTGAAGTTTAAACCCAAGGCAGAAGTCAATGGATGGCTTCTAGATGATGCCGCCTGTACCCCATCCCCACCCAGAATATGAAGGGTGGCAGAGAGAAGGATAACAGAAAGAGGAAAAATTCAAGCAAGAAAGGGGCTAGATGCCCCACAGCACAGGCCTGGAAGTTAGGACAGGAGAGGAAGGCTGTTTCAGGCCTCAAGAAGGGCAGCTTGGAGCTAGTGCTTCAAGACAACAACTTCTCCACCGTAATGTCTTGACTGAGGTGTGATTCTTCCTGAGTTACCAAGGCAATGTGGTAGCTGCTGCCGAAAAAGCTTTCTCCCCGGCCTAGGTCCACGTTGCCTTGGTAACGCATTAAGATCTGTTCAAGGATGGTTATCCTAATCACACAGGCCTAGAGCTCACAAACCACAAATGAGTCAGTCAGCCAGTATCTGTCCTGTGCCAATTTAGATAGCACTTGTGTAAGCATGTGGTGGGGTGAGCACACAATGAAGTGGCCCTTCTCAGCAATCTCTGCACAGAGAAAACAAGCATGTTGGGAAGAAGGCATGGCTAGAATGCCACTCCCTGACCTCTAGTTTTCTACATGCAAAGATTTTTAAATGAAGAAGCATTCATTCATGTGTGCCCCAATCTGCTGTCTAAAAGGGTCAAGACATGGGTTGACCACTTTACCTGCTGCTTGTAGGAACTTTCCACAAAAGTCTCCTTCTCTTGTACTGATTCTTGAATGGGTAGCACTGGCGTGGAAAATTGTAGTTTGATACGAACTTCCTACATGACATTTTGGCCAGCAGCTTTAAGGTAGCTATTGGTTTTCCTTTTCAAAAACAGGGTCACCCTACAAACCTGACCTAAACTGTCAGCCCCATCCACCGTTATATTTTCCTCTACCTGTTCTGAAAATATTGTGTTAGTAACTGACATGAGTTTCTTTTATTTCAAAAACCTGGGCAAGGAACAGACATTTCCTGATGCATGGCCATTTATATTGCCGCTGAAATTGGGTGTGGCCTAGATTTCCCTTGTCCTTATTACAGCCATAATTGGACACAGCAGAGCCATATTGTACTTCCTGTTCCAGAAGGGAAGGTGGATAAGAGCAAGATGAACTTTGTGCAACCCGCAGCTTGCAAGCTGACAGGACCTCGAATTAATGTTCAAAGGACCAGCGAAAACTGCTTAATACCGCTCTAAAAGTTGCAATATGTTTTGCTAATCGTAGCGAGTAGACTATGCCAGGCTAGTGTGAATGACAAGGAGATAAGGAATGGGCATGGGGGACGGACAGTCCTTGGAAGAGGAAAGGAACCTTGAACAAGGCAGAGGGGAGATGTATCAGATGTGTATTAGATAACTAGGTTGCTTACGTAGGTATATAATGCATGGCAAAACATTGCTTTGGGCACACCCCCCATTGTTCTCCACTTTGTTCTTTAGTGCACTAGAATAAAGCTTAATTTCTGCTCATAGTCTCATCTCTAGACTCTTAATTGGCATGAGTCTGGGGTCCCTCAGGCACACATTACCTGTCAGGTAATTTGTATTGCTTGTTCCAGCAGCAATATCTATACATACCTACTCCCATGTGCAAGGCTGGCTTCAATTCCAGATACATCTCACTGTAGAATAGCAATCACTAGGTACCAGAAGGTCCTACAGTAGAAGCCACCCACGTTTTATTTCACAAAAGATTGGGTTTCCTTATATATCACTTCTGTATCTCAGCCTATTTGATGGCATATGATACACTGCATCTGAGCAATTGTTTATGGCTGTCATTGATCTTTCAGTGATTTTACTTGGGAGAGGATGGTTGTATTTTAGGGGATAATTGTTTTAGCTATTTTAAATCTGGTGTGTTTTAAATCTGCAGACAGTCATCTTGAGTCTTTAAAAAAAAAAGTAAGGAATGATCTTTATCATTCATTCCTGAATGAAACCAGGGTGGCATAAAAGAGGTTACTCTGCCTTTTTTCCTCTTGCCAGGAACCCAAACCAGCTTACATGATCCCCTCCTTCCCATTTTATCTTCACAACATCCCTGTGAGGTAGGTTAGGTTTAAAGTCTCTGACTGGTCCAAGGTCACCCAGTCAGCTTCACAGGCAAACATAATTAGGTTGCTGTATATTAAATGCATGTTTAACAGTGCAGTTTGTGCACTTCCAGCTAATGAGCACTAGAGGGCCCAAAATACCACTTGGAATCTAAACAAAAAATGTTGCTAGTTTTAATCCCCAACCTCTAAGGAACTATGGGGGTGGGGGGGGGTCTCTAGTGAGTAAAGGGGTGTGTGTATGAACTTTCCTAGAACAAAGGTGTAATAAGATTTCCCCATCCTGGTCTTTCCAGGCAGATAGAACTGCAGCTTCTGGCATTTCCTCCTACTGGAGCACAGAATTGCATGCGGCCTGCTCCCTGATCGGTTCCAGTGAGCATAAAGAGCTCGCTGCCTTGGGTGTGGTAGAGTGTATTGTCCTGTTAAATGCCAGTCCAGTTGGCTTCGGTAGGAATAATGGGAAGAGAGCGCCTTCTGGTCCTTTGCTTCGGGGAGCAAAATGTCCTCTTCAGGACATCAGCACTCCCTTGAAGCAGGTCCGGATACAAAAGAGGTGATCCATGAGATATCAGGTTGGTAGAAGGCCTGCTGCTGGCTGACCAGCCACTAAAGAGCTCCGGCAGGAGTCAGGCCTGCTTCTCAAACAATGTGATTGGATGTTAGGGGAGTGGAGAAGCAAGGTGTCTGGATACCAGCATTCTGAAAACAGATAGTCAGACAGGTAGGAGCAAGTCTACTTTACTTGGAAATGGCCCTGCTGGATGTCTTTGAGAACCTTCGCCAAGTGTCAGGCATGCCAGTTTACATAGAACCTCTTATTCTTCTCACTCAGAGGATTTCCTGCCAGATAAGGACCATCAAGGGGATGCTGATACAGAAACTGCCTTCTCTTGAGTCGGACACAGTAATGACAAAACAGAGTTATTAGTATAAACAGTGGGCAGAAGCTTAAGGAAAATGAATATCAGTTAAAACTGAATAACTGTTTACTTACAGTTAGCCTTGAAAGTGCTTTAGGATAACAAAAAAAGGATGCATTCTTATTTTCCATGTATTAATACTTAGCTTTCACTAAGTTATTTATATGGTAATACTATCAAGCAACTTGTCTGCCTAGAGCAGGGGTCGGCAACCCACAGCTCCGGAGCCACACACGGCTCTTGAATCCCCGTCGCTCAAAAACACAAAAGATCTGCGACAGAGGCTCCGAGTTACAAAATACCAATAGGAAATGATGAGGCATCCAGTCAGGAAGGCCCCGCTAACTGGTTAAGTAAATTGTGACATTCCTCTGCTATTGTGCAGGGAAACAGTAGAACAAGCTTCCTGCAGGCTCTCATGTTACATGAAACCTGCTGAAAAGATTCTCTTTGTCCAAATGTAATCTCCTTCCTCTGCATGTTAAAAGCTGTGCTTGGGACCTGTCACAGTTCACATCACTTGACTGTTTAACTGCTAATCAATCACTAAACACACCTATATCTGCAACTCCCCCCCCCCCCCGCCCTAATAGGCCAACCATGATAAATTGAAGTAAAGAAAAGTTTCTGAAGAAAACCAAACGTAGATTCATTTGCTTTTACTGCTGGTGAACTTATGGGGTTTGCTGTTTAATGCATGCAGCCCTTTAGCACTGACTTTGACTCTTCAGAAAGCTGTTGTCCTATCCAAAATATATGAAAGGAGTCCTAGTAGTTTATAATTAAGATTAAAAATAACAGTTTTTAGTGACTGAACAAGAGCTGCAGCTCAATCATAATGAAGATATACATAGCATTAAGGTAAAAAACGATATATGCAGTGTTATCTTCATTTTAGATGTCAAAAGGGTTTTGCAGCTCCCGGTGTTTTCTTTTGTGTGGGAAACGGGTCCAAATAGCTCTTTGAGTATCAAAGGTTGCTGACCCCTGGCCTAGAGTAAACCTTGGTTCAAGAGACATGAATCATTTGATTCAGTCCTCCAATGAAATATTTTTCAATTAAAGTCTACGACAGAGTTTCTTATAGGCCACTGATGAAAACAGATGCTGAAATACATTTAGCACATGTGTAATATTTTAAGGTTTTATATATTCTGGTTTTAACTTTTACATATCGTGTCTTTTTTGCATTGTCACCAAATTTTAGCATTTAGCTTTTATTTATTCAAGTTTTAATGGTACTTTTGACACAAATGTCTCTCTTACATGATTTCTGGCATTCACACTTTTGCACTTTGTACATTTTAGCATTAGACAATTTTAGTATGATGACATTCCTGTCCTTTAACTTAGATTTATACTGGCCAGGTGTGCATGATCAATGAGGAAAACAAGCCCAAAGATTCTTTTCTCCTCCCTGAGTGTGCTGGTCACACACACACACTTTTTTCCCTCGATTTATATCCTGCCTTTTTCCTACAAAGGGCTCAAGGCAGCTTACATCATTGTCCTCCTCCATCTTATTCCCACAACAACAACCCTGTGAGGTAGGTTGGGCTGAGAGTCTGTGACTGGCCCAAAGGCACCCAGTTGGCTCCATGGCTGAGCGGGGACTCGAACCCGGATCGCCTGAGTCCCAGTCCCATGCTCTTAACCACTACGCCACACTGGCTCTCTAAGTACTGTCACTGGGTGTGCGTTAACATGTCACCTGAACCCTGTGAGGTGGACCATCCCAGAAGTCGGGGTTCGTGATAGAGATTTAGGCTGGTATGGAAGCCACCCACTGCTGTGCACCTCACAGGATTCAGCCAACACAGTGACCCTTGCCTGGCGAAGTTTATTAGAGGAATGGTACAATGCATAGCTGACATACCCAAAACAGGGAAAAGAACCCACCATGGCTTCTTTTCGTCCCTGACTGTGCAAGACCTGGCCAACGAGTCAGATTCTTGGTCCCTGTAGCACGGTACTTTTGTTTAACTTCCCTTCCACCTAATAGCCAAAGTACCTTGGTGCCACTGACTGCAGCAGCTCTGCAAGGTTCCAGGCCAGATTTTCTCTAGGCCTTACCTAGAGATGTTGGGGACTGACCCTGAGACCTTCTGCATGCAAACCACGTGCTGCACAGTGGAGCTACACCACCCTCCCAACAGTGCGGAATCAGGCCAGACCAGCAGGAGGGATTAATTGCAGGTTACAGGTGGCAAAGGGCACCCTTGAACATCTTCATGCAGACATGCAGGCCTTCCTACACTTAGATAACTGGCACCCAGAGTGCCTTCTCCCTGATTCATTAGCATTTGGCAAGCGGAGAGTTTAATCTGTGCGGAAACAAACAATGTGATACACTCACCCAGCAGCCTCAAGGAACTGCTTTTCATGTGATGCGAGGCATGCAAGGAGTTGCCCCTATGATTTAGCATCACAAGGCAGAGCCTGTCGTGCCAGGACAGGGCAAACTTTGAGCATCCCCTCCGTGGTGGAGTTCCATGAACTGTTGTTTGCTTTCACAGGCAAGACTCTCCGGATTGTTCCAGGGGCTGCAGTCCTTACAAGGAATGGCAGCGAGGTCAGCAGGCAAAGAGTATCAGTGCTTTGAGGGACACCCAGGGTTGCAGAAAGACAAGAACATGCAGAAGGGTGACAGGTATGGGACTGCAGGGCATGCATCTCTGGATTCTCTTAGCCACAGGGCCCTCCTTGCATGTGTTAGCAAATGTCTCATGTCAGATAAACTGTCAACAGAAGCAGGACAATGCAACAGCCAGGATTACATGGATTAGGATAGAAGGCAGAGCTCACTTTGCAACTCCAAGCTGGAGAACAAGATTTCAAGCTTAATTCCACTCCATAAATATTGCAGAATATTCTATTTGACAAGCAAATGCTGGCATGGGCACATGCAATTGTACATTAACTGTTACAATGTGTGAAGCAAGGGCAGGCAGCTGTGGGTCCAGACTGTTTGCAAGCCACTGGCTGGCTGCACATGGGTCACATGCCCATGCGGTGCAAGAAAGACTCCAGGTACTTCGTCCTGGGAAGGGATGAGCTGCACTACTTGGTGATTTAGAAAAACCAGAATGCGTTTAGGAACACACTGCAGAAATCAGAAAATGCCCCGGAATCCTTTCCAGGGCATAATCACAGAGGCCTATCACAGGGATTATCCCAGGAAGGCATATCCTTTCAGGATGACTGTTGATGTCTGACCTACTTTTTTCAGATCCATCCTAGAACAGCCCAAAACATGGAGGGGCCCAGGTCCAGCCCACCAGTTCCATAGTTTCCGATCTGAATCCCAGCTGGGTTGTATCTCACCCCATTATGCTCAGGACTATGAGGCCAAAAGAGACACGTGGAGTATAAAGAGCTCAAGAAGATGCAGCTGCTGACACGGAACTGTCCCCTAATATGACTGAACTGTACAGAGTATTACTTCTTTGAAAGTTCACCCTTAGTCCACCAGAAGGTCACCCCAATTAAGCATTTTAATTGGAAGATTAGTTCTCAGTAGGACATGTATGTCTGTTTACAGAATGGTCTATTGATCTTTGCAGGAATTTCTAGACCAGACCATAGGGAGCCACCTGACCACATAACCATGACAACAGACTACCTATTCAGCCTGCATTTTAAAGGGCAACGGGTTGCCGCTGAAAATGCTTTTTCCTTTGATATTCTACATGGGTACAGGCAAGTGTAGAGTTTATACAATATTAGGGCCTCTTCACACTTCCTGAAGTATTTCTCCCGTATTATATACAGCTTAACTTGCAGGAAAGAGCAAGCTTTACTAAAAAGAATTCCCAGATCACTTGAATAGCTATGTTCTACACATTTATAAACAAGCAATACCAAATCCAAGGGTTTGGTTCCAAAGCATATGTTTTAGAACTCTCTGGAATTAATTAGCCATTGACATGGTGATCTCTTCTTTATAAAGGAGACTTTTAAAAATAAAATGGCCTGTTACTTTGATCCACTGTCACTGGCAAAGAAGGGGACAATCCCAGGGCTATGCAGACATCACTAAGGATAAGAAGATAAGAGCAGAAGTGGAAGACAAAGAAGAACAAGTTCCAGACATGAGTAATGGAGCTTAGTTACAGAAAAGAAAGCAGCTGAAACACTTCAAATGCTATGCCATGAAACGTCACAGTTTGTACCCTGAATTGTGCAAATCTGGAACAACTTTACTCAGTGGCATTTGCTTCATCTCAGTCTTTTATTGTGACCGCAAAACATGCTTGTTTTGAAATTTTGCAGCGGAGTAAGAAGTATCATGATGTACATCCAACAATGAGGTGGACGGATTATGGCTGCCATCCAGTTGCTGTCAGTTATAACTAAGTGCCATCAAAAGCCATAAGACTCAATATATTCTTGACTAGCACTGGTTTAAATTGATCTTTATTTAATTATTGTATTTCTATCCTGCCTTCTTTCCTGAAAGGAGGCTTTAGTCCTCCTTTTCATTTAGCCTAACAACAGCCTTGTAAGACAGGTTAGGCTGAGAGTCAGCAACTGGTCCACAGTCGTCCCATGAGCATCATGGCAGAATGGGGATGAGAACTCAGATCTCCTGAGCCCCAGACAGAACTCTAACCACTATACCACTTGGCTTGGCTTACTTCTGGTCTCTCTTAGTTAGACTGGGGCATGAAAGGAACAACAATATCAGACGGTCAGCCAAAGTCCCAAACCTCCTGAAAAAGACAATTATCGGATTGTCCTAACCTGGTGCACCATGCAAGTCCTAGCACTGGGGATGATTGGGCTCAACACACCCAGAAAGTGAGAGACTGGGGAAGAATGCCACATATCAGCCTCATCATTAAATAGCCCCAGTATTTCTTTGCTTTGTATCCATTACCAAGCAACAAGAAGGGCAGTGTTATAGCGAACTCACCTTGAAGTATCCAAGTGCTGCAGCATATATGATGTCTTATTGAAGGTCACACTTTGCTCCCAGCCTGCTCAATAGAGGACAACATGTTAGTTGCAGTATCTTAAATATGTTGCACCCAGCCATGGCAACACACACTCACATGCAACATTTGTGAAAAATCCAAATGACAGACATTTAAGCTGTAACACAAATGGATCCTCGTGGGAGTTCCCAGAAGGCCATGCCCCCTTCCTCCCAAACAGATCATTTCTTGGGCATCCAGCTTTTGCAGGTTTCTTCCCTAATTCTGAATGGTTAAAATGTCTCTTCCAAGGATCAATGACTAGCAGTAAGACCTTGAAGCTAAACTACGCTGGAATTTTGTCCTGACTCCTTTCACTTGGGTCCCATCCACTTCCCATGCAATTTGGCCACCAAGAAAGCTGTTCAGAATTTGGTCTTCGCTGTTTTTACATTTTGACCTCCAACAAGGCCTTCTGTAGCATCTTAACCCTTTGTGGGTTGTAAGACAAGAGAAAGGCTACCATGAGCAGGGTAGTGACCTAAGCAAGCAAAGCACAGGTGATGAGAAAGTGGGCAACTGTACATACTCCTGCTGGCTGCTATCCCTCATGCATTTGCTTGGGGGAAAAGCCTCGCTGAATTTCATGGGACTTCAGCGTAAGCATCCATAGGACTGAACCGTAAGTGATCATGACAGTGTAGAAAGTTCCGATTCACAAGAGAGAAAGAATGGCTGGATCAGGCTAAGAATTGGCCCTTATGAGCATAAGAATGTGCATTATACCGAGTTGCATTGTTGCTCAGAAAAGAGTTTTTGGTCAGTCTTCCCAGAATATGCTAGGGATTGAACAGGGAACCTTTTGCATACCAACCATGTTCTGTTCCACTGAGATGCTCTGGAATCATAGCTAGGAACGGGGAAGGCTTATACTGAGGATGGGGAGTTAACAGAGGCAAAGCTGGCAAAGGGTTACCTGTTTTTAGAAAATGAACATGGCTCAAGGTGAGTGAAGACCCTTCCGTCTGTCCGTCCGTCCATCCTTAACTTACATTCTATCTTGCCACTAAAATAGTGCGCCAAGTAGCTAACTGGCAATAATGAAATATAGATAATATATAACATTCTTCACAAAATGATCCTATAATCCAGTGACAAGAGGATTTTTTTTTTAAATTCCAGGTCCAACAGCAACAAACAGCTCCAGCATCAGAGCTGGAACTCCACACTTGACGTGCCATCCACAGCTGATGCAAAGAACCACATTGGCTGCTTCTCTGAGGTCACAAATGCAACCTCAGAGAGGTGGTTTTGTAGTGGGTAAGGGAGGAGATGGGATGAGACCAGTGCTGCGAAGGTACAACAATGCCCCACCTCCCCCACCCGCTGAAGTGCCCCAGTTAGACAGCCAAAATCAGACTTTTAGCTACTTTGCAAGGGCCGGGAAGTGCAGAGGCAACCTTTGCCTTCATGCTCCTTCCACCTGGCACAGGATACCTGTAATTCTCCAAGTTCAGAGTGTTATGAGTAGCCTCACTGGATTATTTCCTAAAATATAACCAGATCAGTTGAACATCCACTGAAAAAACACCTGACAACAACCAAATTAACAATATGCACTTTCCTTCCATTGTTTAAATTTTAAGGGGAAAAAGTGAAAGCCTGAAATCTGTTAATGTACAATTGCTACTGTCCTATATCCATTTGCTTAGGAATAAGCCCCCACTGGACTTAAATCTGTGTTGACATGTATAGGTTTGCCTGTAATTTTAGTATATCCAAAGAACTGTCCATTTTAATTTCTTTAATATACCCTTATATATGTCCTAGGGACAGCCATCTGAAAAAAGAGATTGACAAGTCTGAAACTAACTGAAATTTGACTATTATTATACTCATTCATAATGTTATTATGAATTTCTTTTTGAATATTATGTTTCTTCCAAAAAGAAAAATTCCTTTCCTGAGCCACTGCCCACAAACTTTAGTGTTGCCTTTCCTGTGTGAATCAGCTATCAAACAATTAACTTTCCTGTCAACCCACACTGTGCTTTTTAATAAAAATCAAATGCAATAGTGTCATGTCTGGGTTTGTTTGTTTGTTATTTGGGTTTTGTTCCTGGGTTTGTTTGTTTGTTATTTTTTCCTAGATTGTAAACTCTTTCTTTGTAAAGTGCCAAGCACCTCTGCAACCATATATAAATTTACTATATCCAGCTGTATGACTGAATGCAGTTCTAACATTCCAACACAGTATAAGGACAGAAGTTGGAACCCCAACACATCAAGAATGTGCAAGTCTGGGGAAAGCTGTGAGAGTAACCAAGAGATGGGCTCCACTGCTTGGGAGAGGGGGCAGAGTAAGCCTCCCAGTTTGCAGAAAACTGAGTATTCTCCCATGCTGCTTTGTTTCTGTCCCTTTTGCCCACCTTGATTCCCCGGAAAATCCTTGACTATGCCGCCCTTTGGAGCGAGATCCATCCTAGGTAGATAGCACTGCACCATGCACATTTAGGCACCATCCAGCAGTAACCCCAAAAAGCATTCCTTTATTTTCTTGCTTATAAGGAAAACGGCTTCCATTCACTCCTCTGGGCTAAAGTTATAGGCTCAAACTTGGAAAATTCTGCTGCAAAGAAGGCAAAACCTCAGCCATTCCCGACTTGGGGGAGCCTGACGCTTGTGGGAAGAAGCGTGCAGAACGCAACATGCCTCCACACAATGCAAGCCTTCCCACAGAACACACGCCAGCTATCATAACCATGGGCACTTTGCTAGCTGGAACAACAGCGTCCACAGGGATTTGCCCCTGTCGTTAGCCAGTTCACCCATTCTGCCAGGAAAAGAAAAGCTGAAATCAAACATGGTGAGGGTTACGATTGCAGATCCTTCAGAAAATCACCATCTAGGGCTGCTGGAGGCAACGTTTGAAAACGAGGGGCATCCAGTGTCAGCCAGTGTTTTTAGAGGTTGTGATGAGAGAGAGCGCTCTTATAGATGGGGCTGAAACAAAAGGGCATTTGCCTAAAGCATTTTTGAAGAACACGTGGGGCTTCTCTGAATCGGCAACGCTCCTGTCAGAGGAACGGGCTAGGAACCCAAGCCGGGAGTGCTCGCACGCAGGTAACTCCCCCTCCGCCTCAACGGCGAATATGGCTGAATGATGCTACCCAAGCAGCATCAGCTGCTGCAGAGTGATCGAAATACTGGAGAAAAGGAGGGGGAGGGGCGGCTAACCGTGTACAGGATCGCGCTTGCATATTCCTTTCATCCACGGGCTTGATTAAGGATTGCAGAGAGCTGCCGCACCTGTAAATGGGTGGGTATTTTGGGGTGGAGGCGGAGACTGCTTAAATCAAATAAAAGCAGGGAGGAGGGAGAATGGCTGGGATTTTCCAAGCTAACTGTAAAGGCCACTTTCAGGGTGTGCAACGTGGAAAATCAGAACAGCCTGATAAGTAGCACCATCATCCAAGGAACAGAAGGTGGGGGTGGGGGCATGCAAATCATCTGGGTGTCGCGTCCGGATCTAGGAGATTCCTGAACAAAGGGAGTGGGGGGCTGCAAACGCTGCAACGCACACGCCCAAAATTTAGTTTCACGTCTCCGAGGTGATGATTATGGTCTGCTCCATAGAAGGGTTATTTCCAGGGTTATGTCGGGGTAGCCGCAGGCTCACAGGAGTGCCCTGCCGGCCGGAGGGGGAAAGAGAGCGAGCGAGCGGGGAGGGACTGCAGGCATCGCTGATGGAAACGCGGCTCGGCGCGGGGAGAAAGCGATCGGACGAAAGGCGAGAGACCCACCTGCCGGCTGCTGCGGGTGCGTGGAGGTTCCGCGCCGCTCCCCCCTGGCGCTGCTGCACCTGCAGGCGGCGACGGCAGGGCAGGGCAGGCGGTGGAGCAGGAAGGGCTCCTCCCGGAGGAGGAGGAGGTGGAGCCGCCGCTCGTCCACCTCTCCGGGGCCGCAGACGAAGCGCTCCGGCTTGCTTTCCCCTCCGAAGCTCGCGCGGGGGAATGAAGGTGGGGTGGGGGGCTGGAGCGACACAGCCCAGAAGGGGGGTGGGTGGGACGGACCGATGGATCCTGATAGGAAGAGGTGGGGGCGGTGGGTGGGGACATCCTGGCGCTCGAGTCGTGGGAGGGGGCCGTGGGGGGGGAGGCGCGCCAAGAAAGGAGCAGGGGTGCCCCCCCCGCTTTGCGGGCGGAGCAGCGGCCCCCACCGCCTCGACGAGCGCGGAGCTGCTGGGCCGCGTCCGGCTCGCGTTGGCGCGGGTCGGGCGCGCGCACGAGGTCCTGAGCTGCTTGTCTGCTCGTTTCCTTTTCTCGTGGATGTTTTAATTTCCTTTGCTATCCTCTGATTTCAGTGCTGCCCAAGAGGCGCAACTCTCTGGGCAGTGAATGCCATGCGACCAGCACCACAAAATAGCATGCAAAAGTTTGGCGTGACAATATAAGATGTCATTATTACCTTGCATTTATGTCCCGCCTGTTTTCTTCTTGCAGGGAACCCAAAGTGGCTTACACAGTTCTCAACTCCATTTTATCCTCACAAAAACAATCCTTTGAGGTAGGTTATGCTGGGAACAATAGATGGCAAAAGAAGGAGGGGACGGCAGAGGATGAGGTGGCTGGATGGAGTCACTGGGGCAGTTGGCGTGAGCTTAAGTGGACTCTGAAGGACAGGAAGGCCTGGAGGAGTGTTGTCCATGGGGTCGCGATGGGTCGGACACAGCTTCGCGACTAACAACAACAGGCTGCAATGGGCCCAAAGCCACCCATTGAGTTTTATGGCTGAGTAGGGACTAAAACCCCACCTCCTGAGTCCAAGTCCAACACTAACCACTACTACACACTGTTGGTGATAAACAACAACAACCTAGCAGCTGCGCAAAGATTTAAAAAGTTGTGTTGAATTTAAAACAATAGAAACTCAGAAGGTTAAAATGCCTGGGAGAATACAAAGGTCTTCACCTGGTCACTGAAAGATCGCAATGTTACCGACCACCAGGCAAGTCTCCCTGAAGTCATTACTCTGTAACTAGGGTGCCACCACTGGGCCAGCTTGCTGCTTAAGGGCCACCTGGAAAAGGACAGCTGGAGATGATCTTAGAGCCCCAGCACCTGGGCTGGCCCAAAAGAACCTGCTGCCCGAGGCCTAGCAACAAACACCTCACCACCCAAGAGTACGCAAAGGCGGGCAAGTTATGTTGGCACCTGAGGCAGAAGATTTCATAAAATTCCACATCCATGGCAATAACAGTGCAGTAATAAATGAAATAGCAATATACTGCACTTTCATAATACCTAAAATCAGCTGCATGTGGCCATTGCCTCCTCCTGCCTATTGGCAGGGCTGGCCCGGTATATCCAGGTAGGTATATATGGAAGAAGAGGATCCTTCAGGTAATCTGGTGCTGAGCCATTTAGGGCTTTGAATGTAAGTCCCAGCACCGTGAATTAGGTCAGTGCAGATGGAGGCCAACCATATAACGTGATCTTATGGTCCAGTCCCCAACATCTGCCCTCTTTTGGACCACCTGAATTTTCTGGTGGCAGCCCCTCATAATGCATTACAGTGATCCAGGCAAGAGGTTACGGAATTTGGATAACTAGCTGGGTTATCTCTGTCCAGATAAAGGCATAGTTGGTATATCAGCCTAAGCTGATAAAAGGTGCTCAGTGCCAACATGTCCACCTGTGCCTCTAGTGACAGTGCTGGATTCAAGAGCAACAACAAAACTACAGACCTGCTTCCTGAGGAGGAGCACAGCCTCTGCTCAGAAAACGTTAAATGCTATTTTTCTAGGCAGACAAACCATCCACTAACACTACCTGACTTATCTCAGTTTATTGGCCTTCTTATACTTCATTACTGTGCTCAGCTGCAGGTTCAGAGGAGCTTCTGCCTCACTTGGATTTGATGCCAAGAAGGGATTAAGCCAAGTATCACTGGCTCATTGAAGGCAACTGAGCTCATATTTCCAGCTAACCTCTTCCAGCAGTTTTATATGGCATTGAACAGCATGAGAGATGGACTAGAATTTCATGTAACCCCATGGCATAGCTGCCAAGACACACAGCAATAGTCCCCCAACACCACCTGCTTGAATTGGCTTTTCAGGTAGGAGCAGAAACAGTCAGCTCCCCACCCAGACAATGTATCTAGGTGGATACCATGGTCAATAGTAATGAAAGCTGTGAAAGCTGGATCATAAGGAAGGCGGAGGACTGAAGAATTGAGGCCTTTGAATTGTGGTGCTGGAGGAGACTCCTGTGAGTCCCTTGGACTGCAAGACGATCAAACCAGTCAGTCCTAGAGGAGATCAACCCTGACTGCTCTTTAGAAGGCCAGATTCTGAAGATGAAACTCAAATACTTTGGCCACCTAATGAGAAGGAAGTCACTGGAGAAGACCCTAATGCTGGGAACAATTGACAGCAAAAGGAAAAGGGGACAGCAGAGGATGAGGTGGCTGGATGGAGTCACTGGGACAGTGGGTGTGAGCTTAAGTGGACTCTGGGGGATGGTGGAGGACAGGAGATCCTGGAGGAATGTTGTCCATTGGGTCGTGATGCGTCATGACTTTGCAACTAGGCAACAACAATAAGCCCAAGAGAATCAACACACTCCCCCATCGCCCTCTCAGTAAAGGTTCTCTCAGAGGGTGACCAAGAAGGATTCCATTGCAAAATCTAGATTGGGTCTAGATCAAAATGGGTCTAGATCAGTGATTTCTAACCTGGGAACGAGAAGGATTACACAACTTTAACATTAACAAGGAAGAAATTGAAATTGTGAAAAAATTTGCATACCCTAGTGACTCAGTTCAAACAGAGACCATGGCCAAGAAATTAGAAGACAGAGACTTGGAGGAGCAGCAATGAAGGAACCAGAAAAGATGTAAGTGTAAGGAGGTTTCCCTGGAGACCCAAGCCAAGATTGTCTCCTCTAAGGTATTTCCCATCACTGGTCTGATGCAGCATTGCTCCTCTTATGTTCCCATGAGCTGCTTTGAGGGAGAGGGCATTTGCATGCCATTACGCCCCTTGCCTAAGTCGTTCCTGCATTCGACAGAATGACAAGGGTTTTCGCAGGAGACCCAGCTGCTGCCTCCTCTTCCATTACATTTAGACTCTGCCATTCTTCCTCTTACAAGGGACCCATGGTGGCTTACACAGTTTTCTGCCTTTCCATTTCACCCTCACAACATCAGCCCTGTGAAGGTTGGGCTAAGAGTGTGACGCCCAAAGTCCCCCAGTGAACTTCATGGTTGAGTGGAGACCTAGAACTGGATCTCCCAAGTCACAAATCTGACCCCCACGTCACACTCTGAACTCCATCGGAATCCATCAGTTTCTTTGAGCAGACATTTGAATAGGTCCCTAGGCCTTGCAGAAGGGAGAGGCTACCGAGCACCTAAGCCTCAATGGGAAGGGGTCCAGCCTTGACAAGGGGGTGGGTATTAATTGGCCGTATGGCATCACACTGTGGATGATTTTGTGCTGCTCGTGTCCCTGTTGTTGACAGTGTTGTTCTGAGCTTTGCATGTCAGTGATCGTCTGTGTGTACCACTGCCACTCTAAACTCTGCATATGACTTTGGGTCCATGTGTGTGAAAGCGAAGAAATTGCTGACTTGGACTGTTCATGCAGTTTTGTCTGTGTGGAATAACTTTGCTGATGTAGAGAGTTTTGTGTGTGTGCCTTTCAGTTCCCTACTGGGGGGAAAAGAAGGAACCTACAATTTATACTAATATGATCAACATTAAGTAGGTCAAGTTAAGCTGCTCTTAACACAGTATGGATCTTTTCCCAGGAGATGCTTGAAGTGGAATCCTGAGTACACTTACTAGGGACTAAGCCCCCTCCTATATAAATTTCCTGTACTCATAATGCAAAAAACCCCCCAAAACCAGCATTGCTTAAATTAGCATATATTACATCTTATTTCAAATACTCCATGTTCTGTTTGTCTTAAGGGTGTTCGCCTATGCGCACAGAAAAGAATAAGGGTCAGAAGCATTTCTGGCAAAGCCTTTCACCTCAGTGTTATTCTAGAAAGAAGTCTGGTTCACCTGTGCAGGGTCATCACTTGATGACGGCAATGCCAGGGGAGAACATCCAGCCATGAGCGAACCATCCCACCGCTCTGTGAGAGCTGAGGCTCACCTCATAACCTCCAAAACTGCTTTTCAATGAAGTTAGCTCAATGTGTTCTGCAGAGACTCGCAGAGTCTGCAGGAATCCAGCAGTGGACCTGCATGCTTCTAATCTAGTTTAAAACTAGATTTTGTGCAGTTCTTCAGTCTATTCGGCATAGGAATGGGTGTCATAAGTACAGGTTGGGGGACAAGTGGCTGGAGAGCAGCACTTGCAAAAAGGATCTTGGGGTGCTGGTCGACTATTTATTTGTTTGTTTAGGGAACGTCTATGCCGCCCCATTCACCGAAGCCTCGGGGTGGCTCACCATCATAAATAAATAACAGAATATAAAACAATATAATTTAAAAGTATAAATTACAGGCTAAACAGGAGCCAGCAGTGTGACATGCTGGTCAAGAGGGCGAACTCCACCCTTGGATGCACAGCCAGAAGTGTGGCTTCTAGATCGAGAGAGGTATTGCTGCCACTCTATACGTCTCTGGTGTGCCCACAGCTGGAGTATTGTGTTCGATTCTGGGCCCCTCATTACAAGAGGGATAGAGCAAGGCTGGAATCAGTGCAGCAAAGGGCCACGTGGATGGTGGCTGATTTGGAGGGGAAGCCGTATGAGGAGAGGCTGAGGGAGCTGGGTCTTTTCAGAGGGGACCTTTTAGCAACATACAGGTACATGAGGGGGTACCACACAGAGGTGAGTCATGACCTATTTTCCCTTGTA